TAAATATTTGTATGGAATTGCAATAATAAAAAAAAAACATATTCTTGTCTTGATCAGGGTTTTCTTATATTTTAATATTTAGTTGTAACTATTTTAATAAAATTAGTATTAATTTTTATATTATTGATTCTTATAAATCATTTTTAGGAGCAATTGGAGGGTCGTGTTAACGATATGCAACTTTTAAAGGACAAGGTAAAAAATTTCTATTTGCTTATCATTGCAAAACATTATATTCTTTTGTTGCAGATTGATACTTTGCACAAGTCAAAATGTTATTTGCAAACTACATGTATAAATATGAAAAAGTTGTGGCAAGAAGCAGAAGGAAAATTGCAAGAATTAAAGTAGGTTATTGATGCAACATTTTATTAATGTAATATTAGAAAAATTCTTGTAATAATAACTTTCATTAATTTATGTAGAAGAGAAGTATTGAAACCAGAACAAACAGTCAAGTGCACTGAAGATAAAGAATGTCAGTGTAAAGTTGAAGTTGCAGATAAAGAGTGCGCGATCGAAGATACTAACAATTTTTATAGCCCGTTATGCGGTGCTAAAGATTCTTCCTACGAACATGAATTACAATCAGAAATCAATATCTTAATGAGAGAGAATGAAGATATGAAAAAGCAATTGCAAAAATATAAATTAGATTTTGACATAATTGAAAAGGAACTGAAAATAGAAAGGGAGAATGACACTTATACCCAGCAAATTTTATTCGAATTACAGAAATTAAGAGATACAGGATGTTGCTTACAGTATGAAAATGAACAACTTAAAGCCGAATTAAAGAAACAAACGAACAAAACGGAGGATTTGGTGGAGAAGTTGCAGTATATTAAAGAAAATGACGTGAAATTTGGAAAATTGTTGAAAAAATTAGACGATAAACAGATGCAGGTATAACTGAAAACAGAAACATCTATAAAACAAAATATTAATGTATTACTTTCAATTCCATTTAGATTAACAATTTATATAGTCAAATAACGAACAATGAAATTACCATAAAGAAGCAAACAGAAACTATTGAAGAGCTAAAAAAGAAATTGAATACAAAGAATCAACAAATCGAAGGATATTTATCCGAATTAAATGAAACAGAAGAGGAGATGACAATTTTACATAATCAGATACAATCATTGAAAAACATGTTAAATGAAAAATCAAACGATATGGCTAAATTGCAAGCAGATAATAAAATGTTAAAGGTAAATAATAGTACTGCCAATGTTTTTCTTACAATCATTAACTGGTGTATTATTAAAAAAACGATTCATTGCAGAATGATAATTCTATATTAAGAATGGAAAACAGCACTTTTGAGAATAAATCAAAAGAAGATATTTATCAGTTGCAAGTGATGGTATTCGTTTAAATATATATCTTAATATTGATGTAACAAGGAGTTTTTTGATATTTTAAAATAATACTAATATTTTAATTTTATTTTAGTTGAACAAGGTACAAACGCAGTTACGTTTTACCGAAAACAATTACCACTGCGTCACAGAAGATTTTAATAAAACGCAAGAGCAATTAATTAAAATAACAAAACGTGAAGCAGATTTACAAGAATGTTTAACAAATATGGTATTTATTAAATTATTTGGTTAAAAATTTTATCACTTTCCTATATATATAATTATTTTAGGAAAAGGAGTATTGTTTAAAGCTATCAAATATCGAGGAAGAAAAAACTAAACTTGGAGACTGTTTGGATAAACTTAGAGATGAATTAGAAGAGATTCAAAGAAATTATTCATCAAAAAGTGGGGAACATTGCAAACTCCAAGATATTTGCAAATCTTATGCAGAACAATTAGACATTTTACAGCAACAGGTGAAATAAGTTAATTTAATATGAATAATATTTAAAATATTTAATGTAAATAAATTTATGTTGTTAGATTGACAAAGAACGTGAAAGGGTTAAAAAAATAGAAGAGTCAAATCGGTGCATGGCGCAACAATTGCAAGAATACAGAGAACAGAATTGTATTCTTCTTCAAGATAAAGCACTGGCAGAACAAAATAATTGCAAAGTTATTTCGGAGGTAAGAGAATACCTAACTGTATATAAAAAAAAAGAAGATACAAATCAAAATTACATTCTCTTTTAGCTACAAGAGACTCATAAATGTTTATTGGAACTGAAAAGAGAATGTCAATTAAAAAATAAATCTCTAGCTTGTATATCTGCAGAACTGACAGAAACAGCCATAAGTAGATCAGAACTTTGCAATCAGTCGCAATACGTTGTTTCTTGCATTCGTGTTTGGATGGAGGAGCAACGGGAATATATGAACAAACTTAACTTGTCATTGAAGTCTCAAAAACAGGAGTTATTACAGCTTCAATTTGAGAAAAAGTAAATAACAGCATAGATTCATAAGTTCAGAATGTTTGAAACGAAAGAAAATTATTTTTCAGGGGTTTGTTGGAAGAAGGAAAAAAATTAAGACGTATAAATCACTTACTGACTCAAAAATTGAAAAAAATACATAGATACGGGAGTAAAAATGTTAAAAATGTCTGCGTAGAGTGCCAAATACTGCCGCCAACTGTTGATATACACCTTCCTATGTACTCTAAACACTCATCTCCGCAAAAGGTAATAATTACCTTTTCAGAAATTTATATTTCATAATTTTGCAATTTACTAAATAATAAGTAAAATAGTATTTGGTCATTATCGAATAATGATAAAATATTATTTTCAGAAACTAAGTCTTACAAAAACAGCCCGTCGTATTTCGGCAGGTGGAAACGCTTGGTGGTATCCTAAAATGCAATATTTAATAAACGAGCTAAGAAAAAGCAAATTGAAATATAATGAAAACTGTTATAATGGAACGAATACTGATGTAGGATTAGAAGAAAGTCGAGACTGCGGTTATCAATCATCTACTAGTAAATGAAAACGTTATAAAACGTAATTGCTGAAAAAAACAATGACCTTTTATAATGAAAGTTCTGACAACTTGATCACTAACTCGTCAGATTTTTTTTTATACTTACATAAATGAAAAACGCGGTTTTTAAGTATAAATATATATTTACTTTAAATTTGGTTAATCTTCTTGGATCGAACTTGTCAGATTATTTAAGTTCATAGAAAAACAATAATATGTGTGACATAGAATATGAATTAATACAAGATTTTCCATATACATTTCATGAAATGCTTTAAATAGAAGTTTGCATTCAGCCACAGTAAATATCTCCATACTTTTTGGAGGATCCTAAAAATTAGACATTATCAGATATTAAAGATTTGCTTTAAATCATTGGCGTAACTAGATAGGGGCCAGGGTGGTCCTGGCACCCTCCAATTTAGAAATGTAGGAAGTTTAGGCCCACCCCATCCAAAAATTCTAGTTACGTGAATGCTTTAAATATAAATGCATTTATCAGTATCAATATAAATACTTTGTAAATTTCAATGCATTGATACAAATTATATGTAACAACTAAAAAAGAAAATTTTGAGTAAGTAACCGCAGTTAGAGATTTGATATCTAATTCTAAATGCGAAATCTTTTTAGCACTTTTTATACAAGATTTCTTAAATTATTCTACTTTTTTTTTGCAATACTTTTCATAAATATTTATTATTGTCCTTATCAAATTTTAATGAATGTAAGAAGCAATAATTAAATTACTATAATCAATAAAAATATTGAAACGGTAAATTGTACTTAATTTTATTACAAAATACAAACCAGGACAACATGCAATAATACAGTTTTATAAAAAAACTGATAAACTTCTTTAGCTGTCTGCCATGGATGCGAAAGAAAAAACAAGTGTGTTGAATAGACAATTCCTAATAATCCAGAAATACCTTTCTCAGTAAACGAATGCAATCTGGTAAATAAATGAAAAATTTTATTCATTATATTAAATGCTAACGATAAAGCATCTTATAAGCTCAAACTGTGGTACCTTGCAAATCGAAAAAATTCCCACAGTATTTTTGTAAGAACACTCTTACTTTTTTCTATATTTTTATTCAAGAATTTATTCTCTAGAAAGAAGGCAATATTATTTTACTTTATAAAAACAATATTCCTATTTATTTACCAAAGAAAGAACATATCACATCCTTGTTCTGTTGGTGCTGTTTTAAATACACTAAATCTTCTTCAGTAAAGTATTTCCAAACACATAAACTTGGATCCGACCGTTTAACGTATCGAGAATAAATAGGATTTTCCGGATAAATCCATGCTCCGCATAAATCATCATAATTCACATCTGATTTAATCTGATTTTCTGATTGGGCTCTTCGATAAATTATTCTTTCAATATCAGATATTATACGTTCAGATAACTTTGAACACTTAATATCCACAACTGATGTTGAACGATCTTGATTATTAGTTTTATTATAATCATTATCTTTCACCGTCAGTTCATTGGACATTATTAGAAATTGTTTTTTCGTCAATTGGAAACAATGATAATTTGTTAAACCTTTGTAAATATTCAAAGATGCAAAAAGAATTATTTAGCCCAATATCCAATTTACTGTTTTTCAAATGGTAATATTGTATAATCTATCAATTTTATATATACTATATATATATAAAAATACGCATGTGAATATGGTGAGCCTGAGAATTAGACTTTCTTTTTAATAACATTAAAGTGTGCCATAAAATAGCTGCTAAAAAATAAATATAGATAAAAAGAAATTTTGCGTTAAAAAATATTTAAAGATAAATAAAAATCTATAATGAAAGGATTAAAATATTTTGTAATGAAATTTTTGTATTCAATAAATGAATTCGCCGATGTAATTAAACAAAGTAATTGCTCTATAAAGTTATTGTTTTACAGAAAATTTGCTGCTTTTTTTAATTTTTTTATTTTTTTTTTTTTTTTTTTGGATGAGAGTGAACGGTGAATGCGACGAAATCGTTAAATAATATTCACAAGTTTATTTTTTTTCCTGTGTAATCATTTATAATTTATCATGAATTATCGAATAAAATTAATATACAATATATTTTAGAGCAAAAATTTGTTATACATTGTTTACAAACTAAGAAAGTAAATACATAGGTAATTCATAGCAGCAGGTATGGCCTACTATCTTACAAGAGGTTTTTGCGTGCCAAAAATTCATCATACATTGTATGTTTTAAATGTATATTATTATAACTAATATTAATATTATTATTATTTATCAATGTTACCATTAATATTATCATTGTTTCTTATTATCATTAACATTATTTACTTATTACATAAATCATATTTATTATATATGATTTATATATATATATTTATATATTTATTTATTTATTTATTTATTTATAACGAACACCACCCATTACTATTAGAATTACAAATGGGAGCTTTACCATCTGTCCCTGTGTTTCTCATTTTCCACTTTTTCGTTAGATCTGATACTCAAAATAGATGATATATCGTCGAATGTAATGTGATACACGCATTTTTCGTCATTAATCACTCAGGAAAAATGTTCGTCCTGCACAGTTCACCTCCCATTCCATTATAGTGGCATTTTTCCATCGTTTTATATTCCACTCAAATTCATTGTAGACACACTCATGGTGTATTTATATTTCTTGATTATGGTACAAATCTGTAAGCAAAAAATTAGAGTGTGTCTCCTACAGTGATTCATTGGATAAATTATATCGGCGAAAACAGTACTGACTTTTTTTAAGGTTTCTACTTAATATAGATATGATCTTATCTATAAAGACACATGTTTCATTGAGATTAGAGAACAACAAAAAATTTATTACACATGTGTTTTTTCTTCGTAAATATACATACAACTGCATATAACTGTAAGACTATCAATTAAAATAGCGAAACCTCTTTCATTTCGTTTTATGCTGGAATTAATATACAAAGATTTATCTGAAAATCTTATATTATACGACTTTCAAACTTTGAAGATATTCATTCAAGCGACAGCATTGAATTAACAGCGTTATAATTTTTTTTTTTTTCAACGGAAACAGTTTATGTATGTACAATATTGCATTGAAAATGCATTATACTAAACTTAATTACTTTTTTGAAATTCCTTTCTGAATGACATTGCGAAAAATTATTGTGTAGAGCAATACGTGAATTATCACAAGCTAACATAATCAAAGATCTAATTTTAATGTAATTCATATAAGTACAACATTATTTAACAAAGCATTTGTAAAAATATTTTAGGAACAATAATTTATCTCCCCTTAAGACGCTAAAGTTTGCACGATAAAAATGGATATAATATAAAACTAATCTATGCAATTTATTTTGCTCTACAAAATAAATGATCAATCGATAAATAGAAGAAAAAAAATGTATTTACTGTGAAAGAATATAAACATAAATATTTTTGATATTAAATCATGTAAGCGAAGGTTTCTTAAAGCACTTATAATTAAGTTAATTAAATTAACAGACTCAACTTTTAAATAAGAAATTAACATTTCCTTTAATGGTCACTTCAAGATTTACAGCAGCAAGTCCATAACAAGATTGTGAATATATTACACGATTTCTCTTTTACTCTTTTCTATCTAACATTTAACGATATAATTCATATTATAAAAATAAATGTTATGCAAGTATTAATCAAATAAAGATGATAGAAAAAAAGAAAAGAAAAGTACATGCTACGTACAAGCAGTACTACTTCGTGAAACTGTAGAATATAACGTATAAAAGAGAAAAATTATTTTAACGTACAATGTTAGTTACGCATTATTTTCGTCTGGAGTATAAAAGCTTTCGTAACAATGTCGCAACTGATCGAATAAAATATAGGCTTGTTGAAGGTACACGAATGAGAAAGGAAATGTGAAGTGTGTAGACTGTGCACAATAGTTGGTTTGAGAAACTATATGGAGTAATTATGCAAAAATGTTCTTACACAAATAATTATATTTTTATAAAAAAGAAAATTTAAATGCCAAGATATTTGGAATTTGTACATGTTTATCTTGAGATTATATTTAAAACAAAAAAAAAAGTTGTAAGTAACTTTATTTATGTGACGTCAGATTGAAAAGATATTAGAAATTTGCGATGTATTTGTTACACTAATGTTAAGAATTTTATAAATTGTTTTTCTGTAAAATTTTCTTCTCTTCATAATATTAATTACTGTATATAATCAATAAAGGTTAAAAAGTAGGAAACATTGATTGAATTTGTTGCAACTCGCATATCTTTTTTTACTTACGTAATAAATACGAGGACTGAAATAAGTCTAGAGTACATGCAATAAAAATATTAAACATAACAAGAAATATACTACAGCAACATCTACTCAAATATCCCATAATATTAATACAAAATTTTTCATGAAGTATCCACAAATTCGTAAATCTTTAACTTGATCAATATCAAATCCTTTTACCCTTGCAAAAAGATTAAAAAAAAAAAAAAGAATCATAAACTTTTGTTCCTTACACATTTTGATATTATAAAAATATGTAGACACAATGTACTATTATACTGAAGATTGGACTGATAATTTATCTGATGCACATATCAATTGCTTTGTGAATCTTCAATGGATGGTACACTGTCCACCATTGTTGACCAGCAAGGTGACAAGTTTTAACTAATATAAAAATATATACCAACATAGTATTTGACACGTACAGATTTGGATAATCACTTGCAACAATTACCAGTTGCTGCCTTTTGTCCTTCTGTCTCAACTAACCGACGACCCTGACCACTTGTACTTGCACTCCCTGATTGTTCATTCTTTGGAAGCTTTTTAGCTGTAATAATATGAATAATAATACATAAATATTTTCACTAAAATCTATTACAAGTTAACGTTCATTTTACTTCATACTTTTTATAACCCATGTAACTCGATAAAAGATACTATTTCAAATCCAGATGCTCTCTTTATCATTGCCGAGATAAAATAATTCGAAATACAGTTTAAAAAAAAACTTTTTTAATGAACAATATGAAATTCTGTTAGGTAGAAAAATAAAAGAACTGTCTTACCAATTGCCAAAAATATATCATTAACGTTCATCGCCGTTTTAGCTGAAGTTTCCATGAAAAGAAGGCCATTTTCATCCGCGTATGTTTGAGCTTCTTCGAATTCTACCACTCTCTTCTGTGAAAGATCCGCTTTATTTCCAGCTAATGCTATAACTATACTTGGACTGGCTTGCCGTTGTAATTCTTTAACCCACGTTTGGGCGCGTATAAATGTGTCCTGCATTTTTAATGAAAAATTGCATCATTAAAAAATCTATTTCTTACAACTATTTATTCTTCCTATTTTTCTAAATAATTGATTACTTTGATCACTTGCCTGATTTGTTATATCGTATACAACAATAGCTGCTTGTGCACCACGATAATACATGGGTGCAAGACTATGGTAACGTTCCTGTCCAGCTGTATCCCAGATTTCAAATTTTACAGTCGTGTCATCCAGACATACAGTTTGTGTTAAAAATGCAGCTAAAAATAATAAAATGTACTTGTAAACGCATGTATTAATAAACTGCAATTATTTTTATGAAAACTAAACTTACCTCCGATAGTACTTTCTTGATACTCATGGAACTGTCCTTTAACAAACCTCAAAACAAGACTGGATTTCCCCACTGCAGATTCTCCTAGTAGCACCAACTTAAACTGACAAATCTTCCCTTGCGTTGAACCGTTTGGCCTCTGGGCTGTACCCCGATTAGCCATGATCACCTAGGTTTAAGAGAAAATTGTTAATTTTGATAAAAAATGCTTTTGTTATTAACTAATTCTATTTTATACATTAAAATATTTTAAAGTTCAAAAAACACACAAAATTATTGTTTATATAAATTCATAGTCTTTTAAAACATTGAAAACATTTTTATGTTTTTTTACTCTATTACTTGGTAAAATGGTATTTAAATCATTACACGTTACAATATAAAAATATCAAGTAATTTTCAACTTTCATTCTTGTCTAAACCTCTAAATCAGGAGATAAATGTCTATTTATACTTAAACTCCGTGCATAATAGATAAGAATGTCATTTACATTCAAGCGATCAACCATTTAACCAAATGTTTTAACTTTAACATAACGAATTGATAATCATGCACAGTAAATTCTTCTTATGAACTTTCAGATATTTCAGTGTAATAAACAAATGAGTTAAGAATGTTTTCTCTTTTTCTTTTTATATATTGTAACTACTACAATTATAAATAGTGTATTTTAGTGATTATTGAAAAATGTACTTTTATAATATTTAGTAATTATTACACAGAAATAATTATTTGAAAGTTCTAATTATATTTAGCTGGATAAGAAAACGAATAATCATAAGTTAGTAGTGGATGGATAAGGATTACAAGAGGTTGATACCCTGTTAAAAATGCATTACCCGAAACCTACGATGAAAAGAGAAAAAGCAAACAAATAAACAAATAATCAAGATTAAATCAGGATGATATCATCAAGCTATGAAACATACGAAAGCTTAATGCGTTCGAAATACAAAAACAATATCTTGTAATTACAATAACGATTACTTTCTAATGAGTCACTTACGAGCGAAAATCGGTATATGGGGTAAAATCTTAGAAGAAATAAAAATGATTTAACCCATTAAAGCGAGTACTGTGTTAATTACATTATCCAATTAGTTCGCGATGCGAGTCTGGGTAGAATTGAACGGTAGAGTGTTGCTTCGCGATAATATTATGGCTGATAAAAGTCAAACAACAGACACACACTCTAAATGATAATGTATTTAACGAGAAACAAGTAACACGATGACTAAACACAGCAACTTCACGGCAATCACGAGATTCGCGTAACTCGCGGCGACGACGGCGACGACGGCGACGACAACGACGACGACGACGACGGAAAGGAAACAGGTCCGCGCTGTTCGAACCCGTCCGGGTACGAGCTGACAGGAAAAAAACGTCCATAAAAGAGAGAGAGAGAGAAAAAACATGACACGCACGACTTACACACACGTTAATGAAGCTGCGTCAAAGTTTCATACCAACGTAACAAACGCTTCATAACCTTCGACAAAATGGTGTTATTGAAAAATCACAAGAAACCGTTAAAGCGGTGTATATAAAAAATAGACGAAAGAAACCGATAAGGAGAGATAGAGTTCTGTATACGCGCGCGCACGAATCTCTCTCTTGCACACATACATCTACTTACTTACGTTCCTTTAACACTCTATCTTCTTTCCTCTCGATCGTTTATTCGCTTAATCTATGTTTCTCTCATTCTCTCTCTCTCTCGCACTCCGAGCACTTATTCATTTACAATATCCCACTCGCCCGCTTTCTATCTTATTCTCTCGTGCTCGTTCATTCACGTTCCTTCTTTGTCGGAAGATAGCAAGGGGGAGGACGCAAGAGGCGACTAAAGGGTGTAAGCGATGCGCCACGATAGTTATGACTCTGGGTACTTGTCACCGCCCGTGAAACGTCAGCAACATCGGAAATCTAGCCCACGCCGAAAGAATGCGCCGCGAGATTAAAAAATAATGTAGGGACCAATGGTTTCGCAGTTACACTAATTACGGTCTGTAAAAGATAGCATGAAATGTTAGAGAGACCACCTGGCAAGATGGGAAACTGAAAATGTTCAGTGATTAACCTGCTGCGTGAGGATTCTCGCCGTCGAACAAGAATGCGGCACTAAGACGGTCGATGGGTGCACAACACCGCGCGACGATGATTAATGTCAATTCACTGCCGCGCGTCAGATACGATCACTTGTCTTCGGTAAATCGGCCCACTAACCGAGCATAGATCGTGCAATCTATATAGAATGTGTACATTTATGACAGCTCCGGTTGGTACACACAGGCGGAGACACGACTTTGCAAAGCTTGTTGAATTTTTTTTCTCACATTCCCCTTTTACCCCTTTCGACACTTTTCCTGTTTACGATAAACTCCTCCGAATGACACTTTTTTTCGATCGGTCAATGTCTCTCTAACCTAACGCAACCAGATTTCAAACTATAAAATTGATTTCACTAAAAAAGAACGAAGACTGAGGCCCGTATCACGCACACGGTACACACAATGCTGCGACACTTTCATTTACGACGTGAAAACTAGGAGTCACGGAACACGTCAGAATTGACCGCTGATCGAAAAATTGATCAGTCAATTTCCGAACTAGAGTTTGCAAAAGGGGGAAGAAACGACGGAAACTTCGAACTCGGAAGGATCCTTCGAGAGTACCTTTCTTCAATGTCGTTTTCTTTTTCCTCAAATTAGAAATGGTGCGTTTCGATGAACGCGACCACAGCATGGCGCCATTCACGACCAATAGAATTATTTCAACTTATACAATGTTTTTAAGCAATTATTTTTCTTGTATTTCACCTTCTATTACAACAAATTATCTTATATTTAAAATACTGTCATCTGTAAAATGAGCAGCACATTATAATAAATTAATATTGAATCTATGTAATAATTACAAATGGTTGAGGTATAATATTTTCTACGTTCTTCAAATTAATCTCAATGCCAAACACCTTTTCCTTTGTATTAAATGTAAAAATTTGAAAAATTAAAAGTTTTACTCACAACTATTAACCACACTGCTCATTCTTGTTTCGATTGGTTAATTTTGAAAATGAATTTAGAAATGGCCGCCAAATATCACTTTTCCGCGAAACGAATTTCTTATTTTCTATTTTCTAACTGTGTTTATTCGCGACAAAAGAACGCACGTGCTTAATGTTTGGAATGCGTCAATAAAGACAATATTCCGTTTATGTACATATTTTTATTTTTTATGAAACTCTTTTTATTAGAACAGTTTCAGTCAGAGTGTTTACATATTATAAAAGGGAAACTGTGTCTTTAAGTTTTAATGTCATTCCAGCTTACCAAACATCATATTTTTCTAATTGTTTGGAAAATACTAAACAGAGACAATGGAGAAATACCAGCATATGAGAACGTTTATATCGGCGGTTTTAGAATACACGAAACATCCTAGCGAAACAACTGCCTCAGTTTTACAACGAAATCTTGGTGTATGTATTATTTTAGAAGTATGATTTTAATAACATAACCGTTGGCGTAATTATACTTTAGAATTTTTTAATTTTCTTAAATAAATAATAAAAATTTATATTTTAAAAGATAATAAGCGCCTCGTTGGATTTGAGTATATTTGACCCTGGAACCAGCATAGCAGCTGAATTTTATGTTAGTCTGCATGAACTTATGAATTCTCTGGCATCCAGAACTACTCTAATTTGGAGCTCTGTTGATGTCTTACAAAATGCATGCAGAAATGCTGCTGCAAGACAAGCTTTAATTCATATGTACAAATTTGCTCCCATATTGGCAAGATTGTTGGAGGTATATATCTGTTTATATTCAACAGTAATGTAATGTTTCTTATAAATTTTAATATTTCTTGTATTACATTTCATAGGCTAATTTAACGAGTGAGAAAAGAGTAAGGGTATTAAAATTGCTTCAAGAATTGACATATGGCATAAAAATATCGTGGCAAGAAGCTCATTTGCCATATTTAATATCAATACTGACACAATGGGTGACACAATCCAAAGAGGAAGACATCATTGCACTTTCCTTAGGTGTATTAGTAAATCTTTGTTACAAAAACCTTCCAGCTGTATATACCTTGATGAGGACGATAGATACAAAAGCATTTATAAGAACACTGTTAAAACTGCAACACTGCAGTGTAAATACAAGCGTGCAATGTTGTAAACTCTTGATTATATTAGAACACACTAATACGAACATTTCGGAGAAGTACATCTTGGATTTTGCGGCTGTTACGTTTAGCAGTCTTATAACTGCCATGAAACAAAAGGATGTTTTGTTACTTAGACACATTATAGATTTCTTTCAAGATGTTGGACAGAACGAGCATTCTCATTCCGTTTTACTCACGTACCCGCAGTAAGTTGTTTTATAATCAATTTGTTTACATTTACATTGTGCACATTTTATCTTGTTTGTTAGTTACGGTAAAGATGTAGAAACTGTATTGGCTACGTTAGAAGACAACGCGGATCCAGAATGCGTTGCCCTTATGATGGAATTTTTATCATCGTTGGTAAAATTAAAATTGTCCGCTTTGGTACCCTTGTATCCTTTATGTGTGAAAACAGCGATGACTTGGCTTCCTGTAGAACAGGTTTGTTTTTATCTAAATCTATAGGTGAACAATATTTAATAACTAATTAAAACCATTTTTTTTTTTTTTCATCACTGCCAGGTTTGTTCTAAAGCGTTAGCTTTGATAAGGGTCACAGTAATTGACGCGCGACGTACTAAAACATCCGCCGAGGTACTTGCAGAACTGGACGCTTCCGTTTTGATGCTTATTATCAATTCAGAAAACGCGGAGATTCAAGAGAAGCATGAATTAAGTTTGGAAACGGAATCGAGATTAGCTGAGTTAATGCAATTGTTTCAAGAGATGGTTAAAATTCCAATGCTCAGAACAAAAGTAATGCAACTGTTGAACGAACAAATGATCCGTAAATTGTTAAGTCCGATGTTGGATAGCGAAACATGCGCCGCCGGTGACTGGCCAGGAAATTTTATTCAAGTACTATACTTTTCTTACATCATAATAATTTAGTGGAGATAATTTTAGTTTGAAATTTTTCAGAATCCTACTACCAACTTGTGTATTCATGCGTTAGCTTTGACTGCTGATCTGGCGACTAATCATTCACAATGGTTAACGTTATATTCCGAATTACTGCGAAACCAACAGATTCAAATGACAATGGCACACGCATTGTTTACAGGCGATGGAGATATTAAGCAAAAAGTGTTACAGTTAACGTCAACCGTAGGATTTCCGCAGGAATGGTAAGTTTTAAAGGAATACAATTTAAAAGAATACAAAAGGGTCTAAGAAAAGTTATCATTTGAAGAAAATGTTATAATTGATTACTAAGAGTATGATAATTCCGAAGTAAATTGTTTTAATTGCTATTAATGATAACTCTAGACAAATTCACGATCACACGCAAATTGTATCCCATGTTTTTGTGTGAAAAGTGTTTCCGCGGTGGCGCTATGTATGAAGCAATTGGAACCTCTAATATTGATACAAAGTTCACCCGGCGTCGCTCCAAATGTTGCAAATAAAATATCCATAAGTTCAAACACCGAAATGGCTCCACTTTTCTCTTTCTCCCAAGAGGAACGGCTTGATGCATTTTTAGCAAAATTGCAAAGAGCTTATGAATCAAACGAAATTGGTGATATTACCACATCAGCGGTAATGGAACTGTACGAATACAAGGTAGTAAATTTTTATGTAACATATTTCATTTCAAATGGAATATTACTTTTTATACTTACCATATTTTTTTCCTGTAATAGCTGGCAGCAATGAGACACGCAGAAAGAGCAATGCAATCCAGTTTAGAGGCAGCAAGCAATCATGGAATCAGTTTGCAACATAGGCTGGCACAAGTGGTGGCCGAATCGAGTCGTTTACATCAGATGCTATTCGATTCGCAGCAATGTTTAGAAGGAGTGAAGTCTACATTGACGGTAAAACTTGCTGAAGTAGAGGAGCAAAGTAAGAAAGCGATCGCTATCAAGAAACAAGTTAGTATCTTTCTATGGTAAATCCGTAATAATAAAAGTTCTGTAAAAATTTTAATAATACTTACATTTGTAGGAAATTGAAGGATTGAAAAAAATAGTAACGGAAAAATCTTCTACTATTGATCACCTGAATGTAATGCTCGTGCAACACAAACATGACTTAGAAAGCAGTATCAATAGAATTGAAGTGTTGACTAAAAAAATCAAAGAACTAGAAATTGAATGTATAAATGCGAACGCGAAAATTACAGAGTTGTCCAGTAAAAATCATGAGATAAGCAAGCTTCTCCATAAAATGCAAGATCAACTTAATAAAAAAGATCAGGTATACTCAGATTAACTGAAAAATTATTCTGTGCTGAATCTTTTAATAATCGTTTGATATTTTTGAACAGGTCATAGAACAAAAAACTGCAGAAATTCAATCGAATCAAAAAGACATTTCTGCGCTTAAACAAGAATCTCAACAATTATTGCAATTAGTACATACGTATGAACAAAATATTGCAGAAAAGGAAGAAACTATTAATAAAATGAAAGCAGAATTGACGGATTTAAGTCGCATGAGAGATATGATCTTTGAACTTACTGCCAAAAAAAAGGAAGACTTAAGCACAAGTTAATGTTGCATCCTTTTTCTATAACATATTTTCAAATTATCAAATTATCAATTTGATAGGTATTTTCGTAAAAGATTTCTTACTTATATATTTTCACCTATATTTGCAATAAAACCTATTGAAAATTAAATTGTACGTACATATATGTACATTAAAGAACCAGCAACATTGATTGCATGGTTTATTTTGTAAATATAATTTTGTCACTTATAAAATTCAGTGTAATTTTATATTCCTGCAAATATTAAGTATATTCATGTTATAAGCAACTAAATGCAATTATTTTTATAATTGTTTAAAAACGCAATATAATGAATAATTAGTAAACTTTTATTGAGAAAAAAAGTACGGTCATTTATAAGCAACAATATTTAGTTGTTAAGGTATAAAGAACAGCATGTCATAAAGAGTCTCTTTTGTTCCAAATTATTTTCTACTATGCAAGTTGTACGCAATAATCACAATATTAAATTGTGTTTCTAAATTATCAGATAATTCCCAGTACGTAAAAGGTAACAATCTTATCCGATATCTAAGAATCTCATGATACGCGCCATTCTTTTCAGTTTCTCTAAGAAATTTGTGTCATTACCCTTGGCATTTTAAAAGTGTACAGTACCAAGCACAGTACATGTCGTCTTGCTCGATACTGTACATCTAATATTAGCTATTGTAATGAACATAAAATTTATATCCTGCATGACGATTTGATCGCACAAGAACTGTGCGTGTTTATCACTTTTTGTTATTGTCAAACAAAAATATGTATCTTATGTCAATCATTTTTAAATGATTGCTTCTATGTACAGATAAAACTCTTACATATAAACGAGAATAGAGAACTTTTAGTATTCCTCGTACATAAATACAAAAAATATTTGTAATAGTTTGCACTTTTTCATAGAGAGATTAAAATATATTAAGTATTAAAATTTCTTTCGACTTGGTCGTCAAAAAAGTAAAACATGATGAAGCAATTAAAACCCATATTGTCATGCCAACAATTTCTTTGGAATGTTACAAAGTTCAATAATTGAACTAAATAAACTAATATAGTAGCAAATACTGATGCAAAGAAAACTTAACTAGGTTGAGACTTCTTAATCGATAAGTAGTCTAACCCATTCAAAAAAGAAAATTTGTGCCAAAGTGACAAAAAATGTCTGAATAAATAAAATTAAAACGAACTGAGAGCAACTCGGTCTACGGGTAAATTACTCTCCATGTTAAATACTTCGCGTCTAACTAAATTTTGTCATCAACTGCTACCTTTGCTCCACGGTTGTTCAGTAGCAGACGCGAATATCAGATAAAAACAGTTGGTACCCATATTTATAGCCGCTGCCAACCAGAACACTGCGTGCCAACGAGCCAGCGTTTCCTACAACATAAACATTTAACAGTAAATTTACTGTATTGATAAATACGTAATAAGAAAGTTGTGCGAATTTAATTATATTACTAACATGTCCTTGAACTAATCTTCCAATAACATATGGTGCTAAGAAGCCGCAAGCATTTGACGCTGCATTCGTAAGCCCATAAAGAGTTCCCGCGTATCGGGGCGCTAAAGCGATATGGTTCATTTGGTTGCCTGCATAAACCGCTCCTTGGAGAGATCCTAGTCCAGCGAGCATCATCATGACGGTCATGCGATCACATTCAGCCCAGATAGCACCGATAAAACTGAGACTCGGTCCTAACGAAGCCACTGTGTTCCATAACTTAAACGACGCTAAGGGAGATATAAGCTGGCGGGCAAGAAGGGCATCTGCGAAACTTGAAATACCAAGGCCGACTAACCAAGAACTCAAATAAGGCAGTGCTGAAAGAAATGCATCTTGTTGTACGTCGAAATGCAAAATTTTATCCATGTAGGTTGGTAATTCGGTCAGAAGGGTGTAAAATGCCCATGACTGTCCGCATTGTGTTATCGCTATAGCCCACATAGGTAACGACGTGAATACTGATAACCACGGAACTCCTGAATCGTTATCCTGCGTTTTATAATAAAACTAGGTCAGATTTGAATTAATCAAAAAGAAAGAGTAGTAGAGTAACATTTGATAATAAACCTCGTCTTTCTTTTCCACGCTAGCCTCGATAAATGCTCTTTCAAGGGGGTCGATTTTTGTGTGTTGCGCAGGTGAGTCGAATACAAAAATGAACCAAAATGCGTACCAGACGATGCCGAGTCCTCCAAACAAATAAAATGCTAGTGGCCATCCTCCCCAAAGTTCTAACGAACAGAACCATCCACTCACCGGTAATGATATAACGGTGCCAAAATTTGCACCTGAATAAAAGCAAATATGATTAATCTTGATTATTTTGTGCAATGAGAAAAAAAGACAGTTACCTGCGTATACTATCGCAGCAAATTTGCTTCTCTCTAAAGGAGGTACCCAAAGCGCTAACATACTATGCATCGCAGGGAACGTAACACCCTATTTGTAAAATTAATTCTTATTTAGTTATTTATTCATATGCACGTTTATTGTAGAATAATTTACCTCTGTGAATCCTTCCGCTACTCGTACGGCCAAAAATGGTACCAATCCTGCGTACGCTGCGAAAGGACTGATGACAGTCAGTACAGCAGTCAGAAATACTCCTAATCCAAATATTAGCTTTCCACCAAATTTCTCTGCCATTCTACCACCTGGGACGTTTGTAATAACATAGCCAAGGAAAAATGCACCCAATATAACACCTTGCGTCCGTTCGTCCCAATTAAATTCCCCTGCGCTCTATGGAAATTTAAATGATAATAAATTACATTTATCAGAAAAATAAAGGAAAATCATTACTAATTTATTTTTCATTAAACAGAGAATATAATAAGCGTAGCAGGAAAATAGATATTTTCAAACATACAAGATAAAAGACAAGGATGTAGGCGTTGATCAATGTTGTCTGTATGTGCTTAGGTCATACTATCAGTGATAGATTTGCATGAGTAATATGATAAAACAAACACAGCTACAGCTGACATTTGATCTGTATCAGCATTCTATAATGTATTATTATGATAACTTGACAGAAGTATTTATCATAAAAAGGAATAACCAATACATTTGATACATTACAATATTAACACATAATATTTCAATGAACTTACTGGTATAAATGTTCCATTAATTGGTTTTTCATTACGGCATACATCAGTGGTGTCATTATCATCATCATGCGGTATAGCTGTTTGATTTACCATTGATACAATAGCTACAGATAAGTTTACCCTCATTGCATACACAAGAGCAAATCCTAAGAATCCTAAAAATCCGAACGTATACCTTGCCTTTATGCATGATTTTGTATCTGATGGTATATCTGGTAAAGTAACTGAAACAAAAAATGTTATAATCAATAGGCAATTTAACTAATTTAAGTATTAATTCTAAATAATCAACCTGGTGTATCTTCAGATAATATCTTATATAACTTTTGGTCTTTTTTCATTCTTACTATCTCTTGCTACTTTTTTCTATTACATTCATATATTTTACTGAAACATTGTAACATATAAAAAAGTCTAAATTAAAGCTATAATCATAACATACATTTTTATAAATAAAAAAGCGAGTCAAAATTGCTTTCAATTAATATAATTCAGTTGAAAGTTTGACAGCTGACAGCGTGTGTATACAGTCCTATTGTTCCTTTGTTTCCAAACAATACTCTTTCTACATTTAAAGAAGAAGCGACAGTAAACATATATATACGTGAAAGAAAAAATATTTGCAATCGGGTGTGAAGAAAGCACTCACCTTTGTCTAAATGGTCGTTGATGCACAAAGGTTGATCGTCTCTTGAAACACTAGGATCCAGCACTTCCATGTTTTGCTTGTGCGCTATTTCAGAGACTCAACACTTTCACGACTGACCTGCTGCTTATTGTTACCATTGAAATTATTCTTTTATTCGATTTGTTTATATGTCGCACCAATATTACAGCTCGTATAATATGAAATTTTGAAAAAATAATTGAGACGATTTGAATTTTAACAATTATTATAATGCGAGCAAAGCGAATCGTCGTCTACTGTCATCACCACTTATCATCACTGATGCGAATACATACGAATAGTTGCGCACTCACGTCATTCGCGACTAACACATGTTTAGTTTCAGCAAGATTGCGCATGCGCATTACTTTTCTTTAAACTTTCTACAATTAAGTAATTGAAGGGATAGACATTATTATTTAATACATACATATTCTACTTAATCTTATTAATTATTAATAATTATTCAACAATTTGAATTATTTATATCATGGACATTTTTAAATAAACGAAAATTGCAACTATTAATTTTCATCAACTTAATTATAAATAATTGCTTCTATTACTTGTTATGATGATATTACAATAATTATACTAAGATACTATCAGAAAAATAAAAAAAATAACAAATTGAATGTTTCATAGCAATCAAATATTTATTTTTGTATATTGTATTGATAGAGTGTAACAATAATATAAAGAAAAGCATTTAGGTTTTTTTTTCATTATTGTCAATTTTCATAACTTTTCCTTTTCTATCAGAAAAACCAGTGCTTTTTTCTTAAAGCATTATATATTTAAAAGCACTCTAAACCTGATTTTGATAACATTCTTAACAGTTTTTGTAATTATGAAACATTATTTATTATTGTGAAAGTAATTTGTTCCTTTTTAAGAAAAATAGCACTAGTTATAATAACATGTTGCTGTGCCCGTTGTAAGCGTTCTCTCTCCAACATTAGAAATGTATAAATGTTAATTATGCAGCTAACCGGTAGTATAACTATTATTAATACCCTGCGATTAGAACGATATATACTATAACTACTAACATTATAAATTGTCAACTGCTATTAAATATAATATTTACATGAAAAAAAGAAAGCATTAAAAATATTACTTTTGTATTTTATTTGTTTTTATAAACTGAATTATAACATAAGTTATTCTTTACAGAAAATTTGTATTTAAAATTATTTTCATATTAGAAAATACAAACTGAATAAAATAAATATTACATTGCATTTAGTTATTTCAATGATCACTATTTAAGTACTATTGTGGATTTCATGCTAAACATAACAAATTAATATAAAGAAAATGTAATTTATGTAATGTCAATAGAATGTAATATATATGTATAAGTACATAACACAAAAGTAAAAGCTCCAAAAATATAGTGCATAAAGTAAGACTGTAAATTCCTAATACCACAGCACTTGTAAAACTATAACATTCCAAATAAAAATAAACATAGTTAATTCTATGCACATTTTTCCTTTTTTCTTTCATATAACTGAATAAACTTAATCACGAATTTAAAAACAAATTAATCTTTGCAACTTTTTGCAAGAAACTTTATAATTTAATTCCTTATATTCAATTCACAGAATAATTAATGTTTTAACTTGTTAATATAACAAAAGAAGAAGTTTGATTTCAGTTGCGAAAATTATATTTCTATCATCGTTATCCCAGGACAATTCTAAAGTTCTCATTATAAGTGTATTTAAATTTTTCTTAATCCTTAATTTCTAAGCTATATATATAAATAACAATAATATCGATCAACAACAACTCTATCAATATCAAGTTTTACGATCGATGCGACAATTCAGATATCTACGTTTTGATACGTAGATACGGTATGATGAAAGGAACGTCATACAATGGCAATATACGTTAACATTTACTAAATATTATTTTCTTTGGTGAATAAAATAAATAATTAATTCAAAATGAATAAAACAATAGTTAATTACTATCGATGGTTAACAAGTTTAAAACTCGCATATATTATTCTACGAATAAGACATTAAAATCTAGTAAGAGAAGAAGTTTCTATAACATTCCAAACAATCACAGGAAGTTTAGTGAATATACTGCTTAATTATTCCATTAATCAAATTCAGCAATAACATACATGACTACTCTTAATTACTAAATTGAAAATCTTTATACAAGATTAAACAGAACGAAATATAATATAAACATAGGCACACAACTAATTGACAAAATACTTTGAAGTAATTAAAATCTTAAATCTTGTACTAATATACAAGATTTCATGTTATGTTATGTTATCGTATCAATCAAAATGTACATATATATAATTTTGAAAGTTCTATGTATATTAAAAGCTCTAAGAGTTATTTTTTAAAACATCTAAATTATTTTCGAACTTTCGAAATCAAGTTTCATTTCTAAATATAAAACTCATCAAAGAAATGCTGCTGGAGCATTAAGCGTGGCAATACCGTGATATACATAAACAAAATGACTTTGTTTTTAGCCAAGGGTTGTTTGACTATTGAAAGATATTTTAATTACCAACTTACTGTAGAAGGAACATGATTGCTAACTGTGAAATCTTTGTATTGAGAGAAAACGCAAATCTGAAAAATATTTCAAATAAGAAAAAGAAATTGTATAAAACAGCAGTGTTTAAACTAACCTTGTCTTTTAATCGTTGACAAAGTTGTAGCGCTATAGTAAGCAATACTAAAGCGTCATTTAGCCAGGGAACACTACATTCCGCTTGTTGCGTCTCGTACTTGACACTACCGTGTGCATTTTCTAACTGGTATACTGCTAGAACCAACTTGTAGCTCTGAATGTAAAAGCTAATGGCTAAATTTTCAGGGAGATTTGGATTTAAAGATTTCTATGAAAAAAGAATTAACATTAACATTAACGTTAATAATATATTTATATTTCCGATATATTTACTGACCATATTACGGCTTTTAATGAGATCATCGATAGTTTTCTTCCTAGGAACGATTAAACTTGTTCGGCTACGTTGTAGGCAACCAAGTATGTTTCCTAATACATGCATTACTTCATCAGATGTTTTAAAAAGATAATGACGATCAACGTTATCTATATGAGCAATGGCTTGCTGTAGATGATTGGCAGCATCCTGTATTTGTTGCAATTTCCATGGGTGCTCATTCTGTATGCTTGTTCTCATATTAATATTTTGTTGTCGTTGTACTTTAAAATTTACTTCCTATAAATATTTTTTTATTACTTTCTATTATGTGATTGTAGATAAAAAAAGAAACAGGATAATAATTACTACTTACCGCGTTAGTGATACTATCACCAGTTAAAACTGCTACACATTTTACTTGATCATGAGGTGCAGCAAATACGAACCTATCTGTTTTATTGTGTTGATCATTGCCAAATAATGCTAATGGAAACCTTTGCGCGCATTCCTATAACATAAGAACAAATACTCTTCCAAACTGATTTATTAAGAAGCATATATGTATAATTTTACTATACCATTAAGATGTTTCTTAATTGCGACAGCGAAGAATGAACTTCTTCATGAAGCACCCACTCAAACTCCATTTGCTGAAAATATTAAACAGTTAATTACTTTTATTTCTTTACTACAATGTAATTTTACATTAAAATAATTACAAACATAGGCTTTTAACTTGCAAAATTTATCAATCACTGTAAATTATGTATAAGATAATGTTACATTTACTGAATAATAAATACTGCTAGATAAAATAGTTCATATTATTTAGGAAGAAATGCTGTAAGGCGGAAATTTGTCAAAATCAACTGTCAAACGTATAAATAAGAAGTAAACATGACAGTAAAATGATCTATCAAAGGCAACATAACCACAAAAATGCAGTTTCAAGAAGAACAGCAAGAGCAGGTTGATTAGTTGGAGGATAGATAAAGTATACTATCATCGCGAACTGCGAGACGACGAGGTCGCCTAAGTGATTAGATAAACGGTAAGCAAAGGCAAATAGCTTACGAGATTGTGAGCCTCCTCTTTCTCGCAGTCAGCCATTTTTCCGTACCGGGTGGTGCCTCCACTTACTTCCTGGTCACAAGCTTTCAGGTGTATATGTTCGCCTTATCTTTAATTCAGTTCTTTAACAATTTCTAAATTATACTTGAATTTCTTACTCATTGAGTACGATCGTTGATGTTGTTCTTTAGACGCGAAAAGATAAACTCTATCATCTTTTCCACCAGAAAATTCAGCGATCTTGAACAGATAAATCGTTATCGTTGAAAGATATTCTAATTATAATCTAGGATCAATGCGGATTAACGAAGCAATTTACACGTTATTAATAAGCAAAAAGCATAAGTATATGGTATTCATTTTTTTTCTTCATCTTTAAGCTTCCAAACAGATCAATTATTTGTATTGATTTAGCTCATAAAATTCAATTTTTAATATACTATTCTTGCTCTACCCCTAACAGTATACCCACCTCCTTGATGTACCTGAGATGGAATCAATTATTAAACATTTGAAATTGATAGCACAACTATGATATTATTTATTACATATCAGGTACATGTACAATATTTCTTACCGTTACATAGGTAGTTATTACAAAATATCAAAATGTTTTTGTTGTGCTAAATACTTTTAATAAATATATATATATCTTTGTTAGCAAACCTAAAAATTAAAACTACAATACATTTTAGAAAATTGAGGCACAGATTATCACATCATTCATCGCATACATTTACTCGTGTGCATCCATATCGACAAAGATATGTTTTACTTGTGCTCGGAGGTGCGTTTAAAGTTATATGTATTAATCTATTAATCATAAGTCGTGGCGAATTACTGTATATTCACGAGATTTTATGTAACCTTTTTCAATTTAGGCATTTTCTTTGGGCACTTTTGCACATGAACATACCAGTGTTTCTCTTGACATCTTTCATTGCAATAAAAAGCCATCTCGCATCCAAGACACTTGAATTTCGGCCCGATGCTACTGCAGTTCGAACATACAAGATTGTGTAAACTGTTCGGGCTGCGACTTACTTTGCCGAGATGCGGTGTATCACAATTCCTGAGATCATTTGCTGGCAAGCTCTTCGACAGTGGTGGCTGTGTTGAACTTAAAGGCACCTGATACGGTGTTGAAACGATGCTCGCCATTGCTGCTTGAGTATTATTATCGATCAATGAATTTGTTTGCGCAAAATTATCGGCGGTTTTAACGAGCGTTAATCGATCGTATAAGAAATTTTGCATCTGTTGATACTTGGCGGTATTGTCACGAGTTTCCTCAGCAAAATTCTCGTCTCGCGTTCGATTAGTTTTACTGGGATTAGCTGCATCTCCATCGATACCGATATCATTTCTATTGTACGTTAACGTGTCGCGTTGCCTGTCGATGGAAGCAGCTGCTACAACAGCAGCAGCCGCGGCTGCAGCAACAACATCCGGGATCATTCTGTTTCGAGTAAACTGGCTATTCGCTGGATATCCACCTAAAGGAGTCCGTGTCTGGTGAGAAGAGGATAAAGATGACGGTGATGTGAATAACGATGGTAAACAGGTTGCAGTAGCAACATTGTTGCCGACGTTCCCACTTCCTCTTATACGATCAAAATCTATATTAATGGGGTGCTGCAAAGTGGTCGATGGGGAAGGATATCTCGCCATTGAGTCTTGGACAGAAGGCAAGCGTTTGTCCAAGTGCAGCAGTGGTCGCAACGATTCTTGCATTGGGAAGTGATATCCTGGCAGAGGAGCTGAGTGTAAGCGAGAATGGTACGGATAAGTGCCGTAGGGACAGATGGCTGAATGGTAACTCAAAGTAGCACTGTTGTAGGGATCAATCTGTAATTGAAACAGGTATTTAATTATATTAAGATTTTGTTTGGAAATGAATTATTTTTGAACAGTAGCGGCTCGCGTATAGGCACTGTGGAACTGTAACATTTAATATAATGAGTTTTTAAGCTTAATGTCAGTACCCATCCCCCAGTTTATGAAAAAGATAGAAAAATTTTTGTATAGAACTGTGCGCTGCACAGTTTTAGCGGCGTGGTTTGACTGTTGTGCGCATGCGCACATAGGAAGCTGCGCAATGCCGGTTTTTTAAAACAAACGCTAAAAATTTTCTAGAGCAGCATCCCCACTAATTTTGGCTACGAGCTACCACTGTTTTTGAATTTATAAAACAAATCAATGGAAACAGATTATTCACTTACAGCATAATTGTTAGGATAGAACTGAGACATAGGAATAGGTGGACAGAGAGCAGAACGTAGCGGTGGTATTGCTGGAGTTGGTTGCGAAAGAGACACCGATGCTGCGACATGTTGCAGCAATTGTTGCTGTCGTTGCTGTTGCTGATGATAGTGTTGCCATCTTTCTGTACCGTACTGAGATGTATTTACCGATTCGTTAGCTGTATTGGGGGCAACCATCTTTTGTATTTCAGCTCCAGAAATCTGTGCAGTGCATCATAAACATTAAATACAGAACAATTAAGAATTAACAATTTCATTGAAGAACTCTTACACTAGTAGAATTTTCTGTAGGCGTAAATGAAATATTTCCCGTAGGTTGTAGTTTTGATTTACTTTTCGATGCTTGTTTCTTGGACATCCGGGTTAACCAGTTACCAAGACTGGGAAATTGTTCGGTCATCAAATGATTCTCACTGCTTGCTATTTCTTCTCCTTTATAATTTTGTTGCGGTCTATTCGTGTGTATATCAGACATGAAATTTCAACGATAAAATCTATTAATATTTTTATTTAACTTACGTAAGATGTTCTTGATTCGACGCAGCTCTTGTCGCGTTAAACTGATTCCACTGATTCAAATTGAAGGCAACCTAGAAGAACGTACGTCTGAATTTTGCTCTTCTTCACCAGTAAAACAAACTTCTACCAACCTTTGACACGCTTTGAGTACTTTTGGGAAACGAAACATCTTCCTCTGGAGCAGACTCGAAGGAGTTAGGTTGCAAAGAAAGCTGTCTTGCAGGCTTCAAATCAAGCATTTCGTTTTCCTGAATGTCCGTGGTCGTTTCCATATCACTGATCACGGTACTGATCATTGGTTCAGCTTTAGAGAAGCCAAGGCACTTGAGTTTCTCAGTTTCTTGAACCGCAGGACTATTCCGAGGAAAGTTTTCCGCTAACTTACCTTTTTCATCTTTCTTCTCCTGACAAACACCACCGTCCTCGAGAAACTTTTTAGGATTACTTGAAGACTGTTTGTTAACATCATCGATACTACACTGTTGATTCAGAGGACTCGTTCTTACGCATTCCTCAAAATCTGAAGAGATTTTATTTACATTCCGAAGCGACTCTTCTGTTGACCATAATTTTCTGTCCGAGATCTGAAGCTCTTCTTCGACCGGCTCTTGACTCGACGAAACGATGAAGCTCACCCTGGGTAAAATTGGAGGACTGTTCCTGGCTTCTTCGGGTAACGTGTTTTCGTAGTTGGTGGGCGATCGAGGTGACAATTTCGGCGGTTCCGGTGACGAAGCTGGAGAGTTGTTCTTCGTTGACTCCTCGTTAGTTTCAGTGAAATTCATCAGGAGATACTCGTCGTCGTCGTCGTCGTCGTTATCGTCGTCAGGATTTGCAGCGTTCTCGTTCACGTCGATCACCTCGCTAAGAACTGGAAGGGACGCGGACAGTTTGCTATGCAACTTGGAGAGATTTTCAATTTGCTTCTCGTACCGATTCATCACCTGCCTTAGCCTGGTACTTTGCTGTGAACTGGAGTCACTCGCCATTTGTTTGGCCAATTCTACGGCTTTGCCACGTAGCTCTCGGAGCTTTTGTTTCAGTTTCTTTCGTCTGTACTCTAGCTTGTAGCTGTCGGTGTTTAAAGGAGAAAAATTCGTGTCTTTTTCACAGAGCATGTCGTTCCAGCTGGATGGAATGGGACTGGAGGAGGGTTTGGGTGTTGTTCCCGTCACGATTCTGTAGTTCGACTCGTGCCCTGATCCGGTATCGTTTCTACAGGTGTATCCTTCCATTTCTGGGGAGAAGAGTAACATTTTAACACTTTATACATCGTTTATATTAATAATTAATTTGTATTTGTACCTGTACGAATCACCTTCTTCAGCCTCAAGGGAGGCACCACCTTAGCCCCCTCCTCTTTCGAGGAAGACACAACCCTGAAGCATCTGTCGGTACAAGAATTCCCTGCTTCTTCGTTCACGTTCGAGCCACAGAAGTTTGTTAAAAATTCTTTTATCGAACCCTCCACGCGTTCCTCTCTTTGAGTAGAATCCGCTTCCTGCGATTTCTTCTTTCTCCTATTTTCCCCTCGCGAAATCTCCTCGCCGATTTTCTTCTTCTTGCCGCTCAAACTTCCGACTTTCGAAACTCGAGGAACAACGCAGTCCACCAAATTGGCTAATTCCTTCAACATCGAGCGTTCTTGTTTCACATCGAATTCTCTTCTGCCAGCCTCTTCGTTCGACGACACGTTTATCGATCTCACTGGTTCCACTTCGACCACGTCCGTAGACGAGGATTTCGATAGAACCAGCAACGGCGGCGAACAGTCCTTGCGTAGGGACCTCGCGGGTACACAAGGTGCCGGGCGAATCGGTAAGGAACGATTAGGTTGCACCGGTATCAAACACGGGCCACGATCACGTAGAGCCGTTGCTAAACTTCCACCTCCGTTGATGTTTGATTTGCTCGAACTGTCCGCTATCATAATTCGAGGCTCTGAAACGAGATGATTGTTACATATACAAAGATTGTCGACCATGTGCAACCGTTGCATTGACGAAACGCAAATTGATAGTGTTTTGTCATTATTTTCGATTGTTCGAAATAATCTGCAAATAAATGAATATGGTATTTATTGTCTGCGTGTTGCGTTGTTTATTTTCACGCGATTAGAATTCTCGATATTCTGGTATTTATTTATTCATCTATGCATATTACCTCTCGGAAATTTGAGCTTCGATTTCGTGCGCCTTCGTTCGACTTCGGGTCAACTCGGCAAAAATCGAACCCGCTCGGTTCCGGAGTTTGCCGGGTTGCCTCCAAGGCAGGCGCGTTTTTCGAAAAATTTACAATAATTTAATTATTGATGCTATTACCTAATACAACATTCGCAGAATGATTTTGTTTTCCATTAATTTTTTCATTTTCTGTGCTTTCCAGCTCTTCGTCGAATCGCTTAAAAATCGTTTGTTTCCATGTACTCCTTTCGTCGGTCGTTAGATCGACGAAAATCGGTCGTTCCCGACACCCGGATGTCTCCTCCGTCGCGCAAACTAACCGACATTCCTCGTTTGATTCGTTCAGTTTCTGTAAACTTTCGCAGGGAATCTCGCTGGAGCTGCTGATCAAACAAACACCCTGCTCTTCCTCGAAGTTTTCGCCATTTTCCTCGCAGCACAAGTCTTCTTCCTTAGCCGATAATTTTTCGGAGGATTCCTCGTGATACGACAAGGACGTGCCCTCTGCTGCATCTTTCGATTTCTTACAAATGAACTTGTTTCTGGAGATCATCACCTTTGGCCAACAAGTTTTAGTAAACATTTTCATAGATATTTTATGTTTCTTCGTTCTTCCTTTTTGCTTCTTCAAAGAATCGTCCAACTCGCAGCCATTTAGTTGTTTCATGATTCGAAATCCCTTGCGTTCAAAGTTTATGAAAATTTTAAACTCTTTAATATCATTTCTTTATAAAATTTGAAAGTTACGTAATTTATACTCACGATATCTATCAAAACTGTGTTACAAAGCTCTTTTCTTCATTTCACTAATAAATTTTCTTAATAATTCAAAGAGAAAACCTCATTGCATCTTCCTCCTACCAAATTAATTAAAAACAAAATATCGAAAAGTTTAAACAAAAACAAAAAAAATAAAATAAATTGTATTTTAAATAGTTGCAATTATAAATGCATGTTTAATTAATTCTGTTTAAGTGTTATCAGAGAGAAATTTAATCCGACACATGCCATAAAGTGGATCGAGACGCAACCGCGCGAAAAGTGAAGCCCAAGAGCAAGGAATCTTGCATGTACGCCGATGTTTCCCACTTCTAGAAAAGTTCTTATTAGGGAAACCCTTCGCATTGGACGACTAGAACGCAGTCGTTTGGCGCAGCTCGGAGATACAATGTTTAGCGGCAAGAAAAAAGGACAATAAATTTATTTCCTTTAACGTTGCGTGGTAAGGAGGTCTTTTTCATTCTTAGAATTACCTATCTGCTGTCCTTTTTTTTCATCATGGATTGCTCGGACACGACGACTTGATGGACATGGGAAATATGGATTATTTCACATCTTCTTTATTTTCCGTCTACGAAGAATATATGGTATCGCTGGTATTGTAATTTAAAATGGTGCAGTTTTCTTTTCTCTGAAAAGAAAAAAAAGAAAAACATTTTGCATGTATTATGTTTGTATAATATTTATAATGAATTACTTGTAATATTTGTATTGTGTAATACCTTGTATAATATAATGTTGCATAATAAATATCACAATACAATTTTTTTAATATTATACTATTTGTGTAACTTAAAACTTTCTCTAGCATTTAGTATTGCAATTACCCTACTGATCATTGTAACTATTATAGTCGCTTCTTTACTGGTTACATAGTTGCTATATATAGTCTAGCTATTATTATTGTTCTTACATTTGCTACATTCAACCCAGTAACACTGAGATTCATATATGAAAATACATCATCGTGAGCCTATCTGTAAACGATACATGTATCTTGACACGCAGTTTATATTTAACATGCGTGTAAAATGTTTCTTGTACGTGCACGATATCGATCGACTTTTTTATTATTCCGAGCGCTGTTTAATGCTTAAATGAAAAAGTTCCCCTTGCAAAATCGATTCGTCAAATAATCGGTGTCTTGTATATTTCTCACGGAAATTCATTGAAACTCTTCATACTTTTCTGTAAAAATAAATATCTTGCATAAGTAATATTCTAATCTCAAGGAAATTAATTGAAGTTTCTTGAAATTTTAAAAATCATAACTTATAGCAGACTTGAATCTTAAATTTTTTTTTTATAAATATCTTACATAATTAATAATTAAAAAATATGTTTATTTTAGTATTAAAGAAACTTCAAAGAATCCTCTACAATGAATTTTTTATTTCAATATTCTGCAATAGGATATGGAGTATATATTTTGCCTGCAACATGAACACTTAGTACACAAGCAGGGTACCAGTCACATGTGCATTTTCCCACCTAAGGAAAGTCGACGGCATATAGAAACTCGACGACGATACGCATGCACCAGCAAAAGGGGTGAATCACCCTACCTTCCCTCTGACCGGTTCTTCTTCGGTCGTTGAATAAAACAAAATGTCTTTGATGCGTTTGAATATTTTTTTCGATAAACCTAAAGTAACAAAATAAACAAAAATATAATTCATTGCAAATGTAATTAAAATCATCTGAATAATATTCAATAATTAAAATTTCGTATTTAATTCTTAACTAGTAAAGAAATTTTAATTTTACGTTTTTTTTGCGCTATGACTTTTTTTAACGTTATGACAACGCTAACCATTATTTCAATAATTTGAAGATACTATGAGTTTTTGAAAATAAAAATTTGACTTTTCTTCGATTAAGAAAAGAAATAGAGAATTGATTTCTATACCTAATAATTTTGTCGAACAATAAGTAAAGTTCATTTTTTATGAAATGATTGCAACGTACTACTAGATAATTATTGAACAAACAAAGCAATCGCTAGTTACCGTTTATAAATAACGGACAAACTCCAGTTCCGCTCGGTTGTCTTCATTTTTGTTTTATCGATATTCGTAAACACTTTCAGCGAAATTCCATCGGAATAACGTGCAGAGATTTTATAGGTTGACATTTTGCTATGATTGTTACTCGAAAATCGTAAAGCAGTAGACTAGGGGCACGCGACATAAGATTCTTATTAAAAGAAAACCGAACAAAATTTTTAAAAGTGCAAAATGGTCGTGCTTAAAGTAGAAAATGAGGCGTCGAAAACAACGACCGTTTGTGGAACATCGTCTGGAGGAAAACCAAAATTTAGAAATAAAGTTTGCACCACTACGCCGCAGAAAGCGTGTACTCGAACTACTGAATATAAATCAACTCATTCAAAATACTGTTGCTCTTGTAATGAAAAAGAGGTATTTCTTAATACTTACTTCCCTATATATCCATATTATCTTATAATAACTTTAATTATTAATATAAACATTATTATTGATGGATCTTACTTCATTTCTTGAAACCGCGGGAAAATATTTAAATTTGAAATTGATGAAAGGCACCGAATTAATTTGTATTACTGTATTAACAATAAGTCTTTGTATTTAAATATTCAGATGCTTTATAATTCCCATTATTTAATTATCTAGTGGAATAAAAGAATAATTAAGAGCACGGGCAAATTGCAAGCAACTTCCATGAAGAAAAAAATACCACCTCCAAAAGTACTAACAAAGGAAGAATATAATCAGTATAAAGAATTATGTCCTATGACAAAAGAAGAGAAGGAGAAAGTTCTTAAAATGCAAGAAGAAGAAAAACAAAGGCTTCTAAAGGAAAGCATGGAAAGAAAAGAAGAATTTCGCAGGCTAGACAGGGAGAGACCTAGAGTAAAAGATCCAAAACTGATTGAAATTGAAGAGGAAGCTAGGAAAAGAACAAATTATTTGCTTGAACGAGCTGAGAATCTAAAACTCGAACAGGAAGAAGAAATTCAAAAGTGCAATAGAATTATTCTGGAAACTAAATGCCGGGCTATCCGGGACGCACAGGTAAAAGAAGAAAGATCCTTTTAATTACTATAAAGAAAACAATAAACTGATTAAGTGTAATAAGTTTATATAAAATGTTTTATTTCTTGAGACATTAATTCTTCTACAGGTGGCAGAAAAAAAGTTGATTGAACAAGAATTGGGAGAAGAAGAGAAACGTCTGAATGATATGATGGAGAATGAAAGAAGATGGGCTATTAAAGAAGAATTCAGAAAAGAGCAAGAAGAAATAGCAAAGAAGGAAAAATTTGCCAACAGTTTGATGGATCAAATAAAAGACAACGAGGATTATAGAATATTAGAATTCGAGAGAAAGCAAGAAGAAAGTCGATTAATTAATTTGAGCAACATTGCCTGGCAACAGGAAGAGATTGCAAAATTAAGAAATAAAGAAACGGAAAATACACGAATTCGACGAGAATTAGCTGAAGTAAACGAACAATTGAAACATTTGAAGGAGATGGAAGAACAGGAGAATAAAATCATTGATCTTAGGTAAAAAATCATTGTTTCAGTTTTTCATGAAACGAATAATAAATTAATAAATATTGAACGCATAGGATACAAGAGTATCAACAATATAAGGAGGAAAGAGATGCACAATTAGCGGAGGAACGGAGATTAGAAAAATTGAAAAAAGAACAAGCCAAAGCAAAAGTCGCCAGTCAGACAATGCAAGCGAAAGATTTTCAAGTATTTAATTACTTCTTTTTAATTGATTGAACGTTACTTGAATTTCAGTGATAACATTGTCACAATTTGGACAGGAACGAATCGATGAATTGAATGCTGCTCGAATTCAAGAAGAGGTAGAACGTGAATGGAGGCAAAAAGAAAAGGAAGAAGCTCTGAGAAGGGCAGAAGTTCAAAGGGCTCTTAAGGAGGAGAGAGAAAAACAAATAAATAATAAACGTATAATGCAGGCGATCGAATTGGAACGAGAGCGGCGTGAATTTGAGAAGATTGTACATGTTCAAAAGGAAGCTTTCTGCAGAGAACAGAAGGAAATTGAGAAAAAACAACGACAAGCTTTAATTCATAGGAGTGAGATACTAAAACAGGTTTGTTTTAGTCATTTAAATCTGTTCAGTATTTATTCAGTAACTTAATCTTCAATTGCAATATCTTCAGGTAAATGAGAAAGAAAAAGGACGAATTGAAGCTAGACAAAAGATGTTTGAGGAAGGCTTAGCTATTCGTACAAAAACTGAGATGCGTAAGAAAAAATTGCGCGAGGCAATGGAAAGGAAATGCAACGAAATGAGAATAAACAAAATGCCTGAAATGTATATCAACGAAGTAAAACGAATGATCGATAATATCGAATAAATATAATAAATATACGTTTGTAACTTGTCCATACATCGTTATACACAATATATCCTGCGTGCCGTAAAAAATTTTTTTTCGCTTATCAAAATGACGAAAAAAATTGTACTTTCAAATATTATTTCCATAACATGACAACGTTTGGATCACGTTCAACAATATCTTCAATTTGTGCAGCTGATTGACCGGTGCTGCAACAAATCTCGTCAAGACTGTATGTACCTGTAAAGTACTTATAAATTGGATTGTTCTTTGCTTCCTCGTTGCAAGGAGATCCTGGCAAATATATTGGATACTGCAATTCAACATAGAAACAATGATCTTTGAATCTTTGAAAATATAACAGATTGCATGAAAGAAATTGGCAAACCTTATATACTCTACGGATAAGACCTTCGATTAGACCAAATTGTACCAATCGTCTTTCGTTAATCCTTAAATTCTGAGGGTTCAGACGTTGACAGAGATCCCTCATACTGCTACCATGCGTCATACTTGCATACATTCTATATATATCCCTAAGGTACGCAGGTTGTCTAGCTGAAAATAATATTTAATAAAATAAAGCTTTCTTGGATTTTTGTAGAAACCTTTCTGCTGGGAACATTAAACATACGAAATTTTGAAGCATACGCTATACATCGTTCCTGTAACTTTGAGTTTTCTGCCAATTCTTTTAACTTGGATGTTGCACCATAAACGTTACTGTATTGAAATATTGGAATCAGGGTTACAACACCGTAATAGCTAAAAATCGATGAAGAAAATTATTACAGAAATTATACATTTAAAAAGACATTTCATATTAATGCACTTACACAAGGTTCTGCACGCAACTTTTAACCAAGTTATTTTCTACATCTGCTTCGGCCGCTATTCGTGCAACATGATTAAATCCATCTATGTAAGGTAATACTTGTTGAGTAGTTAAATCCCATTGATCGCTTTGAAATGCTTCACGACCTTCTAAGAATATCGGTACCTGATGATCAAGAACTGGCTTCGGCTCGGGTGCTAACTTGATGACTTTCAAATTGGATGTCATTGTTCCTTCTATTAAAATATTAACATTCGTGTCTTTGATATTCTTACACAAAACTGTTTCCTAAGAATAACTCTTACCCGTTAATGTACACATTTTGTGCAAATTTAAATCCTGCATTACTTGTTGGAGCATTTCTGCTAATCTTGTTTTAACCTCAGACGCGGATAAAAAACAATTTTCTACTTCAAGAGCCATCTAAGAAATCAAATAAAGTTTACTAATCGATGCTTAATAAAATAAATAATAAAATACAAAAAGCTTACTAGAAAATCAGACATCTTCTTCACAACAGGTTCATAATGAACGGTACGTGCTTGAGCATCACAGACAAAACATAAATTAAAATAAAATGCATTTCTTGCATATTTATTGTCATCGATTCTCACAGGAAATCCTAAGATTTTATAATCCTTCAATGTTCTGTAATAAAATAAGAAATTGAATGTACAAATTTGAACATTGTTGCTATTTGTAAACTTACACTGTTATGGTACTTCGCTGCAGTTGTGCTTTGGGTATGATATAAACACTAACATTATCAAAAATATCCTTTGAAATAAAGTTATCTGGAACCTAAAAACAAAAGGAAAGATATGTTATTAATATTATTTACATCAGGTAACTGGTGCAAATATTTAAAAGAAATTAAATGCAATACTTATTAACCTGACAAGTAATCATTGGGCCAACAACAGGGTGAAATTCTGAAAAAAATATACATCTGATTGGATCTTCTTGACCTTTATCTTTTGTGTTTTCTGATAACGATGTCATTTTGATGGATCTTATTAACCTGTCATTGAAAGAAAAAAGTAGTTTTAATATATATATATATATTTAAACAATATACAAATACTTATATATATTATAATATTTACAAACCTATTCTACTTGTATCCTTTAGTTCTGAACAAATTTCCAATGAATCTTCATGCTGAATAATACTGAATCTAGTCTGAATACATATTACTCTAATTACTCGTTGAAACCATTTAAAATACAATTATAATTACCTTCCTTGAATTCCGTTTGAATCGAAATATATCTATTTCCATAACTAACGAATAAACTGTTATTCAGTATTTGAAAAGGTTTCTTACATTAATTAATTTATATATATTAGGTGCATCCTTCATATTTATTTGCATTTCATTTCGTATGGCATTGATAAAAAACATTTATTTATGCAACAAACTGTGTGTTTAGATGCATAAAAACATTTTTATTGTTCTTGAAAAAATATCACCACTGCATTGATATCGTATGTTGCATGCGATGTGTTACACATCCACACATATGTAATATACATATACATTGAAAGAGAAAATGAGAAAGAAAGAATGTTTGTATAATAGAAAATATATGTAACTAAAAAAGAAAACCGAGTGAGAAAGAATATATAGAAATAAACAAATAAAATAAGAGTCAAGATAACGAACGGTGTTGTATCAATGAGTAAGATGAAAATAATAGGTATGGGAAGGAAAAGTAAGAAAGAGAAACGACACAATGAGCTGATACAACATACGTATAAGAAAAAGAGAAAAATAAAATAAAATAGTAAAATAAAGGGAGAAAGAAAATGTGCGCATGAGAAAGAGATGTGTAAAGGAGACAGGAAAGAAAAGAGAGCAAGGATTTAATGAACAAGTACCAACAAGTGACTGTGATAAAGAGAGGAAGAATATTTAACCTTCCTCGGTGAATCATTGGTATGTACAATTTATTTTTTTATCGTTTTTGTATTTAAAATTTGTTGTACTTATTACACACTAATTATTGCATATGTATATAAATATGTCTGTATACATTTATAATCAGTAACCAAACATTATTTATTCAAAGCAAGCACGAATGCGTTATTTATGAAGTGTTTATTTTAATAAATACATAATACATTGTTATTACTAAAGTGTTATTCTTTTTAAATTCATCTATTCATTTAAATTATTAATTTGTATTTTTCGATTACCAGAACTACTGTAGAATATATCTAAATGGTATTTGTCAAACTTTGGATCCTTTACCACTATGCGTTTCCAATAAAAAATTTCTCCCATTAAAATGATAAAAGCTAGGAAATAACCAATTACAATAGCAATAAATGCACCTTGTAGTTTATGAAGATTCACCAATGCTTTTTCAGACTCTGTTTCCTGTCGAATTTCCATAATTTTTGACCATTCCATAACATCGCTTAACCATTTCTGAACTAATCCAATTTCTATTATACGTCTTATCTAGAAACATACGCGACATTGTTAAATTTTATAATTAATTTTTTGGAATAATTATACATTAATTAATTAGTACCAAAATGTCAACGTGTGGTTTTAATGGTGAATTCTTCTCCATGCCAAGAGCAATAGGCACATTTATAACACATTCTTCCATGATATGCAAATTATGTTTAAAAGATGTATCCTTAACAGTCTTATTTTCTTTTTCTTGTCTTTCAAGTATCTGTCTTTTCACGCGGGCATGTCTGAGTAGATAAGAATTTTCATAGTAACCAAAAGATCCATTTGTCACTTTCTCTATAGCTTCTTCCTCGTGTTCAATCAGTTGAAACTTATTGCCAACTTCTTGACTACTAAGATCTGATGACATTAAAAAGAAATCTTTACCCTCTTCGTTCCATCCTCCAACTTCTATAGAACTTTCAGCCAATTGTGTCAATGTATCGATAGTAACTCTGCAATAGTAATTCAGAATTAAGTATAAGTAAATCAGTCGATTAAAAAAAAAAAAAACGAATTTTTACCTGGCAACTGGATTTGCAAGGGTCGCGGTCATGCTAGCTTTGTAAGCAACCGCGACTAAAATACTGTAAATCCACCACCATCCGATTAATAACCGTATAGCCCAAGGGCTCGGCAAATTCGGTAACGAAACTTGAAACAACATGCTATAAGTATACAATATACTGTTTCCTATTTCAGTAAATAAATATAAACCCTTTATTTCTTCTTTCATAGACACGCTTTCAACATTCGTTTGACTTTTGTACAAGCTTATATATCTTTGATAGGACAATGATAAAAAATAAAATGCTGCACCGCCTAAAATTAAAGTAAGAAGAAGCGCGATCCAGGTATATAATCTGGAAAAGCAAAATATGTAGATTTTTCTTATGTTCAATGTATCTTTTATTTCCACTTACTTGAATGGAAGTATTAAAAGCTTCCATGAATTTTCGGTCAAAGATTCTGGTGTCAGAAAGGTGAGACATTCTGTATTGTAAGGAATAGTCAGATCAAAATAATTTAAATGACGCAACGTGTAGTGCAAGTCACCCAAATAAAATGCAGCTTTCCCTCGCACAGCTTCGTTTACAAGACCTGTGTAAGTTTGGTTCTCTCCTTCAATACCCCATTTCTCAGAAACAATATTGTATGGCATATAATATTTTGGTTTGAAGTTCATTGCTTTTGATATGATCTGTATTAACTATAAAGCATCATTGTTAGTATAAATATGAAGCAGAGGATCGCATATGTGTATCAAAATTTAAGATATTTATAATAATATATATATATATACTTCAAATTCTATCCCTAAAGCTTCTAAACTATTGTTTGGTCGTTTATTATAATAAGATCTTGATTTCTCAGTTACAGCTGGAATATGTTCAAAAACAGCAATTCTGAAATTGAAGTAAAAGATTCTATTAATATAAAATATTTTGTAACATAATTATCCTTCTGAATGATATTACATACCTTAGATGTCTTTTTTGTAAATTGGTAGTTTTTTCTGTAAAATGATTGCTGCCATAACGCAATTTGCCTTTGTACCAAGTATCTATGCATTTGGTTTTAGTAAACTTTTCTTTACGAGGAGGAAAGTATATGGTGTCCAAATCGATTCTTTCTTTGAAACTTTTCTCACCGGAACGATGTTTGTATGCATTGTATCGACGTATAAAAACAACATTTATTATTCTATTCCAAAGATAATGTAAATTTGGCTGAAATAGACGGTGATCGTGTAAGAGCAGGAACAATCCACGAGTGTTGATTAATCGTTTTCTGAAAATATAAAATGAAAAATGTATCACGCCTGTGTTTGAGGATTTATTGAGAAATCAGTTCGCTTTATCTTGACCAAACATTGCAATAAATCTCTTCTCTCTGATTTACCTTTCTGTATATTGCAAAAATTCCGATGTTAAATATCCATTTGCGATTAGTATAACGTAAGCATTGCAACCAACAGCTTTGCTATCAGCCAGAATCTTTTCAATTCGTTTTCTTGGTCGAGAAAATTGTTCGTTGTCCCGCAATAAAATCTAAAACAATTCACAAGTACGTATAAATAATATTCGCGCGATATTTATACATTTTTATCTTACCTCGTATTTCGATACGGTTGACAATCCTTTGATATACTTAATATTCACCAGTGTCTGGTAAACAGAATCGGTAACAAAAACGATACAATTCGAGCGTTCAATGATTTCTTCGACGATCTCTTCGACGACAGATTTTAAATTTTCTGCATTATTATCGCACTGATGTTCTCTGTAAAATACGCTATATAATTTTGTCATTAATTTTTTTTTAAATTAGTAGAAGGGGGATGCTCTGTTAAATTAGTAAAGGGGGAAACTGATGGATAGTCAGTTGCTTCATCTGGAAATTTGGAAATTTATAGGTTTTTAAATTTCTAAAATTTCCAAATTACTAAATTTCAAAATTTGCTAATGAAAGTAATCGCTGCAAGCATTTCAGCTAATGTCGGTGAGCTATTCAGCGATCACTTGATTTGCTTATGCTAATTATTACGTAAAAGGTTGAATAACCTCAGATAACAATTGAAATAAAGTCCACGATCTTGGTGATTATTTTTCAACGTTCTGATTCATAGAAAACCAATCAGTAATTAAAATCATCGTTTTCCAATCGATCATTAAATCTTATCGTTATTAATACCTGGTACCAGCTGCAAGGGTAATCTGAGCAAACAAGAGAACAAACATCGCGATTTTCGCTCGACTAAAAGTAACATTGAAACATCAATATTGTTCATTTACTTTCTACCCCATTGTAGGAAGAAGTTAAATATTTAGTAATTTCATTAGCTGGCAAGTGAAATTAGATAGGTAATGGAGATCGATAATGGAAATGCAAGTTAACGGTCTCATTATGGGTTTCAATTTTTCAAGAGAACGTCACGCTTAAAGTTCACGTTATTTTTACTTTTAATTATATAGAGTAACGTTTAAGCGCTTTAAAAATTTATCGCATATTTATATTTCATTTAAAACAGGAATGGGTGTAAAGAACTCTTTTGGAGTACTCTTTCCATATTTATTCCATATTACTAACAATAGTACACTTGATACTGTAACGAGAAAAACAAATTTCTGATTAATATCTTAATTGATAACAGTGTAAAATATTAAATTACAATTTTATAAATCCGAATGTAACACGATATTGTTTTGGACTATTAGTCGACCCAAATGATAATGAAAGATAAGTAAAATGTTAAGTAAAACTTTCAACAAGTCGAACTCTATAATTTTCGTAAAAAAAAAGAAAAGAAAACAGAAAGAACGATGATAAATCCAACTGATTATGAAAATTGTTCTATTATTAATACATAATGCATAAGCAGAGGAGGTGATGTTACAAGTTCAGGAAGGTCGAGGTGCACAATATATATTGTGCTCTTCACTGAACAGCTGCTAACGATAAGTTTTAATCAGTTTCTATCGATCATTCAAAGGCGAGGGACGGTATCGAAAAGCTCATATTGATACGAAACATAAAACAATTACAAAGTAATGATAAGTAATGGACCAACGGTTCAGTAAACGTTTACCATTTTCTTTAATATTATTTTATCAAATGATTTATTTAATTATTTGAACGTATAGGTATTCAAAGTCGAAAAACTTAACAATAATGACGAATAAAATAGCTGATTGGCCAAGTGGTCCTCTGGACTCTTACAGAAAATGTGCAACATTTGACTGGAAATTACTGAAGCTCAACTTGGAAGGAGAGGAATGCGTAACGTTTCAGGTACTTTAGAAAATTTAATTAAAAATTTGAGCGGAAAAATGTATACTACTTTCTTGTTATTATTTCAGAATGAGTTATGGGACTTCATAAAAAATTCGGCAGTATTTCGAAGACCCGCTTGCCCTACGTTAGATGAAGAACGTAAACTTTGTAATGCTCGAATCAGAGTGCTAAAAGACAATAATATTGTGGTAAATATATGGAAATATTCGTGGTAAATAGTAAAATTTAATTTTATTACTATAGTTTAAATGGACATTGTTTACAGAATCCATTAATCCATAGAGAATGGTTTAATACATTATTTTACTACGATGCCAATATACCGATCAAAATGGGTGTAATGGATGGTATGGTACCAAGCGCGTTACTTGTTTTGGGTACAAAAGATCATTATGATATTGCTGAAAAAATTCAAGATGGAAGGGTGAGCATTTAGCAAAATTAAACATTCGTGGTAATTTCAATTATTGAAATCATATCCTCGCGACACTTTTCAAATCCATAGAGGTACGAGAAAATATTAAAATTTAAAATAATTAATATTTCATGTTCTTTTTTTTTTATTTTTTTAGTATACATGTAGTTTTGCACTAACAGAAATATCTCATGGAACAAATGCGAAAGGAATGAGAACTACAGCAACGTACGATGTGAAAACAAAGAGCTTCGTCTTCCATTCTCCAGATTTTGAAGCTGCAAAATGCTGGACCGGTGGTTTAGGTAAGTTACGAGTACGAATGATTCTACCTAGTCACATCAATGATAACAAATAAAAAATTGCATACTCTCAGGAAAAACTGCAACACATTCCATTGTATTCGCACAACTAATTACACCGGATGGATACAATCACGGTCTTCATACTTTTATTGTACCCATTCGAGACCCGGGTACCCATATACCTTTCCCAGGTATTAGAGTCGGTGACATGGGTGCAAAGATAGCATTAAATGGAGTAGATAATGGGTTTATGATGTTCAATAATTACCATGTACCCCGAAACTGTTTGTTGAATCGAACAGCAGACGTTACAGAAGATGGAAAGTATATAACATCAGTAAAAAATAAAAACAAAAGATTTGGTGAGAATTTAAAAAAGAAAAAAGAAAATAATTATGTATCACTTGTTGAAGCAGCTTTAATGGCAGACTCTCTATTTAAATCGCTGTAGGTGCATCGTTAGGTGCATTGTCGTCGGGACGTGTTACAATTACATCCGTTTGTGCAAGTTTAGCGTCGATCGCGATGATTATTGCCATACGATATAGCGCAGTAAGAAAACAATTTGGACCGTCCGAAACAGAGGAATGGCCGGTTATAGAATATCAAGCACAGGTATTTAAACGAGTCGAATAGCAAGCTATCAAATAAAATAGTTGTACAATTAAAATTTAACATAAACGTGTAGCAATGGCGATTATTTCCTAACTTGGCAGCAACATACGCAATAAAAATATTTTCTGCTGCATTTATAAGTAAAATGTCTGAATTTCATTTTAAACTTATGTCTGGACAAAATCAAGATACTATTGGTATTGAAGGTATGGAAATACATGTATTGTCTTCTGCAACCAAGCCATTATGTTCATGGACTAGTCGAGATATTATTCAAGATTGCAGAGAATCCTGTGGAGGACACGGTTATCTAAAAAGTATGCTAATCGCCAAACAGATACATGTAAAGTTTTCTTCTATTTCTATATTTTAACATTTTTACTTGTTAGTCTCACGGTTGGGTGAATTGAGAGCTGAAAATGATGCAACGTGTACGTTTGAGGGTGAAAATAATGTGTTGATTCAGCAAACCAGTAATTGGTTACTGAATCAATGGTCAAACTTGCTTAACGGAAAACCCATCAATTCCCCTTTTGGAACGGCAAGCTTTGTGCAAGATGCGAAGCATATTTTAATGCAAAAACTTTCTTATTCGAACATCGATGAAGTACTAAAACCAGAAAGTATGAAAATAATTTTGTAATACAAGTATTATTATTCGCTTTCTAAAATTTCTTTCTTTCAGATTTACTTTTCTCTTTGAAATGGTTAACGTGCTATTACTTAAAGAACACGTATGAATACTCGCAAGTATTGAAAAGCCAAGGTTGCGATGACTTTGAAGTTAGGAATAACACACAAGTATTTTTTGCGCAAACTTTGTCACTGTTATACGGACAGGTAATGTTTTAACGTCGACGTTAAAAGCTATTTATTATATTAATTATATTTTCATTTTTTTACAGCATGCAGTAATGATGTATTTTGTAAAATGTATAGAAAATCCTGTGTGGGGATTAAAAGAGCGCAATGTATTAACAAAATTATGTTCCCTTTATGGAGCAACTGTTTTAGAAAAACGATTAGCTGATTTTTATGCTGGTGGTTACGCGTTACCGACAAGCGATATAGATAAAGTATTAAGAAAAGGTATTATAGTTTTATGTAAAGAATTAGTTCAAGATGCCGTAGCTTTAGTTGACGTCTTGGCGGCACCAGATTTTATCATAAATTCACCATTGGGTATGGCTGACGGCCAGGTAAATTGATGCTTCTTTAAATACTCATTCAAATTTACAATGTAAACAATTTCTTTTCTGTATAGGTGTACAAACACATTGAAAAGGAAATTTTCAAGGATAAAGGAAACTTCGAACGGCCACCATGGTGGAAAGAGATAATAAAATCAAAATTATGATATGTACATACATGTAATTATCATATTTTGTTACTATATTTTGAATATTTTTCTACTATTAAGCTCAGTACACATTGAAGCAATGGAAATTTATACAAAATCATAATAAATATTTTTACTTGCATTATTTATACAAAATTGCTAAAAAAAAAGTTCTAATAATGTTAATACATTATTGTTCTTTTATATTCTTTCTTTATTTATAAGTATTTTAATCGTTACCTGTAAGATAGTCGATGGATCGTACTAATGTTAAAGTTCTGTATGTTTTTTAACTGTGATCAATGACTTGTCTGCTTCGGCAAACCATTCATCGTAAACCGTGTATGGGTCAATCATCCAGAATTTATGGAACGACACAGGCTCTTGCGAAGCAAGATACGCAGTTGCATAATCGGTAGGACGTGCCTGTAATAATTATAGTGGAATTTATTTCTGCATCTAATAACTTGATAATGTCATTCGAAAGAAAGACCAATTTATCATATTTGTAAATTAATGAACGTACTTGATGGAATAATGACGAATGAATAGGGTTAGCTCCAATTTGTGCTAAACATATACCAAATAAATACATATCATCCGGTGTGGTGGCTGATGGACATCTGCATTTACCAGACTGAATCATTTCATGAACTAAAGGCGCAGACAAAACAACTCCAGCTCCACCCGTTAAGTAGTCATACCCATAAAAACTATCCCAGATTCGAAAACCGTATCGTTCTCCAATAGCGATAGGAGTGTTTGAATTATAGCACGTTAACAATCGTAACAAGCGTGCCACGCTAATATAGAGTAAATAATGTTATTAGTATTGAACATACATACTATTAGGTGTAATTAATTAATAGCTTACCTAAAAATTGTATCATCATCACTGATCACTAACCAATTTAAATTGCGCTTCTTCAATATTTTATCAGCTTCTATCAAAATATTATAAGTCTTTTCACAGTGTCCCTGTGTAGTATTTGGTACAACAAACGCTTCAGGAAGATATTTATCTATACTGGAAACAAGTATATTGTTTAAAACTGATTTCTGTGCATGTAAGATACATTTAAAATTGATCATACCAGCAACATCGCTATAGTAACCAATATTTGTAGTATATTCTGCCCATGTTTTTCTAATCACAGGAATCCTCTCAACATGATACTTTGCACAGGTTTTTACAGCAAAATATACGTTCTCGGATAGTACAGACGAACCCTATGTAGAGAGTAACGTTAGTATAAAATGATATAAACGTTTGACAAATGAATAATTAACTTACGCATGCATGAAAAAATCTCGGATACGTTGCGCAATCAGAGCTAGATACAATACATATTTCAGATACGTGTGTCAGGCGTACCCCTCTATCAACTTTCAGAACAAAAGATGCAAATTCGTAAGATGCGTCTATTGAAAAATCATCTTTTGGTCTTTCACCTTCGATCATCTTTTGTACTAAACTGAAGAAATAGAAACAATGTATAAAATGTTTTAAAGAGAAGCGACAGAGTGAATATTTTTCTACACGATACCTCGTTAATAATGTTATCGTTATAGCAAAACCCGAAGCTACATGCGGATATTTAAACTTTTTATTATGTTCCGCGAAATGGTGTATAATGGTTGGTTCATGATCATACAATGCATGACCGATCCATAAATTCTGAAAGAAAGAATCCATAAAATATGTATTCGAATACTAAGTACATAATTTAACATTAATTGATTACTTACTTTACTCTCATTGAATTTAGAAAGAATAGCCAGCAATTTGCTTAATCTAATTACAGTATTCTCCAGACAAAAGAGGAACCATTTTGAAGTTGCGTATGTGCTTGACAAATATTCCAGTAATGGTATTATTGTCCAAGATCCATTGACATTCAACTCGTGAGATAATACAATTTCAGGGGGATCCTAACATATATATTAACTTGTGAGTTACATTTAAATAATATAGACAATAATAAAGTGTATATACTTTATCAAGAATGTCAGCCTGTTCAAGGATACTTCTCCTCAACATATCAGCATGCGCTATGTGATAACCTTCTTGTTGACTTAATATCACAATAACCATTTCATTGGGATCTATATAAAAATGAAGTGTTATTTACATTTGAAATAATAACCGTTATATCTACAACACTTACCTAAGACTTTAGTACAAGCTTTACCCATGTACAACATTAAAAATATAATGTATGCAAAATGTATGACAGACATTGCTATCTTTGTTTTTAGTTGTTGCCTGAATCTCAATTCGAATCAATTATTCTAAAATAAAAGGATTTCAGAAAATGTATCAAAACATGGCAATTATGGTAAAAAAGATAACATACCCTTGAGATTTGTTTACATCAGAAATGACAGCGTTCTTACCGCGTGGGCCATCAATCAAAGTGGGCTTCTCTAAGGAAAATAGCGTTACAAGGGATGTAAGAATTCTTATAATCTTAATTTTGACAATATTAATGTTAAAAGTTATTTAAAAATAAAATAATATAATTTTTAATTATTAAATATTATAAGATTTAGTATGGAACTGAAAAGTACGAATAACACAGTGAATGTTAATTCTCATTTCGCGCGTAAACATTTATACGCGAGAAGTGGGGGCCATTCTGGGCTCTACCCCTACATCGTCACGACTCACGGAAACGTCAAGAGAGCAAGGCGGGACCCTTGTAAAAGGGGCATCTGTAAGGAGTATGGCGAGATCTCTTTACAAGGGGCGCCTGTAGGAAAATTATCCTCTCATACATTTTACTAATAAAATTTTATTAATGGTAATAATCTTATATATTTACGTATATTTTAATACAATATTTTACACTGAAAACAAAATCAGTATACCTTACACAATGTCTTTTACAATATAATACAAATTAACACTAAAAGAATTCAAGATGATAAATATTTCCTACCATACAGTTGAGCTTTCTTCTCAAAACCAATAGATTTGATAGGTGTGTTAAGTTTATAGAATGGATTCATTGAATACTAAAGAATAAACACAAATTAGCATATAATTTAATTTTAATATTAATCATTCAAATACTTTACCTTTATGTACATTTCATACATTTCATTAAAAAAATTTTTTATGCCATCCTCATTTTTACTATCATGTACCATGACAAATCTGATATGAGTTGCAGTAACAAATGCACTCACAAACCACTGATTAAATTTATCAACTACTTTTAAATGCATATTTGTTGTTTTCCATGTATGTTCGTCAACAAGATCTAATGCAGCGTGTGCGATAAACTGATTTAAATGCGTATAGTCTTCTTTCTATTTAAAAACAAAGTTAATTTACTACACATGGGTTATCTAATAGTCAATCGAATAAAAGTCATTCTTTACTAAGCATAACCTATAAAAAACAACGAACCTTCGCATCTTTCCCGGAATTATTAAATTCAATTTCAAATAAAGGATTATCGGTGTGACCGACGATTGCAAAATAATAATTTGCAGTCATCGTGTTAATTAAACTGACCAATGTAATTTTATTATAAATTATTAATGCGTATACACTAAACTTAGCTACGGACTTAAGGGGGCCATCTCCTCTCCATCGCCATTTTCCCTGAGAAAATTTTCTGTACCATACTATATGTAGTTGTGCGCACTGTATATGTACATACATATACCGCAATTCACCAGAGTCCATAACTGTGAAAAGACCAGTTTTCGTTCTTCGCGCTTCTCCAGTACGCATCTTCGCCCTGATTGGCGATACACCCAAACGAAGTGGAAAGCGATTAGCAGAGAGCTCGCTGCGTTCCCCCACCATCTTCCAACCTGCGCGTCGCAGTTATAGACTCTGGTGAACTGCGGTATATATTTATTACTTTTACCGTAGTAATAGATTAGCCCAAACTTGATCCACTATTGGTCCCCCATCGATCTGCTATTGATCCGCGATTGATCCATAATTAATTAGTTTTAGTTCGTCAAAAAAATATTCATTGCACTAACGCCACTAGTGAATCCACTATGAACTATCTTAGTATTTTGGTAAACGGACATTTTTTACATGCATTTATTTCATTATGTAATTTCTGATATATTATTTAATTTGAAAAGTGATAAATTTAAATGAATTTAGCATGATAAGTGTTATAAAAACGGCAGACTACAGAGTGTAAGAAAGCAAATCTAGTAATATTCTTTAAGCTCGGAAGTTTTTTCCAAGAGGCAAGTTTCATCAGATTTTGAAACCTGTTCTCTAATCATTGTAATGATTGAACAGTTGAAAATATCGAATGATGGAATGGTAATGTGACATAACAAAGTGATGTATAAAGTGTACTTTAACTTATATCCAATTAAGAGCTTTTCACATGTAATGAGCAGCGTACATGAGAATTCGTGGGCTTGGGTAGAATATTTGGTGGAAACAATCAATAAACTTACACATGATTTAGTCAGCTTACTATCCACGACTTTTCAGTTAACGTTACATTCGACCGATACTGTCATCAATAATGAATTTCAACAAAAATTGTCTAATTTCTTTCACGAATTTGTTGCTTTGCTAGCATTCGACGACTTTCAGTTACAATTACTGAAGATCTTCTTATTTACTTTTATCAGTACTGTGGCACTGATTTTCATTACTTGGCATATTTACGGCCCTCGAATTTCGGAGCGGTTTATGGAACCAAGTAAGAAATTTTCGTTTTCATTACATTTAAACTCTAAAATAAATTATATAGGCTCTTCACAAGCTTATCATCGTAAATACAAAACATTTATTTTTAGCATTATTAAGATGATAGTGCAATATATATAGTATTTACTTTTATCTATATATTTCTTTCTTTCTATATATGTCATGTTCTAACAGATTTTTATTAATTACTGTATATATTATAATTTTGTCAGAATCTGTATCAGAGGATTTTGATTCTTCATCTGGAGAATAAAATAATTGTAAGTGTAAACTGTACTTATTTAAATCATAATAAGAATTCATATAATTCTATTTATTTATTTTAGATTTTAAAGAAATAGAGAAATAATTAACAAATATGACAGAAAAAATCAAATCATTCTTTCAAAAGAAAAAGGCAGATGTAAAATTTATGAATGCTGGAAAAGGATACAAGTAATTTTTCAATAACAAATTCTATGTTAAAAATTTACATTAATATGTAACAAATAATATTCAATTTAATATTTTATTACATAGGTTAACAGAATCAACTAATATTGGTACATCCACTCCAATAGTAGCGCCGAGAAAAAGAGTCGAACCATCAAGTGAAGCTAAAACAGCTGGTCAAGCTACTTTGGCAAGACTACAAGCAAAAGAAACTAATACAGCTAAATTTAACACGTAAGTTATTTCCAAAAGAAATATTCATTTGCTAAATAATTTTAAATAACAAAAATTATTTGTAGATCATATGCAGCTATTAAGGCACAGGTGAAGAAGGAATTAGAAAAAGAAAAGGAAGCACAGCAAAAAATGCAAAAGAGTAAAGCACAACCAAAAGAAGAAACTGAGGATACGGTCAAGGACAGTTCACAGTTAGCTGTTTCTAATGTGTATTTCCAATGCCCTTATTTATCCAATGAAGTATTATCACAGGAAGATTGGAAGAAAAAGATAAGAGAATTTTTGTACGAACAATTACAAGAGGAAGAAGCAGGTTTAACAGCTTGCTTAATTATTCAAAATTGCAATACCGGCAGGGAAAAGATCGAGAGTTGCGTCGAAACTCTTGGAAAATATTTAGATAACATCATAAAGAATCCAGAGGAAGAGAAATATAGAAAGATTAGAATACATAATCGAATATTTCAGGTAATATCTTATTTTATTAGCTGATTTCCTTATGCTGTAACCGCCTACAAAACTAATATTTTATAGGATAAAGTGCTCCCAATCGAAGGAGCTGTAGAATTTTTAAACGCTGTTGGTTTTTGGCCGAAAAAATTACTGCATAATGATGTAGAGGAAGATTTCTTAGTCTGGAATCCAGAAAACTGTAACCTTGAAAATGTTGAAAAATTAGCTGATGCGTTAAAAACTGCAGAAATTATACCACTTGAATTAGATAGAAATCTTCAAGTCTTATTACCTACGCAAGCAAGTAAGAGAACCGAATTGCCTCCAAATTTCTACAGTCTAACTCCCGAGGAAATAAAAAGAGAACAGCAACTTCGGTAAATATATTTACACAAACCAATTTATTATAAATGGAATATAAAATATCTGCCAATTTTTTTGTTTAACAGAACTGAAGCTGTTGAAAAGAATCAAATGTTGAGGACAAAAGCTATGAGGGAAAGGGATGAAAAGCAGAGACTTAGAAAGTATAAGTATTCCCTGATTCGTATTAAATTTCCAGACGATCTTATCCTACAAGGAACGTTCTTGGTTCACGAAAAATTTCAAAATGTTGTTAATTTTGTTAGCGAGAACTTAATCAAAGCAGAAAGACCTTTCTCTTTAAAGAAATTAGCTGGGCCAACGTTTAATCAAGATTCCTTTGATAAAACGTTATTAGAGTTGGAATTATTTCCCGCTGCTCTTCTGGTATTTTTCTGGCAGCATACAGCAGATACCGAATCTGCGGGATATTTGAAAGAAGAATTACTTGGTCTTATTCAGTCTGTTTGAAACTGCAGCTTTAATCTATTATAAATACTGAAAAGGTGGAAAAAAGAAATTTTCTAGTGGGACCTATTTATGTTGAAGTACTGTTATAACAGTAACATTCATTTCAGTCATTAAAATCAATCATGTAAAAATATCAGAAAGGAATATACAAGATTTCAGAATTTATCAAAATACTTCCAGTATTTATAAGTGTTACATTCTTTTATTTTGTTTAAAATATATTCCTGATAAAATTCTAATGAATTCTCTGATAGGTTACAATATTTATATCTTACAATAGTTTTATTTAGATTTTACAATATAAAAATCATTGTGGGTTAGTAATATTTAAATATTTTTCACGCATTATTAAATGGTTTAAGATAATATTCTTTAACTGTATCTCTGCTTAAATAATAAAGTTAATGTTGTGGCTTTTTACGCCTTGTTATTCGTATAATATCAAAATATGTAAAAAATTCATCATTGTGTGTGTATATTAATTTTGCACATTTGTGCATTTTGGCACTTTAATTAACATTTTATATCAGTCTTTGTATATTACATATACATATATTTCAACCCTTTAAGTATGAGATATTCTTGAATTTAATAGATAAAATATTAAATGATGTTTGTTTAAACACGCAATCATGAATTTATATATCTTGTTTTACTTGTATCGAATATATATATATATAAAATTGTACAACGATTTCCTCGGTTTACAATACTGAAAAGGTCAAAATCTACTATTATTATCTATATTTAACATAACGGCAGTAAATCTCTATTGAATACCTTCTAATGTGATATGTATAGTTTACACAATCTATTCAATTATTAAGTGTAGAAATGAAGTCGGCACCTTTTCTTATGTTAATTGAAGATTTATTTGTAAAAAGACATAGTACCTCCAGTTATTGAAATTTTGTTCTCGCATCACTTTTCAAATTCTACAGAAACAGCTAAAGGTACCGAATTAATTTGTACATTTAATAATTTATGCGGCAAAATAAACAAAAAGAAATGTTAATGATGTATACATGTAATTATACAATTGTAAAAAGCTGAAATAAATGGATATCAACGAATACAAGTTTTGTTTTATTATATAAAAATATTAATCCAATAACAGTGCACTGATAAACTTCAAAGATATCAGTGAAAAACAACATGAATTTATCTGGTTTCATTAGATGAATCATTTGATGACTGACTTTTCATTTCAACAGGTAAAGCGAGAGTGGCTGCAGCAGCACATAACGCTGCTACAGCGTAAATCGCCATTGCTCCAGTGATAGACCACTGAAGAAATACTTGGGCTATATACGGTGTAACCATCGCACCAATTCTAGCCATAGCACTGCAAGTACTAACGCCGGTACTACGCAAATGTGTCGGATATACCTCCGGAGTATATACGTAAGCTGCTTGAAAGACACCAGCGATTAGACCTCTAGCTAGAAAAATTGTAAGTGTCAATACTACCCTGCTTAATAGACAAGCTCTGCCCAAGAAGCAAATTAGTACAGCGAACATTACTAGCTGAAACGCCATTGTCTTTTTTCTGCCAATCTTTTCAATTGCAAAAATAGTGGAAAAGATTCCTGGAAATTCAGCCAAAGTTGTCCAAAGAAGATCTATATAGTCACTGCGTTCCAAACTACAATCTAATTGACAAGTATCTTCTTTATTATTTTCCCATAAACTGCACTGCTCGGACGATGTATGGAATAGTTCTGTGGTCATTAGTACCACACCGTAATAACAAAACGCCGTACTCATCCTAAAGGTATTTATAAAATTATTTACATGTGTTGCTCGAATAGGGCTTACAGAAATGTAATTAAAATTCAAACATTTACCACACAAGCCACAGTAAGGTAGACGTTCTACACATTTCTTTACTTAGCACGTCTTTTAATTTACCATGATTGACTTGATAAAAACGATCCATGACTAATCTTCCGGGAGGTAAAGGTTTTTTATTTTCTCTAGCTACTCGTTCTAAAGTAGAAACAGCTTTGTCCATTCTTCCACTTGTCATATCAAATATTGTAGATTCTGGTAACCACTGTTGAAGCATATTATAAGAAAGGTGCATAATTTTTATGATGCTGCTCATTTGTATTACTCACTGGAGTGATAATGGCAAATACAAGAAGTGGTATAGTGGATAAAATGAGAAGCCATCTCCAGCCAAAAGTTGGCATTATTACCAATGCTATTGCCACCTCAAAACAGGCGCCCAGTGCCCAAAAACACTGCCAAAAAGTTATTATTTTATACATATACTATATAGAAAATAAATATATTATTTAGATTTACTTACATCTAATAAAATCACACATTTAGCTCTTTGTTTTGCTGGTAAAAATTCAGCATACAATGTTACTCTAAAACATTAAAGATCTAATGGTTTAATGTAATTTCACTAATTATATGAGTTATCAAATACTTACGACTGTGGTACACAACCAATAGCAAAACCAACTAATCCTCTGAGTAATAGAATCCAAAGGAAGTTTGGTGCAAAAGCACTTAAAAATGCATAATAAAGCAATAATACTGCACATAAGGTCAAGGATTGTTTGCTACCATATCTATCACTTAAATTAGTCCAAAATGTAGAACTTAACATCATGCCTAAAAAGACCACCTAAAATAATTTAACAATGTGTTACATTCTTGCAAACATTCTGTGGGACATAAGTATATTATTAAATATAGGTACCGTGGTTGTTAAAGCTTGCTGATATCTAGTTATACCCCAATCACAATGTAGTGATGGACTTAAAATACTTAATATTGTTATTTCCATACTGTCCACCATCCAGCATAGGCCAGTAAATAAAGATAATTTTACTTGGAATTTACCAAATCCTAACGCATTGATTGCTTGAATTACAGTAAATGTATCTGTCAATTAATATTCATAAATTAAAAAATATATTACATTTTTCATAAATTAATTTCATTTAAAAAAAATCCTGCACATAATAATAGTCTATTAAAGTTATATTGTACAACAGAGTACAGAAATATTCCACATATCCCTTTCTTACATGCCCTTATAAAATAGACTGTTAGTAACTTTTTATTCATACCCAAGTAAAATTAAAGACCATTGTATTAAAAAGTCTTGCGTGAAAAGTTTCCCACTGTTATGGATGTTATATTTCCATGCATAATAACATATTTACACAACTTACAGTTACCCACTCCTTTATAGAGAAGTTTAAGCAGATTACCCTGGACATAAAAATTGTGAGAAATATTGTTAAGAACAGTTTCCATATATAAATATGTGTTTCATAAAAGTAATTTACCATCTGGGATTACTACAGAGGACAGTTCCATCGAATGTTCAACAGAATTTCCAAAGTTTCTACTACATCTTGATATACTTTCTGAATTGATATTCAATTCAGAACCATGCAATTCTCCTAATTCACGGTATGGTTCGTTGGACGTTCGGGATGGATTAGACATGATCGTTTGTGTATCATATATTCACAAAAAGAAATGTAACTACTCTAAATAGTGGTACAATTAATCTATCGTAGGATTCAATGGAAATAATTGATCGTATATGACAATCTTCATTAGTATGTATATAGAACGTAACAGATTCCATAAATAGGTTAGGTTCATACCAGTGACAACTGAACGTGGACTGTTTTACCGACGCGGAATTCGGAATTCGGCCTCGAGTCTCTGCTTGAAATATCTTCGCCAGGGTTGATTTCTTTCTACCATTGCGTATCAAACAACTTCGTTCTTTCTAAATTCCATATTGTGTGATTTTCACCATTTCACCATTTAAAACAAACAACATAAAATAAAAATTTAAACAATATAATCTTGAAATAGAAAATAAAATTAACATCCTAATATCAGAAACAATTGAGAAAATAACAATTCAACAATAAAATGCTGAAATAGAAAATATAATTAACATCATAATTTCTGTAACAAATAACAAAATAACAATTCAACAATAAAATGCTGAAATAGAAAATATAATTAACATCATAATTTCAGTCACAATTAACAAAATAACAATTCAACAATAAAATGCTGAAATAGAAAATGTAATTAACATCATAATTTCTGTAATAAATAACAAAATAGCAATTCAAAAATAAAATGCTGAAGTAGAAAATATGATTAACATCATAATTTCAATTACAATTGATTACAAAAGTTCCGCTTCACCGGTTCCGCGGCCGGTTACATTTAACTACCTCTATCTGATATTTGTTAATATTTGTTTAATTATTATTTTATATTTTACAATTGTTTATTAATCAAATTATTGTTATATCTATTTAAATTGTTTATTTCTTTACATTCCCGCGTGGGTATATTGCAAAATTTTGTTTAATTATTCTATTAAAAATTATTTATGTTTATTAATCAAACGAACGAACTGCGCCCTACAGAATGAACGAGAAATTAAATTTCTAGTCTGTTTTACCTTGTTGACGTCTTTCGCGAGTGAACAACCAACGAAATCGTAGTTTTCAAATTACTTCTACCTGGAGACTTGTACATCATCCCTTGGTGCTCGTTTTATTCTATCCGACCCAAAGAATATCAGTCTGGTCCCTATTTGGACATACGATTCACAGAAATGTTTATATTACGAATAAATCAATGCAGGTGAGTCCGATCCGCCATTTTCTTGACCGTTGACAGACAGCAAATTCAATATTTTATAAGTTTTTGACGATTTGGATAATATAAGGACCAGACAAATATTCTTTAGAACCTTCTGAACACGTCCCTCAAATTTTTTTACATTCTGTTTAGAAATGAGGACATAATTTGAAAACTCGCGTCTAGGGTTTTCTCTAGGGATTGTCGGTAAAGTTTTCGACGCTCGCAATAAGCTATAGAGTAGTTCATCTAAATAGCGTGTAATTTGAGGTTATTTATGATTGATATCCTTTACGTGGTGTTGTCAAGAAATGTCACAAAACGTATACAATGGAAATACCATTAGTTACATAGATGTTTTTACTATTAAAAATATCGGATAGAAATTTATTCAATGAACAGCATACTTTGAAATTGTCAATGTGATATTTATATTTGACTGATAAATTAATTTAATTTAATGATGAGTGTTGATAGTGAAAATAAGTCAAATGAAACTATTGTTTCATTTACATCATCGTCGGATCAAGAGAATACGGATAATGGAAATATTGAAGAAACTCTTATAACCCCAGAAATGGTGCTACATCTGCCTACAATTACTGATAGTAAGATAATTTCTTCCTACTGTCATAATAAGTATCAAAAAAATAATTAAATGTTTCTATACATTTTAGAATACCTATGCTCTCCTGAGGCAAATATTTATGATATTGATTTCACAAGATTTCAAATTAGGGATTTAGAAACAGGAGCAATATTGTTTGAAATAACAAAACCACCAGCTACTGGTTAGTTATAGTTACAACAATCCATTGGTTACAGTAAAAGTTACAATTGTGTGATCCATATTTTAGAATCTGATATGAATCAAGATGTTGAACCAGATTGTGAAGAATCTGGTTGTGAAGATGCTAACACTGGCCGCTTTGTACGTTACCAATTTACACCTCAGTTTCTTAAATTAAAAACTGTTGGTGCTACCATTGAGTTTCTTGTTGGTTCTAAGCCAGTGAATAACTTTCGCATGATAGAACGTCATTTCTTTCGGGACAGATTGTTAAAAACTTTCGACTTTCAGTTTGGATTCTGTATACCAAATAGTAAGAATACTTGTGAACATATTTATGAATTCCCAACCTTGCCTGCTGATCTGGGTAAGCAATTAATGATTACTTAACAGTTATAATATCAGTTTCTTATTACATAAGTATTAACAATGATTTTACAGTCTCCGAAATGATTGCAAATCCGTTTGAAACTCGTTCAGATTCCTTTTATTTTGTGGACAATCAATTGGTAATGCATAATAAAGCAGATTATGCATACAATGGTGGACACACACATGATGTACTTTAGTAGGTGTAATTAATAGAAAATTTGCACATTGGAAAAATGAATGTGATAATAGTAGCAAATATTTAGCTTTCTTTTTAACTTATATTTTCAATTTCTTTAAATATTTACATTAATGTTTGATTTCAACAATTGCATCACGTACAATTTTTTCAATGCTTTTAATGCATTTACTTATTTCATTAAACGTTTCTGTGTTAAACAATGAAATATCTTACAAAAGTTTTACACTTTGAGTAGTAAAATATGGCCTTATAAATGGGAGGCATGAAACATGTATTTTTCATGGAGACAACAGATAAAAAAGACTAAAAAAGTGTTAAAGTTTTTAAGCACAGAAAACACAATTTGTTCACACTGTGTATAGTTATATTTTCTTTTGCTATTTCTTTCTTATTTTGTATATGTACTGTTAAACATTTCACAAATATATATGTATATATATTTACAAAAATCACTGTGTACTTTTTTTACATTTACGATATAACAATAAATTATGATCGTTTAATGAAGTTAGTAGTGATCTTTAAAAATTCTGTCGGTTTGTCTACGTGAACCCAATGATCCGCGCCATTTATATACAAAATTTCAGCTAAAGGGAATAATTGCCTTATTTTGCCATGATCTTCTACTTTGATATAATCGCTATTAGAGCCCCCTATAAACAACGTTGGCCCATTATAAACTTTCGATCCTACAGGAGGAAATACGGCTATTTGTGTCGCAAAATTTTGTTCTAATACAGGTAAATTAACCCGCCATTTGAATTTTCCTATATCTGCTTCTACTAAATTCATTATTAAAAACTGCAATGAAAATTATTATTAATTTACGTGAAAGACAGTAATGTATTTTAATAAATCGTTACCTGACGTAAACTTAAAGATTTAATGGCAGCTGCAAGTTGATCCTTTGCTGTAATCCGAGCTTTCGTAAGCGTCGTAATTCCATCTAGATTTACATTACTCATCGCTCTAAATATTTTCTCCATTTCCATAAGCTGAGGACTAGTTCTCACTGGCGACATATCCACTACTATTAATTTTTCAACTAACTGTGGATAATTTAAAGCTACGTACATCGCCGCGGAACCTCCCATACTGTGTCCTACTAATACAGTTTTTTCAAATCCTAAATCATTCATTAGTTGAACTATATCTTTTGCCATATGCTTGTAAGACATTTCTGTAGAATGTGGAGAATCTCCATGGTTCCTTGCATCTATAGTGATCACCTATAAATTCATTTCAAGTATTCTTCATAAAATATAAAATCCAGGTATCTACCTTACGAGATGTTTGTTGATGGATTGCTTTTGATAATGAATTCCAGTTATTTTTTGAACCAAAGAGACCATGCATTACTATAACAGGTTGTTTTGGAGCATTACTTTTCCCACTCATTGATTCATAGGAAACATATGCTAGTTTGACTGGTTCCACGCTTCAAAAATGGTATTTAATTAAAATATTGAAATATAGAAAGATATATATATATATACTTATATGGCACATACGAACTAGAATGGTTGCGTTTTTGTTTGGAAGATGGGTAATATGCAAAAGTTGATGCAACAAAGTCTTGTTTCCCATGATGTAGAAAACCATTCTTTGTTACTAAATACCGGCTGCAGATACCACTCATATTGTTTCCTTTGTATAAACGATTTATTGTAACAATTTTCATTCACATATTTAACATTTTATCTCTGAAAATATGTATTTTTAATGAGCCATAAACCACAAGGTACTTGGTAATAATTAATATGTATTACAATTTTGAATATGAATGTGGGATGTTCATTATATAAATTATAGATTAAAGTACAATGATATTGCAATATAAATACGATGACATTGTGTCAGAATATATCTATTTATACATTATATATATTTAATATTATATAACATAATAAAAACATTGTTTTCAACAATGACTACAGATTCAACTGGATCCAACCAACAAGACAACATTCTTTTATTCTCGATTTTAGGGGTCCCAGACACCCCACCCCCTTCCAGGTGAGGTTACCAGTCCCTCTTCTTTGAAAAGACACAATTTTTACTCCCTTTGATTGTGTTTTTTAGAAATTTAAAGTGGGGATTAGACAGTATCCAAATTTAGATTTAAATTTAAGTTTAATTATAGATTGGTGAATAATCTGTAATAAGAAAATAAAGAAACGAGGGGCAACATAACCTAAACGCAATGTTCCCTGGAAAGTAAATCATGGAATAAAATAAAAAACTAAAGAATAATACAGTTCGGCTGTGAAAATAGATTTTTCTAGGGAAAATAATGTTACAGGATAAGTTGCGCATCTATTACCATCACTAATTCTACGACGAGTGCATACGTGGCGCTGTGGTAGTAACATGCCACTCTGAAGTGGCAAAAGTAAGAAAAAGTGTATGTTGTTTTTAATTGGTTTGTATTGTAATTTGATAAAATGAGGTGGCTTATTTCGTGTTTGCTCCTAATTTTTCTGAGCTCAAATGCAAATTGCTATTTCATTACCGTGGATGCACATGCCGAAGAATGCTTCTTTGAGACGGTGGAAGCGGGCACAAAAATGGGTTAGTTTTTCCTTCCTGCTCGAATTTTTAAGTATCTTTTGATATAATAAACTTCAATTTTCAAAAAATGACTGAATACAATTGTTCCTGTGTTTTAACTTAAATCTTGATTTTAGCAATTATTTTAATTTAAAAATCATGCTCACATAAAATAGTTTTGTTTGTCATTGTTAGAACTTTTATTAGATTCTGACAGGCTGTAGGATACAAAAATGTTATTAGAAGAAAATTTGGAACACTGTACAGTATAAACATTTGTATAACTTAATGAAGAAGTTTTTCTATCATCAATCCTACATTTATCGTAGACTTTAGAATACTAACAATATTTTGATTTTTAATTAGTTAATTGCACACAAAAAATTGCAGTTAAATTGTGATTAAAGTTTCAATAAGAAGTAAAATATTTTAAATTGATTAATGGGTGCCATATGTTAAGTCAAATTGTTTGATATCATGACATGTACATATTGTACATGTGTATGAGTACATTTTTTTTTGTTATAGGACTCACATTTGAAATAGCAGAAGGTGGATTTTTAGATATAGATGTAAGAATCATTGGGCCTGATGGAAAGATAATTTACCAAGGGGATCAAGAAAGCAGTGGTAAATATACGTTTGCTGCACATCTTTCTGGTGCTTATACGTACTGTTTTGGTAATCAAAAAAGCAGTATGACACCAAAAGTTGTTATGTTCAATATGGATGTCGGTGAATCTCAGAAGCCTATAGAACAAACTTCAGATGGTAAAAATCCTGAGGATGCAAACCATAATAAAATAGATGATATGATTAAAGAATTAAGTACTAGTTTATGGGGAGTAAAGAATGAACAAGAATATATGCAGGTAATTTATGGTTTTATTTTTACAATTATTGAACATTTATACATATGATAAAACTGATTTTTTTGTTATCAGGTTCGTGATAGAAATCATAGAGCTATTAGCGAAAGCACAAATTTTCGTGTAGTTATGTGGGCGTGCTTCGAAGCTATGGTTCTGGTTTGTATGACAGTAGGACAAATTTTCTACTTAAAACGATTCTTTGAAGTCAGAAGAGTTGTCTAATTTAAGGTATAGAATAAAGTCATACATTCATTGTACATTTTTCTATGTGATTAAGTTATAATAGAATTAATAAATTCAAACACTTCACGTTTATTGTTTTCTCTCGAATATAAAATGCAAACACGCTTTAACATTGTTGATAGCAAAACGAAGATTTCATAAATTAATAGATTTTTTATGAATGAAATAATGTATGTTTATCTGTAAGATTTACTTAAACGGTAAATTTGTTGAAATAAACAGAATTTCTTTTTTATCAGTGGTAGCTGAAAGTTCCATCTCGTAACCTAAGTATGTGTTCTTATATATCATTCATCAACATATAGAGTTATTTTTATTAAAAGAAAAAATTTTAACAAATTAACACGAATTGAAATGATTTATGTGTTAATTGTATAAATTGAACAAAAATCACCTTATACTGATACCATTTATATAACTGTACAGTGTAACATGATGTAATAAAAAAAGAAAGGTATAAATGAACAGTTTTATATTTGTCTCGAACAAATTTAAATTAATAAGATTTTAATAAAACTGAGATAAGAGTAAACATTATTTATTTATTATTCAATTTAATATTAATTTATTTACTTTATTTCAATATTTAATACATTTTTAATGAAACAATACAAATGTTATTCATAAAAATAATGTTTGTATTTTCACGTTTATTTACAATTCCTTTCTGTTCTTGAAATTCTTTAAATCCTTTTTCCTCCGGAACACTCTAAATTACTTTAATTCATGAAAATAACATTTATGATGACAGGTTTCCAAATATTCTAAAAATCAACGAGTCATTGAGAGGAGAGCACACTTCGTCAGATAACTTGTCTGATTCGCGAAGCAGGCGTGAGAATAAATGAATGAAATAAGGAGGGTGGTAGCAGGCACCCTTCCGGTATTCACCCCAGGGCACTTAAGTTAGAAAGGCTCATTGTCCGCTCCTTCTCATTAGATGCCACCTAGCAGTTCCATCGACCCTACCTAGTAACAATACTGTGGATGCTTTTTTTCTTCCTCCTCCTTGTGATCTGTAGCTGCAGGAAACACTAGCAGCGGATTGCACGCCTCGGTGTCTGCTCTAATCCCGGCCATGATTATACCCGAAAGACAATACTTTCGTCCGTGTGAAACGCTGGACAACATTACTGTTGAGCTGCTTCAGTTAACACCTTCGAGAGTCACTGAGTCGCTAATTTATTTCTTTAAGCAATTTAGGTTTTTGAACGGCAAAACATCACGTATAATGTTGGTAGAAGGCAAAGGCGTTGGTGAACAATTAAATTTTTATTTTTTTTAAATTAAATTTTTATTTACACTGTTAACTTCTTATCAAATTAAACTTTAAATTGATACCGATTTATTATTTCAGTTTGCTAATGGATATACATATTAAAATTTTATCACGTGAACTCTTAAAACACTCCTGAAGTCGTATGTCAACAGATTGCCCAAACTTATAATCAAATTTAATTGGGACCCTCAATCAGGTACACATAAATCTATCGTTTATGTTTCCATCATGCTCTTCAGTTATATCTTTTGAGTACCTTCATTCGCAGATCGATGTCACTGGTATTTGTTATCGTTCAGGATTAATTCAAATATACAACGTGAAGTGTGATGTTTAAATGTTCTATCATGCAAAGGTATTACTCTTTTTATTAGACTTTTGATACATAGATTATATATGATTTTTTTATTCAAGTTAAAAATGAATAACTGATTTATACCACCATCTAAAGCTGTAAATTACGTGTAATTGAGGTAGTGTCAATTTCATTAATGATTTTTATTCACACACCGTTCTGACAGTATGTAATAGGAGGCACAGTACACAATGCAAGACGTAATTATTGAGTTTACTCGATCGTGGTCTCGTATAACAGGCTGGTATTGTAAGGACTGTTGAAAAACGTAACGCACGCTCGTAAATTCATCGCTTTCATGGTACACGATATGCGAGCGAAGAAAACGTTGATTGTAAATGTTCCAAGGGCGGCCGTGAGTTACGTATGGTTGATCCTTTTTATTTCAACATAACTTACGGGGAGAGTCGTTAACACTTTGAAAACCGATTGTTAACAGCGATTTTACATGCTCTCCTTCCACTTTAAATTTTAATATGCTCGGTTTTAGATAGTATTCAAATTTATAAAATTCTTTAGAAGTATTACTAGATGCCTTTTAACAATTACGATTTCAAATTCAAATATTTTCCCGTGCTTCATTATACATTCGAAATGCTGTCGGTAACTCAGGGGGATTGTTACTTGAAAATTAATTTATAAAATTGTTTAAAGACAATGTAAACTCTCTATAAAATACTATTATATAATTAAACGTGCAGTACTTGGAAATAAATTATTACAAATTATAGTTGATGATGGTAAAGGAGAGCAAATTATTGATTATTAAAATTATCTATTAATTATATTTTTTTCCAAAACCATTAATTATTATTGCGACTGTATTGTGTGCGTGTAGGGAGAAACATTTAAATAATTTCACTAGTTTCCAATTGCCTTTCATTGGATCGGAGAAACTGCTCTATAATTTAACGCTCTGGTTGGCGCGTGTGTTCCTGACAAGAAATATGCAAATTTATTAGACCAATTGCACGATTCTAACGAGGGGTTTTAAGGTATAATTACCAGTGTCCTGTCGATGTTTGAATAAATCGACTGACTGGAAGAATCTATAATATCAGTCGTTTTATTCGCTTGCAAAAATTATCATTTTACGTTTTAGAAAGAAAATTTGTTTTTATCCAATTAAAGAAATTAATTTGATCAAATAATACTTTTCACTTTTAAAAGAGAACAAATATTTTTACTCCATTAGAATTCCAACAGGAATTTTTTTAAAGCTTCCAAACGTTTATCCTATTGATAATCTTTTAATTAATCGGCTCTAATATTTATTCCCGATCGTGAAACAAAAAAAAAGATGAAGATCTAAGGGATAAGTCTCTGGATTTATCGAGGATAGAAGAGAGTTTGGGCCTAAAAAAAAGGGTGCTGTTAATTAAGGAGAGCGATTACACGTAACGGTATAATTAAGAGGAAGAAAGAGGAATTAGAGTCGGTAGTACGGCAAATGAACGATTCTACCGGTAAGGCATTAATCGAACATGCCAGGAACACGGCTCGTTTAACGAGATATAATATATTCACCTCGCAACGCGTTCATAAAGTTTCAGCTTTGTTTTAAATTTTAAATTAGTTACTTCAATATGAGAAAAAAAGCTAATTAATAGTTTAGTAATGGATACAGCGTTATCCTTGTAAATATAACGAAAGAAAAAGTGTTAACAATAACGACGTTGTTTGAATAATTGATGGTGTTTAGTAACTAATTATATATTAAACAATGTATCGCGTAACAATGGACGGAACAGCCTGAGAATGAACTCGTTCAGTTAGTCGACTAGAACGTGTTTACATGTAAAACAAGTGGTTTATCGTGTTCACCGATGTGAGCAAGAGTTCTGCCTTTCTTACTAATGACCCAGCTTCATTCCGAAGGGAGACTACTTTTAAAGCCGATAATTGTATCCATATTTTTTTTCTTAGGAAGACTTACCCATTCTATTCTATTAGTTACTGGTAAATACTTGCTAAATTAATATATTTCATCCTTTTTAAATTTTTTGATACTAACATTCTATAATTTGAAAATTTCAGAATTCCAAGATTTCAAAGGGATCTGGTCCACCCCTCCAAAAAAATCCTCGTCGCACCAATGGTAATTTTTAATTTAAATTAAAATTTAAATTATTTGCTTCACATTCATAAAAAAAGCCTACCAACCCTACCAAAAGCTTACTTCCTCCTATTCTACGTTACATCCGCTTCGCCCCCCCGTATCATTGTCCAAATTCTCCCCAAAAAGAGAACCTTGAAGCAATGTACGCCAAAAAACCAGCCCTTCCCCGAAATCGCCCGAAGGAGTAAGGAAGAGTGAACGATAGGGGGAGAGAAAAGTCGAATCGAAATGGCGCTGGGTCCTTGGGGAAAGAAGGGGTTGCATTCGGGCAGGAAAAAAAGAGCTGCTAATTGACACGAGCGATTGCACGTAACGGTATAATTAGAGAGAAGAATACGGAGCCTGGACCGGTGCACCGATGAACCAATGAACCTCACTGAGGCTAGAGGGGAGGGAGAGGAACAGAAGAAAGGAGGCAAAGGGAAGCAAGGGAGAGAAACCAGCCGGCGGGTTCTACGTCGAGGGTAGTGATGGGTGTTCAAGTTTACAAGTTGAAGCAATTCAAGTTGACACTTATTGATTCGATTAAAAAATTCATAATTCTACAATGTACGTAAACTGATACTCTTATTTTAGAGAACGAGGATATCGAAACGTTTCCGCTTTCTCCGATCCGACTGAAGGGGTTAGGCCACTCTGGAGGAAGAAAAAATATGCATATTTTAGGAATTTTTTTTTGTAAGCATCCCTTTATTTTGCAACTGATAAACTTTAAAAATTAATTTTTGTATAGTGATTCAAGTGAAAATATGGGCTCTGCAAGCACGCGTTTAAAATGCGTTTAAAGACCGGGAGGGGCTGCGGCAGAATTGAAAATTCGAGTACTTGGAAATTTTTCTCACCTATAATCTTTTGCCATATCATTTTTAAGACATTAAGCCACCTTTGAAGCAAAAAAAAAATGTCGATTTTTTTCAAAATTCTAGAATGGCCTGACCCCTGAAGCAAACGCATGACCCAAGCACGTAATAGTTTGGTCCATAATTATCAAAGAGCCACGGGCCAATTATATCCCCTGGATGACCAGTTTTCGCCACGTTTCAAAGCTACTCGAGCCGCGTTGAGGCCATCACTAGTCAGGGGGGGTTCCCCCCTTCGGGAGGCCGAGCAGGACAGACTTAACCATCGTGGCTGAGGAGAGACGAGGCTGGTGGTAGAGAACGAAACGTAGCACGGTCTCGTGGATTCTGCCTGCACTCTGCGACCATTCCGCGGTAACGCGTCGTCCAGGTCGCAACGTTCCTGCTCCCCTGACCATTCGGGCCACGAGGCGAACGAACACGTTCCTACGACGGATCCGTGGAGGACACCGGAGCCTGCAAGGCTGGAAAAACCGCGAAAAATCATCCCGATCCTGCCAATTCACGCGCCAAATATGGTTCGGCTTCCTTCGAGCGACCGGTGAACGGCGAACAGGACGAGTTTCAAAGGATGCTCCGATCGGCGCAACTCTGCTCTAAAGTAAACCTCGGACGATGAGAAGATTCGATGAAGGTCTACGTAGAAGAGAACGGTTCGTACTGGTCACCGATGTCCGTGGATCCTACGAAGAACGGAAGTGACAGGAATCTTGACGGTGTACCAACGGATAACCGGATCTTTCTGAATCGTTATCGAATGTGTTTGCTCGTCGCTGCTTCGAGTGACTGTTTTGGATGACACTTCCGTGAACAGGTGATTAGTATTTCGTTTACTCGACGCACACCGTTTAAGTACGCGTTTAATGGGTAGTTTCGAAACTTGACGTAAAGTGTTTTATTTTCAGTCGAATCCAACGGTGATTTATTCCGAAGCCCTAAACTCGATCGTTTGCTATCGCTTTTACGTAATTTATTTATGTCGTGCCGTGTCAATAAATTATCTAACCGATGTACCGCACTTTCTAACATGAAAGTTTTCATCGCGATACCTTCAGAATGATAAAGTTCTCCTATCGATTGATTCATCGAAGGTTCTTTTAAATAATCGTTCGAGCCTGCGAAAAGAAAACAGGCGTCAATCTTGATTCTTGTACAATAAACGTTTGCAAAATATCCGAGTTCTTTGTCCGGTGGAAAGGAGCAAAATGAGCCGCGAATCGTGCCGCGTGATAAACGATCGATGGGCAAACGAGGAAACTGGAAATTCGAAGAACGATCCGATGAAAGTAAACCGCCACGGGTCGTTATCGTCGTCGACTTGAAGAGCAAGTGCTTCTCCTGGATAAAAAGTGAACCGGTGACTGATCTCGCCGGGGCAATAATTAACTCGTCCTTAACGACTTTGGATACACCCGGTCCGGTGAGTAATCAATCGATTTAATCAGGTATAATAATTAAGCGTCGATAATGCAACCTTGCCTTTGTTATTGACACCTTAATACTGGTAATTAAAACGCTTGCGCTAATAGGATCGTGAAAAGTCTCGTTTATTTTTATAAGGGACTCAGCTATTGCCCGCAACAAAAAGACATTCATTTTTATTTATATAGATAGAAGATGTACGTCGGGTACCCGAACAATTGTTTTGAAAAATTGTTTAAATAGCTTTTGATTGCAGTGAGAAAAAAAAAAAAAATGATTAAGATCGTTACATTGTTCGTTTGACAAGCAGATACTTGTATCGAAACATCGAATCGCGTTTGAACGAGGCAATTTATTCCAGGAACAATGTCCCGTTGAATTTTAAATGGCCGGTGTTATCGAAACTAGTCTACCTAGCTTGAAAAATCCAACTGCTCTATCTGGTCTCGTTCTGGTCCTGTTCGTAAACAGAGAAACGCCGTGCTTTCGAGCGATAAAACGCTTGACGTGTTAATTATAATAGATCCCAGATTACGCGGTACGGTTGCACCCACTTTCGAGAAGAAATACCTGCAGCCAATAGATGCTGCGGTTGATTTCAAATTTAAATTTAAATTAAAAATTGCCATGAGGAGTTTTTTGGGGGGGTGGACCAGATCCCTTTGAAATTTTGGAATTCTGGAATTTTCAAATTGTATCAAAAAATTTAAGAAGGATGAAATGAGAATCGACGACAGGTTCCTTAAAAACTCTCTCTGCGACTGTTGTTCACAAGTTAACGATCTGCGGTAACCTGATCTCGGGTGGAAATGATTCGCTACCGATTTTAAAAGAGTCTTCGTTCGTTAAGTAACCGCGGCGGCGGCAGGTAAATCCAAAAGCTCGGCCTCGATTATGGCGTTACACCTTGCTCGACCACGATGGGTGGCTGTTGCTTTCAGGTTTGCCTGCTGCGGCTAGTTAATATATGCCGTGGACTGTGCTAACGACTCATAAATTTTACAACTTTTCATCCTGCCTTCCTATAATTCCAACGAAACGACCGTGGATAAAATTAAACGTGCTTGCGAACGGGAGCTTTTCAAAGGAAGTACAAGCTTGTACCGGAGGAATTACGAAACGATACTAGAAAATTTGCTAATTGTAAGATTCGATCGTTAGTTGATGGAATTCAGCTGAAACCGTCGAATCGATGAATGTCCTTAGGATTTAGTTTAACTTTTGTACCACCGCGTATATTCCCGTGTATCTAGCCCACGCGATCGGGCAGAATATTAGCCGGTGTATAAAATGCATTTGTGATCACGACAGGAATGTAAATGGCGTACTTCAGCACGTCTCTCGGTGGACCGGCCTCGAATTATCAGCAATAAAGTATCTCGCTGGCGTGTTGAACAAGACATGACCGGCGGTAGTGCAAGCACCGCTACATTTGTTGCTGAATGAGCTGGTCTTCGTCGGTGATCGTTGATCCTGCTCCAGCTGGATGGTACCACGCTGCTTATAACGATCGTAAAGGATCGTTGATCTAATATTTAAAGAAGATACACGTCCGTCTCGTGTAATGCTTCGTAAGGATATTTCTCAATTTCTTTATACGATAATTAGATAAGATCAGCCGGAAATTTCGTCGGATAGGTCACTATCTCCGTTTGATATCTTCAAAATTACCGAGTGTCTACACCTAACCGTTTCACGCGTATCGGTAGAAACCAGTATCCTATCATTTTACGAAAGCTCGTTAAAATCGAACTTAAGGGTTTTAGGATGCCGCTCAAAGTGTTAATCTACTCGAGGAAAAGGGTCGCGAAATGAATTGAAACTAAAAAAAGAAAGAAATAAGAAACGTTAAGCACCCTTTGGTTATTTTACTACCAGCGTTGGTCATTTAAAGCGGTATGCTTCTACCTGACCAGGAAACGCATTATCGTAACTTCAATGCCGATAAACTCAGTGAAATTCTGCGGTACACGGTTTGCGCCGACCAGGCGGAGTAGCCGCGCAAGGAGTTGATACAAGCGGACAGGGCAACGTTAATATCGCAGTTTAATTCCTGTTAGAATCGTAATTATGGGGTAATTTCAAATTGTATAAAGTCGGGCTTAAGAAGAATACAAGCTGACCCTTAGGGAGTCGCAATTAGAAGCGTGGCTTTGGAGAAAAAATAAATATATATTCATGACGGAGAAGTTTATAAAATGATGATGAAATATTTCTGCGATCCTATAATTCAAATGGAAGACGACGTAAGCATTTGTTTTTATTATATTCGGACCTGAAACGCCCAGGCCACTTTACACCCAGGTAAACGTGACTCCTTCTTTTTCCCCTGACGTGGAAAAAGGTGTGTATCGTTGAATCAACCTGTTCGCGACCAGTCATCCAGGGATTTTCACGAGGAGCAGCAGGACTACTCGAGTATAGTCCTCTTAACGAAGTTGCTGCCCGGTTATAGTGTGCGAACGTTTCTACGTACAGACACGAAGAAACGAGAGCGTGCTTACCTGGCTTATGCATAGCCTAGGGAGAGAGAGGAGAGAAAGGAGTACACGCGGAGATGACTCTCGATGAGATGCTGAAGAGAAGAAGAGGACGAGAAAAAAAAGGGGGAAGAGGGAGAGAAAGCGAAAAGAAATTGCAAATACGATAGAAGGGTTAAGAGAAGGAAAGTGAAAGAATGGGAACGAGGTGGAGACAATGAATAAAAATAAAGGGATAAAGGGGGGATCGATGCGAGATAAAAGTATAGTAATTGTAAGAAGGTATTAAGGGGGCTACGGTGAAAGCGAGAAATAAATTAACCGAGCGTCAAGAGTGACGAAAATCAATTTGAAAATACCTCCCCTGAATTCATTCAAAATTAAAGGGATTCTCGAAAAGGCGCGTGAACCGAGGAAAAAGTGAATAGGAATGCAAGAAGAAAGTATGAAAAAAGTGAAATACCCTTAGGAAGAAAAATGACGGATCAGAACCTGAATGGAAAGATGGGAAACAGGTACAGAGGGAATTAAACGATGATTGTCAGATGGATGATGGCAGAATAATGAAAGCTTTGTAAATGCACGCGACCACTTAATGTAACTTGGACGAGATTGCGGAGGAAATGAAGAATAAATATCGGGACAAGTTAGACGTGAATAAATTAACTCGCTTAATTAACAAACTCGCAACTTCATTTAACTCGCTCCGTGCTCTTTTTCTCTCAACAAGCTAAAGTGAACTAGAGCGAGATTCGCTTCAGAGCCAACCCTTTTTCGGCCATTTCCGGTTAGACCGAAAAAGAATAATAATTTTGCAAGAATCTTTTGATCTGCACAAAAGTGACAGAGAGTCTAAATGCTATAGCCCCCTTATCATGATTTTCAATCTTACAATTAGAGTGAGAAAAACTGTACCGAAGATCTTTCGTGTACCCCGAAGGGTACGTAGCTTTGAGAAACACTGCCAGTGGAGGAAGTTATGGATCAACGATGCAAACTGTTTACGATTGATCGATGCTACAAAATTTTATCCGAACAGAGACGTTTATCAAACGACGACAAATACAACTCTGCCTATCGATTCTTTCCTAAGGATATCTTATTACTGACACTGATAGTGTCCAGTCCTTGACAGTGAAGTAATGATCGCGGTATTCGCGATAATATTAGCTTGTTGTAGATTGGATAGCCGATTAATTTACAGAATTTTTACCAACGATTTTATATCCTCCATTCGATTGTAAACCCTTCGACGATAAAAAGAGAAAAAATGAAATTTTCAATTCACAGATACATTATTGCCGGAGGGGGGTTTCATTCAGCAACGATAGTCTTTATGCTTTCTCATGGTAACAGCGCAAAATGAAAAGTTGTAGAGTTCGTAAGTCGTAACTCAAGGCGTGTAGTTTCTATTAACCAGTCATGCAGCTCGATTCCGAAGGCAACAGCCGAGGTCTCTCCTGAGAGTCGCTTCAGGAGCGAGCAAGGTGTAATGTCGAATCGATGTACCATAATCGTCCGGACTTAGGTGTCTTTCGTTCCGAGTCGAGTCTTTGCAGCCCACGGAACTGGTATATACACTAACTGGTGTACCAGTACCAGTCTGCTCGTGTGCTGATTTCTTATACCCGGTGATACATTTTAACATCTTACCGAACACGTCCGAGTTAAGTCCGGGTTTAAGAAAACGATTTTCTTCCACGAATTAACTCGTTAGACAGTGTTGCGCTTATTTCTTCTCAGCCGAAAAATGTTGACACCGAAACTGCCAGCTGTTTTTATTTTCTCAATAGTAGAAGATTAAATTTGGTAATTTTTCATAAAATTTCTGGTATTTTTAACAGTTCGTAAACCCGAAAGAAAGATTTTTATATCCGGCGAACATTAAATATCAATTTCCATTTTATTTGAACAAAATAAATGAAAAGAATGTAATGAACAGTACTTACACTGAAATTGCTTTTCAGGCAAAATGGCAATTTGCAGCAGCTTGCTCATCATTCTGCGATTATTATTCGTCGTCGCATCATCAACGGTACCTGGAACATGGATGTAAGTACTTCAATTTACCTAAAATTACCAATTTCTCAAATTAAGTATTCCCCACGTGTTCGAGGAATTTTATAAATCCTTCGAATTACCGTGCATCTGATCCACGATGAATCTATTTAAATATTAGAAAAAAAAATTAACCCTTGGAAGATGGATGTTGGGTCATCTCAACTCGTTACCTGTATAATTTTAAGTGAATCTCACAGAAATGACCCAATTGCTTTCGCGCGATCCCCTCGCGCTGCTCTACCCCCATCGAATTTCGGTGAAAAATTACCCACGCAAACGCCATAATTTATAGCTCTTTGTATAAGGCGAGACGAAATCGCGTCGTGGGAACTCGATCGAAAAGATTTTTCTGACGATCTCTTGTTCCCGACGTACCCCTGCCCGGCAACGGTGTGTCTAATTTCTCAACCCCTGGCTACCACCCCTGCACGCCCATGACAAATCATTGAATAGTTCCTAGCTCGGTACACTTTTTCTTCCCGTGGAATTTCCATCCTGCCAGGAAGACCTTCATGCTTCCCCGTGTAATTGGATTTTTCAGAACGAAAAACGAAGAGCATGGGATTTTTCTCGCCGGTTCGGACACACTTTAATAAACGTTATTTTATTTGAAAGTTTCTCGACGGGGCGCCGGCGGGTCATTCCGAACCCATGAATCTCCTTTCTTGGAAAATATCAATTTATATTTTTCACCCGAGTTCGCTTGGTTTTCTGTCGTTTGCCGAGCAAACGATCACTGATAAATTTAATTAAGTATCACACACCGTAAGATCGGTAATTTCGAAGCTGAAGAGATAATACGATTGATAAGCGATTATTGGCCCTCCCGATCATTAGGGCCTTTTTTTTCTTCTTTTTTTTTTTTCAAATCCCTCCACTAAGCAGCTCCGATCAGAAAAATGCCTAATCACATGGGCGGGTCTCGTAGGATCTCCATGAAAGTTAATCCTTCTTATGTGGGCTTAAGTTAGGCGTTCTCATTTAGCCTTGTCGTTTTAATCTCGTCTCCATCGCGGTCTAATTAGATTTGAATCAGTGTAATCATGCGTGCGGTTGATTGGAGGCTAATAACCGTTTAAGAGGAACTTTTGGGGGGTTTTAATTAAATTTCCATTACCTATTTTTTACTGTGTCACGTGACAACGGTACAACCTTCCAGAAAGGTGTACGCAGTATAATCTATATCCTTTGGTATCGAGGTAACAACCCCTTAAGTCACGACTAACATCCAGTATCCCAGATTAGATTCCAGGTGCATAGAAAACGTGCATGTGTTTCGAACGAATTGATTCACGCCGCTTTATTCTCAAAGCCATTTATTTCGCCGTGAATCGCCATGATATCGAAACGGTCAGATTAAGGGGTGGCCTCGGGACAATTTCTTTTTTTTTTTCCCCCCTCAACCTACGCGAACAGAAACCTGTCGACCATTTCATTGTCGTTTTCTTGCTACTTTCCATATACTTTTATTTTGAACAAATTCTTCATAAATACTTGATAAAAGTGTTTCTAATTATGTAAGTTAAGTAAATTGCCACGGATTATTAATTTTCAAATTTTTAATTGGTAAATATATTTACATAAAGGGTTAAAATAAGAGCAGCTATTAATTAGAACACCCGGTATATGAAACCATAAGACTGTTGCTACAATCTTTTAGGAGACACGAGGCATTACTTTTTGGGCCGGCTCAGCCTACAGTGCCCCATGAATTTGCGTGGGCAGTATCCTTCGAAATATTATCGTTCTCTTCCCATGGTTCCCCGCGTCATTGTTTTAGGGGAGTGCAAAGCTGATAATATATCACGGCCAAAACGTGTTTCGGAATATTAATGTACTCTATTATGCACTCCCTATTAGACGGTGTACCATGACCGAGAAAGCCGGTTAACCCTTTCCTCACGAAACCATTCTTTCATTATATTTATTAGCTCTCCGTGTGTAACTGATGATAATTTACCGATGAACGACTATAGCGATGACTACTGGATTTTGGAGTTTCAGAACAATAAGAGAATCCGTGTCCCTTACCTAGTTACGCTTATGGATCTAGGGCCTAAAGGCGTTACGGTGATCAATCCTTAGCGCTGGAACACGTTCAATGAATAGGATCGGTGATATTAGAGCAAGCCGAGCGTGTTCGTATCACCGGTGAAACCTTTACGAGCAACCGTTTCGAATTTCAGATTGGTAGCCCCGTTAAAGACCCCTGACTTCTGTCTGTGACGGCATCGTTCCATCATCTCGCTCGGTTGACTCACAAATGTGCCATCAAAAATCGGTGCAGAGAACTGTTCTTCGCCCACGGCACACCGCTTACCCTGCCCCTCGATCTCGCATAATCCGCGTGGCAAAATCTCTGAAAGTTGGCCGACGATTTTCGTGAAGGAAGGGAGAACCATCCATGGGGTGGTTTGGCAAAGGGCGATCGAGACGTTCAGTTTCTGTCTCGTCGATTCGGTCGTCGCTTTCAAAAATAACAACAGCCCTTCGCTTGGCCTTTTCAGAAACGTGGGCTTGCAACACTTCCCTCAGCTCGAGGTCAGTCAAATGATAGAAACGTACGACATGACAGCGTCCAACATTTGCCACGGACTGAAGGGTCTTTCGCCGGGTCAAGGGAAGCTGTGCCAGTTATCCGTGGACCACATGCCCAGCGTGGCGAAGGGTGCGAAATTTGGGATCCTCGAGTGCCAGCATCAATTCCGTGACCGAAGGTGGAACTGTTCCACCGTCCCCGACGAATCTGTCTTTGGACCTATACTCAGAATAGGTGAGACATCCGAACGCACAGAGAACCCACTCAGTGGCATCCCCTATTTCCACTTGATATTATCGATAACGTTTAATTTAATTTGCTGGTTAATCGGTAATTTTCTTACTTTAAACAGCCAGCAGAGAAACCGCGTTCGTTCATGCAATTACCGCCGCGGGAGTGGTCTACTCGATTAGCAGATCCTGCAGAGATGGCCAATTATCCTCGTGTGGCTGTTCAAGAAGCAGCAGACCCAGAGATCTAAAAAGAGATTGGATTTGGGGTGGCTGCGGGGACAATCTCGAGTACGGTTACAAGTAAGTTTCTTTTTCTTTTTTTTTTTTTTTTTCATCCAACAGTTATACCAATGAATTTATTTATTAAAAGCAAAATAAAACATAATGTTATTTTTTCAAGATTTACACAGGCATTCGTGGATGTAAAAGAACGTGAAAGAAGTTTCAAAAGGGGTAGCAGAGAACAAGGCCGCAGTCTGATGAATCTTCACAATAACGAAGCTGGTCGCAGGGTAACATTAATTCCTTCATTCTTCTCTTTCTACAGTTCCTTATAATTAGAAAGTGATTAATCTTCCACAGGCTGTTATTAAAAGATCTAAAGTAACTTGCAAGTGTCATGGAGTTTCTGGAAGTTGCAGCTTAATTACTTGTTGGCAGCAACTTGCATCGTTTCGAGAAATCGGTATGTTTCTCTACTATCTATAAATTAGAAATTATACAATTACACTGTCATGCTCTTAGGTGATTTTCTTCTGGATAAATATGATGGAGCGACAGAGGTCAGAGTAAATAGACGCGGCCGCTTGTCTATGAGAGATCCAAGATTTTCTTTACCTACAGCGAATGATTTGGTTTATTTGGATGACTCTCCAAATTACTGTCTTCCTAACGAGACACTTGGATCTTTAGGTAAAATAATTTCATCATTCGTGCCACTTTTCAAATCCACACAAGCATGGTAAAATTAAAAATTAAGCAGGCGTTAATGTTAAAAGCACCGAATTAATTTGTATATTTAATACTCTATTTAATAATGTTTGTTAGGCACACATGGAAGAATTTGCAACCGAACATCATCCGGCATGGATGGATGCAATCTTCTTTGCTGCGGTAGAGGGTATAATACACAGAAATCAACTGTAAGAGAAAGATGTGAATGCAAGTTTCATTGGTGTTGCCTCGTCGAATGCAAGACTTGTGTTAAAAATATAGACATTCATTCGTGTAAATAAAATCCAAGTCAGTCTTACTAACACTTTTTGTAATTTCAGATAAACTTAAATTAATAAGAAATATTATAGTAACACTGTATATATGCACACGTACGTGTTTAGTGAAGTACCTTAGCATACTTATGATACAAGTAATTTCTAGAAGATTTCTAGCTATTTTTTATTTTTTATTTCTATTTACAATCAATATTTTTTCTGACAGTTAAATAAATTCTGTGAAACTAATAATTTGTTATATTTTGAATTCTAGCTTACTTAAAAATATTATTCATAACTTTATAATGAAATAATTTATTAATTTATAAACATATTAATCAATATATTAAGTGGCCTATTAAATGTGTACACAAAACCATTTGTATTGTGCTCAAATAGTTATGTAATCTTTAAAACAGCATTTATCTGAAACCAAATCAACACTTTAAAATGACTGAATCTGTGATTTTATAAATTAGAAAAATTCAAACATTTGATGATTTTTGTTTCAACATTTTAAATATTATCATTTATTTAGAATTATATTGCTACAGTATTATCTTTGTAAGGAAATATTTTTTATTATCACAAAATATGTCTGCCTAATATATAGTATTAATATTATTTTATATTTTGCCCAGTTACATTTGAAATTTTAGTACTCTGTAAGTTTATTGTATTTGTATTTGTCATATGATTATTTATTGCTACTTTTATGTAATGTATGGTATACAAAAATATAACACATACAAAGAAGTTATTTCATCTTAAATGTTCCAATTGAACATTTTTGTAATTAATAAAAATTTCAAATAATTTTTATACTATAGTGGATCTGGAAGATTCATATAAAACACAAATCGTATCATTTACGAAATAATTATAATTAAAATTTTATAACTTACATTTTCTGTTGTGTACTATACATATTTCTAAATTATATTTACATAAATTAATAATTATTCATAAAACTGCCAAGGTCTTTCTGGACGATCAGGGTCTGTAGCCTTTGGATGGTAATATCTGGGTGGTTCTTGTAAAGAAATTCCATTTTCTGTTAGCTCATTTATTAATGTCTGTATTTTAGATGCAATAATTTCTGAGTCCTCAAAATACATCTCACAGATTCCAGATTCTAAGCAACGTTGTGCAAGCACACGTCCTACATATTTATATGCTATGATATCTTTTGTACTGAAAAATCATTGGCATTAATTTATTACATACTATCAAATAATAAGAATTTAGTTTATAATATATACAAACTTATATAATTGTTTCCTTATTCCCCATTCTTGACTGGATACCATGATAACTGGACCATTCTCAAAATGATGTATTTCTGCGTCGATATAACGATTACTCGGTTTTATAATTAATCTATGCAGATTTTAATGTTCTTTTAAGAATTTATATTAAAATTATAGTTAGAAAATTATATTTTAATAATCATTTTACTTATGCCAGTATGTAAATCCGGGTTTATCCAGAGTATAACCTACAGGCTTTCTCGCAATTCTTAAACGTTCCATATTTCTTGGATTACGGTTTCGAATTTCTTTACAATTTTCTACTATCTCTGCATTTCCATGTATTTGTCTTTTAAGAAATAAGTTAGTAACGCGATTTCTTAGAGACATTTTAATGTTTTAAATATGTTTATGTGATTAAAAAGTAAACATAAAATATACTCTACTCCAGAAGAACTATGGGACACTATGGGAGGGATCTATACTTTGCTTTACATGGATTGTATATTTGTTTATGTGTATAGTATATGTCTCTTTAATAAAGGTTATGTTTGTACCACGTGAATTATGATTCCAATATAAATACAGTTACTTTTACATAGTTTTAAACTATAACTTGATTAATATGCAATGATATTGTATTTTATAGTATAAGAAGTATTATCAACGCAAGTGATTGAACAAATAATTAACAATGAATAAAAGAAAACTTGAAGAGACTGAAAGCAATCAAAACAATGAAGATTCTTCAACAGAAATTAAACGGATTTTGTCACGTTTTAAATCAGACAAAGGTGAAATATTACCAGGAGGTTTGCTAGATCTGCCCATTAATATTACTGTTGATAAATTGCAAGAAATTTGTAATGCACTTTTGCAACACGAAGAACCTATACCTTTTACATTTTATGTAAATGATGTTGAGATTGTAGACAGTTTAGAAAATAATATCAATGAAAATTTCAGTATCAGCGAAGATGTAGTTGAAATTGTATATCAACCTCAAGCAATTTTTAAAGTTAAAGCAGTTACAAGATGTACTGGTTCTTTAGAAGGTATGTTATCTGTTTGCCAAATCAATTAGCTCCAAAACAAACTAAAAGTAGAGAAGTTGAGATATTGTTAAGTACTCCTTATTTTAATAAAATACCCCATGTTTTAGGTCACAAAGAAGCTGTAATATCAGTTGCATTTTCACCAGATGGAACAGGTCTAGCCAGTGGTTCCGGAGACACAACAGTTAGATTTTGGGATATTTATACGCAAACGCCGTATTATACGTGCGAGGGTCATAAACATTGGGTTTTGTGTATTTCGTGGTCTCCGTGCGGGACGAAGCTTGCGTCTGCATGCAAAAATGGGACAATTTTATTATGGAATCCGAAAACAGGCAAACAAATAGGTAAAAATTAATAAAATCTTATTATCAACATTTTATCTCGTTAATTTTATTTAGCTTATATTTAATTTTTATGAATATTTAGGAAGAGCTATGTTAGGCCACAAAATGTGGGTAACTTCTTTATGCTGGGAACCATATCACAGAAACCCAGAATGTCAGCACTTAGTCAGTGCTTCAAAAGATGGGGATTTAAGAATATGGGATACAGTTAGAGGACAAACTGTTCGCACCCTTACTGGTCACACAAAAAGTGTGACATGTGTTAAATGGGGAGGTAATGGACTTATTTATTCTGCATCTCAAGATAGAACTATTAAAGTATGGAGAGCTGAAGATGTACGTTTTATAGACATTATATGTTCCATAAATATATTGTTGTAGGCTTTGTTAAAATTGATTTATTACAGGGAATTTTATGCAGAACTTTATTAGGTCATGCACATTGGGTGAATACATTAGCATTGAACGTAGACTATGTACTTAGGACTGGTCCTTTCCATCTTGGAAAAAGTGAAGAAAATGCTATGGAATATGCAAAGAAACAATATCAGTCTGTAGGCGAAGAAATACTTGTTTCTGGTTCTGATGACTTTACGTTATTTCTTTGGAAACCAGAGAAGGAGAAGAAACCTATTGGTATTGTATATAACAATTCTTTAACAATTTTCTTTAAACGGAAAGAACTCGTTCTATATTGCCAGTTCCAGAAATTTTTCATTTCTACAGCCCCGTATCCGGCAATATAGCTAAAGTTTGCCGTAAAATAAAAATATGTATTGTATCAAGTTTATTCTATATTTTAGCAAGAATGACAGGTCACCAGCAGCTGATTAATGATGTAAAATTTTCTCCAAATGGTCGTGTAATCGCGTCAGCTTCATTTGATAAATCTATAAAACTGTGGGAGGCGAATACCGGAAAATATATAACTTCTTTAAGGGGACATGTGCAAGCTGTATATTCAGTTGCATGGAGCGCAGATTCTCGGTTACTTGTTAGTGGAAGCGCAGATTCTACTTTAAAAGGTAAATAAATTGAATGATAGTAATTAAGATTGTGAAACTCTGAAATCTCTTATTTTTATTATTGCAAGTCTAATACAAAGGTTTTGTATTACAATTCTATTGTAGTGTGGTGTATGAAAACAAAGAAACTTTGTCAAGATTTACCAGGTCATGCAGATGAAGTTTACGCTGTAGATTGGTCTCCGGATGGATTACGAGTTGCATCTGGTGGAAAAGATAAAGTTTTAAGGTTCTGGCAGAATTAAATAATGTAAATAATAATAAATAATTTAATAATAATAATTTTCCTTTAGTATTTTGTTTTTGAAAATAATGTCTAATCCTTTTTGCAAGAGCTGGCCGCATGGTGCAGCACCAGTACAACGCGGCAAGTAAAATCCTGGGCGTAAGCACTTTCTGTTCCTCTCAGTCAAAATAAAAGTTTTGAGAATTTCTGCTTCCCTTGTAATGCCATTTTCTCTAGGGAAGCCTACTGTGCTCGATACTGTATACAGTGCTGTATGTATACACGAATCAAAAGCTGAAGCATCTGATTGCTTTATTGCTTCAAACATGACGTTTGACAACTGAAAACTTAACCTCGTTTCATTTGTATATTTTATATACAGCATTTATTAACAACACACGGTCTTTGGTTATAGCTATCATGGTATGTAAATATACTTATCAATTGAAAACATTATATGATATATTTTCTGTATTTTCCATTTAATATTAACAGTGTTTTTAAGGAAACATTTTAATAGAACAGAGTTGCAGAGATCTAATCATGCGTGGTCCATGTATTTACAATAAAGTTATTAATACAAAAAATTAAATTTATAGGACAATGATGCAGCTGCTCTACAGAATTTGGAGCATCTTATGACTGAGTTTTTCTCACCACAAACAAGTAATGAACGAAAGCGTACAATTGAACAAAGCTTTCAGGAGTTTGCTGGACAGATTGATTCCTGGAGACCTTGTTTACATTTTTTATCTTCTACTAACAATCACCATGTTAGCATGTTTGCTCTGTCAACCTTAGAGGTATATATTAGCATATTTCTAATGATACTAAATTACTCATGGAAAAAAGTAATAATGTATTATTGGCAGCATAAATATTATTACAGATAACAATTGGAAGGCGATGGCCAATCCTTCCATGGGAGGACAGAGCTCTCACAAGATCTACTTTATACACATTGTCACTAGAAAGAGGTGTAGCTCCTTTTGTAAGAAACAAAGTAGTCAAACTAGTTGTAGATATTGCAAGGCACGACTGGCCACATTTTTACCCAGATTTTTATTTAAATATTTTGCAGGTTTGTAAATTGCTAGTATATAATCTTTCATTAATTATCTTGCATTTAAAATTTAATCTCTTTCTAAAGTTATTGGGTCATAAACATACAAGACTGTTGGGTCTCATCTATCTGAGAACAGCTTCGGAAGAATTAGCGACTCCGAGAGAAGATTTACCGATACAAAGAAAGAACGAATTGCTTAGATTTCTTAGCGCTCAAGTGCCTTTGACTTTGGAAACTCTTACAAGTATGCTTTCTTTTCGCAAATATTTAAAATAAAATGTGTTCTGATATTCACATTACCTTGTCATTTTAGTACTTCTAAAAGAAGCAACAAAATTGCAAAGTCGTTCTGGAACAGTCACTCCACCTCCCTCGCCTACCAGTGGTCAAAATGTAGCACCTGCCAGAGCTATTTTAGATGTGGAAGGATTAGCAACAGGAACTAGCGAAGTGTGTATAGCAACATTGGATGTACTAGCGCATTTATTTAGCTGGATCGAATTATCAGAGCACATTTCTACAAACTTACTGGATGCCATATTTACGTGTGCCAGGTATCACGATGCAATGGTAGGATTTTACCTCGAATACTACAAAATACTCTAATGCAGTTAACAAGTGCTATGACTAATTTCAAGTTTTGTTGGCAGAATGGCAAACAAGTAGAAATGGCTGTACAAGCTGTAACTACCGTGAATGAACTCTTATATAGACCATTGTGTTCTCCCGATGTAACCGATAGATTATTGGTAGAAATATTTCAGAATGGAGTGACATTATTTCAACTGTTGGAACGTTTAGATTCTGTAAATGAGAGGTACTTTCTTATTTATTCAATTAAACAATTTTCATGTTAAAATTAATATCTATAAATGAAAAATATTGCATTTCTAGTTATATGGAGAAGCTAACAGAATTCTTGCAATTATTTGTAACAAATCACCTAAAGAGAATTGAATCATGTCCTAAATTTCCAGTGAATACATTACTAGAAGTCTTGTGCCATCATACTTTTCAACAATGCTCAACAGTAAACGGATATTTAAGATGCTTAGACGTGTGGACCACTTTGTTAGAAAGCACACAGTCTCGGTATTCTCCGGTAGCACTAGCTGTTGCTGAGAGAGTACTGCAAAAGATGAGTTTTAAACTCAATACGCGTATATTGAAAGATCTTGACACGGAAAGTTTAGATGAAAATGTAAGAAAATTTACAAAAGTTGATTACTTTTTTTTTTCTTTTATACAAATATTTTGTTACAGGAAGAAACAGAATGGCAGCATTTTTTAAGATGTAACATAGAATGTTTGGCAAAAGTGGCAGATATTTCCCCAATTCCAGTTTTTACATTATTGGTAAATTATTACATATTATTGGTGCTTAATTTAATGTATACTTACTAATTGCTTTGAACCTTTCAGTATCGTTCTTGGAGAGAGGGGTTGATAATGTTTGGAGAACTAGGCACAGTTATCGCGAACAATCAAGTCATTTTATTAAACGATTCAGAAGCTTCGAATGTACACGCACACTTACGAGATTTAGCTTCCAGTACCCAAGCATTAGCTAGATTATATTCTCTCTTTCTGGGAGATAATCAGAATATTGACCAGTCACTAGCCGAAGAAGTAGTGTCTCAGACATTGGACGCGTGCAAATTTGCAAAAACTAATCAGTTATATAAAGCATCGTTACAGCCAGCTGCAATCGTATTAGATCTCATAGAAGTGTAAGTAAACCCAGTCATTAGTATTAGAATACTATTGATATGTATTATGTAATCAAATGAATTTTATTTTTTCTGATCAGTCATTCACAGTTGTTAGCGTCGCTCCAAGCTTGGTGCCACTGGATAGCTAACAGACCAGAAAAAACAAAAGAAACACTTTGTCAACGATGCATTGATTCATGCATTTCAGCGTTAGATTATACAACTTTCTGTGATAATCCTCCACCGGCAAGTTTAACTCATTCTGCTACTCATCTTTTTCAAAGTATCACTGCTATTCTGAAACCTATATTATGGGATGAACCTACCTTCAGAAATTTAATTTCCATGGTAACGTATCCATTTTTGAAGCCCGACACGATAAAAGTACTGCGAAGAGCGTTAGTGAATGCTATCGTCTTACCGCATGGAGATGGAATTATTAGAGAAAGATTATTAGGTATGTATATATATATATATCAAATCAAGTGCAATTAATCATTTATTGAACAGTAATTATTATTTCATGATTTATATTCAATTAGTTACCATGGTGTCAACACTGTCTGCACCTCTTGGCTCAGAAGGACAACCTGCACCCACGAAATCTACGATTTCAATGACAGTAGTGCCATTAACTCAATTATTAAATGACTGTTCAGCGTCATCGACAACAATAAAAAAAATGTTACATTCATGTTTGGGGCCAACGATAAATAGAATATTAGAATTGCTGCCATATATGATAAAGTGTCAAATTATATGTGAAATTTTGCTTAGTTTTTTACATTCAGTATTCTTAGTATTACAACAGCAGTTGGGTCCTGATTTTACTCAAAATGCAGTTCGAGGACTATTACACATTTACACTAGGTAGGTCTATTATTTAATTATTATTACAGGAAGTAATAAAATCATTTAATATATTTGTAGGGAAAATATACCTGCAGGACCTGCTTTAGATCAGTTACTGGAAATTTTAATATTAGTTGTGTCAGCAACTAGCAGTGCATTTAAGGCATTTGTTCCTTCAGTGACTAATTTATGTTTGGGTCAAGTGTGGCCTGTTATTGGAAACGACCTCAGCTCGTATCCAGATACTACACTTGTCTTACTAAAACTTTTCCACAGGTAATAAAAAAATTATGTAATATTCTATTATGTACTTTAAAATTATAATTAATGTAAGATTCTTTTTAGTATACTCATGCACAGATGGCAATACTTTTATAATACATCTGTATTATTGACTCTTGGCCATTCAGAAGAAGAAGAATCAGTTGAACACAAGGAAGAATTAGTTGCAATTTTGGAAGCATTTGGCCAAGCTCTTCTCCAACCAGATGTTAATATATTCCGTCAAAGTTTGCAAAGCCTTGAGCAATTGAATGTACAATGGCGACTTTATCAACGAGCCATATTCAAAGCTCACTTGCTAGAGAGATTTTTAATGGCATTATTTACAGTTCTGTTCCAACAGTAAGTTAAAAATATTTTTATTTATTTATTTAACTGATGAAAGATACTAATCAGGTTCATTTGTAGGTCTCATAATTTACTAGCGGATGAAATTGCTACTGCTATACACAGTTTAGCTTCAGTTAATATAGCATGGTTCTTTGGACACTTTTTGCCAACATTTTTGGCAAGCTGCGAAGGTGTAGATGACATGCAGAAAGCTACTTTATTAGGGAACTTTGATAAATCTACGGTAAGTCGAAGCTATCGACTAGTTTAACATTTTCAATTTCTCATCAATTTTGTGAAATACCAACAGGATCAACCAACCCTGACGAGATCAGTGCTTCGACTTATTTCTGACCTACGATGTTATCAATTTTGTCGACCCGGGTGAAATAATCTCGTTTCAGTGTAAACATGAATTAAAATAATGCTGTGTGATACAGTTACAACCAGTGAAAAATTATGGAAAATAGCATTTTCAACGAATCCTTTGGGATGGATTTTAAATGTAAAAACAAGATGACATTTTTCTAAGTTTGTGCTGTAAATCACTGCCGTATCGCATTGTGATGTGGCGTTAGTGTTACATAATAAAACGCGACATTTTTTTAATTTTAGTCGTTACGTATATATTTCCTAATTTAATCTATTTTGCAGATTTTTAAACAAATTAGATTATTGTAAAAGTAGCATTGTACACAATGCTCTTTGAAATTTATTCTAGTTTCTAAATGTATTAGCTCATTCCAAAAATCTTGAAACAAATATTGTGATGTAATGTATTCTCTGATTAAGTAATTTTTTCTTTCAATTTATTTTCAACGTTCTGATAACAATTATATAATTTTGTCGTAAGAATGATCTAATTTTTATTTTATTTTGAAAGCGTTAAAAAATTAAGCTACCCATATATGTCTTTTTGTATTAGAAACATTAGATCCCAAAAACTAGTATAACATAATACCTTGAGAAAATGTCTTTTACATGAAATAGTATCTTTTATTCAATAATTATATGGAAAATAATTTTTATGATAAAAGATACCTTAAGAAACAATTGGAGCCAATTTAACAACGGTGTTCTATGTTACAAGACTAAAAATCATTGGTTAGAAATGTATCAAGATTTTTGCAATCATCTGTTATTTGTTTGTTATACTTATCGCATCCCTTCTCTCTCTCATGATAAGTAGAGAGTTATTTTGATAACCCTATCGAGGATGATGGTTTTTAAACAGTGCATCGGAGTTCAATGAATTAGTAGAAGACTGACTAGCAGTTCAGAAACGATTAACAATGTTTTCCATGCTGTCAAAAAACTGTGTTTATATTTCAAAGCCAAAGATGGCAAGAAACTTAGTGACTGATCCGAAGTACGGATTTTTGAAACAGTTAGGCATCACAGCTGAGAATCCAGGCCTTTATGATGGTCGATGGGGAGGTTCTGGCAAGGTATTCTTTTTCTTTTCATTTAATTATATTATATACTGCGTTTCATCTAACTTTATAATTCTTAATAATTTTGTTAAATATCATGACATTGACATTGTACTTTAATACTTTTTTATATGGAATGTTTCCAAGACTTGGTCAATGTAGCAAAAGGGCATCTTAGGGTCAGATTTTCCAAGAATCGATAGTGACATAAGCTATCACAATGACTTTTTGAAATGGAACTGAGCTATTTTAAATTTGTGTATTTGTTTAGAGTACTTTATGAATTGCTAATCTTTCAATATCTTGTCTTAATACTAATTTTGTATGTAGAATGTTTCAAAGAATTAATTTGTATACAAAATCGGAAATATCAGAGAATATGATCTTGTACAAATGTTCCTGGTTCAATCCACAATTAAAAAATTAATCTACCAATTTGTTAGTCATTATAAATAACTTTCGTTTTAATACTATTGCAACATCTAGGTCGTGGAATCAGTTTCCCCAGCAACTGGTAAAGTAATAGCAAAAGTGCGAACATCGTCTGTTCAAGAAGCGAACAATGCTATTACAGAAGCACGCAAAGCCTGGTCTCAGTGGGCATCTTTGCCAGTGCCAACTAGAGGAGAAATAATAAGGCAAATAGGAGACGAGCTTCGACAAAATTTAAAACCATTAGGACAGTTACTGTCCTTAGAAGTGGGTAAGATATTCATACTTTTATGAAATTTGATTTCTTACTTCTGTCGGCTTCAATTTTAACTCTATGATTCTGCAGGAAAAATATTGCCAGAAGGTATTGGAGAAATTCAGGAGATCGTCGACATATGTGACTTTGCTGTTGGTTTGTCTAGAATGTTACCTGGCCAAATAATTCCATCTGAAAGAAAGGACCATGTTATTTTAGAAAAGTGGAATCCTCTTGGAGTTGTAGGAGTTATTTCTGCATTTAACTTCCCAGCTGCAGTACGTGTAACTAATAAGAAAATTTAGTAATTTAAATACATAGTTTAATAACATAATTGATAATATTACCTCAGGTTTTTGGTTGGAATGCTGCAATAGCATTGGTTTGTGGAAATACTACAATTTGGAAAGCAGCACTTACTACTCCTTTAATTTCTATTGCAACCACAAGAATCATAGCAAATGTATTCGAACGAAATGGTATACCAGGTTCAGTCGCTTCCTTGGTAACAGGAGGAGCAGATGTTGGTGATACTATTGTCACTGATACACGGTAAGCTAAAAATATTTCTATCAATTTAATTATTTATATTCGACAAATACGTTTGCTTACAGTGTACCTCTGGTTTCATTCACCGGAAGTACTAAAGTTGGAAAGCAAGTGGCTCTTAAGGTTCAAGATAGGTTTGGCAAGTTTCTGTTAGAGTTGGGAGGAAACAATGCAACGTTAGGTAAATTAAGATTATAACAGTTAAGTTTTTTAAAAATATTTTATCTATTTAAATTGTATTTTATTTAACACAGTTGATCAAGATGCAGATTTAGACCTGGCAGTTAGAGCAGCAATGTTTTCTTGTTTGGGAACAACAGGGCAAAGGTGCACATCTACTAGGAGATTAATTCTTCACAGTAAAATAAAGGAAGAATTTTTAGGTAAAATATTTCCGGAATAAGTGTTAACTGCGAATTTAATCTGTAAAATAACGTAAAATATACAAATTTTATAGGAAAATTAAAGATAGCATTCCAGAGTATCTTACAAAGGATAGGAGATCCTTTGGATGAAAATACTTTGTATGGACCAATGCACAGTCAACAATCAGTAGACAATTATAAGGTACTAATATTAATATAACATTTACGTAAAAGCTCAAAAACAACATTTCACGAGTTAATTTTTTTTTTTTTTTTTTTTTTTTTACAGAATGCAATACAAACTGCTGTAAGCAATGGCGGGAAGATTGAATTTGGTGGAAAACAAATAAACAGGCCTGGTTTCTACGTTGAACCAACGCTTATTTCTGGTCTCCCACCCACCGCTGAAATAGTTCAGCAAGAAACTTTCGCACCAATTGCGTACGTTTTTGAAGTGAAGTCTTTGGAAGAAGCTATTGCTATCAATAATGGTGTACCACAAGGATTAAGTAGCGCCCTGTTTACTAAGAGTCTTGGAAATGTATTCCAAGTAAGAACATAACTGTGTAGTTATATTACCGTGATATAACTGTGTTTTATCAATATTATTAAAATAATGTTTTACAGTGGATTGGACCTCACGGTTCTGACTGTGGATTGATAAACGTCAACATTGGAACAAGCGGTGCTGAAATTGGTGGAGCATTTGGAGGAGAAAAGGCAACGGGATATGGTCGCGAGAGTGGAAGTGATTCGTGGAAGTACTACATGCGACGTGGAACTGTTACGATAAATTACGGAAAGGAACTGCCATTGGCTCAAGGCTTGAAGTTCGAATAATCAGAACGTACATCTGATTTTATGAAAATCCTTCATTGGTTTAATTCAAATCGTATAAAATCCACCTCGACATCCACCGAGGCTTTTTTATGAAATTTATAAGCTTTCGGTAAATCATATCTCAGTTCGGCAATAACTTTACTTTTCGCTCCAAATTGAGCGGCTTTTTGAAGAACATAATTACGCGTACTTGTTTTGTGCAAAGAATATACAGTATTTGACGCTAATTTGATTGCAACGTCCAGAAACTTCATGTCTATACCCGCGTTATGTTTTGTTCCGAAAGGTGGATTCATAATCACTGTATCAAAATATTTTTCAAACCTTCCTGCAATTTAAAAACAGATCGATTTTAATAAATAAATTTCATATGTTTCTATATATGTGTGTATACCTGGCAAATATTGAAGCACATCACATTGTATAGCTTCCACAAACAGTTCAATTTCATTGCAATTTCTAGATTGAATTTCAAGTGCATCAGAATCAATTTCAAAGCCAACTACGTGACCTGCTTCAAGCATCTGTGCTCCAAGAGACAAAACACCACATCCAGAACCTAGATCAGCTACCACCCGTCCTTCTATATCATTAAATTGTGATTGAGCACAATATAGCATGCATGATGCTATGTGAGCACTGGTAGAATATTGTTCAAGCAATATTTTTGGTTTATCAAATCCATCCAACTGTTGTAAATATTCTTCTAACTTACGAAGTGGAATACTAGCCATTTTCTCTAATTAGTTAATGCTCAGTATTATCCTTTAGGTATACAAATAAAAAGAATATTTAATCCTTATTCAAAGTTGCTTCCACCACACTTATTTACATGTTTATAACACAGAATCACTTATCATTAATAATTTCTCATTTAGTATCAAATCTAGGAAGAACTGGTAAAATAAGATTGCCAAAGGATGAGTCCTGTGTCACAAAGTATCCTGATGAAGCTGCATGTGCATTATGTAAAGCAGCTCTCTGTGAGGCACTCATTGCAACACCATCAGAAGGTTGTGTAGGAGGCTAACATGATAAGTATATAATAATTCAGTTTGCAATTTAGTCAAGAATATTAAGATATCAAATGTACGTTTACCAAATTAGAAGAACCTGTTGATGTAACTGCCAATGATGTATTTAATGTTGGGGCCACACCTTGCTTCAAAAGCATCTGTTTCTTTAGTTGCAATTCTTCCAAAATTTTTCTGTTTTGTAATTCTATAATCAATTTAAGTAAGAACTCTGTTGTACATGAAACAAAATAATATAATTGTATACTACCTCTTGAGTTCGATTGTGAAAAAGCCATCAAAATTTAAATTCTTTTTGTCCTCAAGCAGCAGGATATATTACAAATTTTTATTCTTTGTGGTAATTGTAAATAGGTTACATCGCCGGTTCGACGGTATAACAAATTCAATTAGCTTTCAGATTTTAACTAAAAGAATACAGGAAGATATTTAATATAAATGTATGAAACGTATATAAATTTTATCTTATAACAATATTTCTTTAATAATGTGAGAATGTTTAAATATATCTCGTGTTATCTTAACCCCTTTAAAGGAGTTTGCAAAAATGTGTTGAACAAATCTACGCAATAATATATCATAAAATTACATCGGTATCTCAAATACCTATTTATCTTTATTTTATCGCAGTTGTTTATAATATCAATAATTTGGGAAATATTATATTTTTAGAGATTCACCAAGTTTATTTCAAAAAATTCCCTAGTGAGATTTTGAAACCACGATCGTCAACATAGATCTGGGAACTTCGGTGGTGGGAGGTGATTCTAAAACGCAGTAGCTAGGGAGATTAGTGACATCGATATTTAGCGCATGCGCAAAGAAGGAAGACTTTCGCAGGCGCCACCTTGTGAGCCAGTTCTATCGCAGAAGTTATCTCGAGTAGTCCTTCAGTGGTTGTGTTCGTCCGGTTTTCTCGCGATTTTTTCCGATCTCGAAGAATCTCGGTTGCTACTACTCTGACAAAAAGAGTGAGTATTAAATATTCAATTTGTAACATTGATTTCAACGGCGTATTTAGAAGGTAGCAGCTCGGTCCGATTGTAAAATCTATAGCAACCAGACGTGACAGGTTCTAGCAAAATGGCCGTGCACGATTTACAACAAACGGTTGTTCCGCGTTCACTCGATAATCTTCTAGCAATACTTTCTGACCAACATGACACCGCCTTATATCGCGCACTTAATTAAAAACAAATTGAGATACCAGTCGATGATTTTCGACCAGTCGTCCGACGGTGTTTCATACATATTCAACGTACATGTTGCACGTCACTTTGAATTGATTTTTTCGCGAATGACCGTTTGCGTGGTGCGGTAGTGCGATCACTTTGCCGCAACTACCAAGCCACCGAACTTAAACCTTTGTACCGAATTTCGTTGTTCCTTGATTTTAAACATTATCTTATCTGTCAGAGTGTGAACGCCGAGAGTTGATTTCTTTGCACCTTTTGACAGACGTTAGCGCGAGTCGGTATTGAGTCAGCGATCAGCTGTCGAGTCTGTCAGCGAATTGAATTTCTAATGATGTTCAACGGGAACATGATCATTTATCTTCTTTTTTTTTTTTAAAGGGTTATTGATTTTTTTAATGAAAACTGACATTGTTTTATTTGAATGCGCGAAAGCAAGTGAATCTTGGCGTGTCCAGTGCTATTGAAGCTGCCGATGATCTCGAGTAACTTCTCGTGCTTATATGTAAGAAGATTAGTTGAGAAAAGCGAAGCCACAGGTAGATCGCGGTGTGCGGGGTCGAGAAGGCCAAGAGTCGCTCACCTGTGCTGACGATCCCGGAAATAGTCGTTGCAAAAAAATCATTGATGATAAATAACGCGTAGATGTGTGGCTTTAATTCACAAATTAGAAAGCAAGCTTGTGTCAGCGTTGGAAATATTACCTGTATTTACTTTTCTTCTAAAAGTAACTTACTTTTAGAAAATTAATTTCTTTATAAATCATCAAAGTGTTAATATAAAGGGGTGTGTGTGTAAACTGAGCATTGTCAACAAGAAGTGTATCATTTAAATTATTTTTATTGTGTTTTCTAATGCAATTAGATGTAGAGGATTAAAAAAGGGAACTGTCATGAATATTTGAATGCATTGCAAGGTGAAATATACACAGCAACGAGGGTGGGCGGACAGCCGGTTTTATCGATTACGGCGCATCGCGCCGCTAAGCATCGTCATAAAGCGTCGCGACGACGCAGCACGCTTTTCCGATTGTCAAGGTCTGTCCTCTTTCAATATTTTCCCTAAAATCATCTTTCCTTTTCTGCGAGGATGACTGTGAAGTCATTCTCAAAGATTTTGGTTATCGATTAGACTCGAATATTAGCGGGAAAGATGGCCGCCCGCGATTCAGCGATTCTAATTGGTTGATTTCGAGTGGCATTCGCCAATCACCGTAGACCTCTCGAACCCCTGTTCAAATATTATTGTCCAATCACGATCTCGCTTATTTCACGGAAATCCGCGGGTTTTGCCAAATGTTATGTCATTACGCGGATGTACAGAAGGAAGTGAGCTTCGCACGAGGAATGTAATCAATATTTTGGTTTTCCTACGTTTCTTATATACTTGAATAAAATACAAATAACATATGTAAGTTTTTAACGAAACTTGTGAAATTAATAGAAACTATAAATGTATAAAATCAGTAGAACGGTTGACATTTTACAGGAACGTATTTTTTTTTAACCTATTTGCACATTCTACAGTCTGTTTAAAGTTTGTTGGTATTGCTCTTAAGATGGCATCATCGCTTTAAAAAAGTAGTCTCATTTACTTTTTGCATAACACTCAATTTGAAACGATGACGAGATAGAAAACGTTTACAATTTCTTTTTATTATACAAGTTTTCCTTCGTTTTACTGTTAATCGAGATGGTTTGCATTAATCAGTGTTTTTCTAGCAATTAGTATGATAACATTTCTTTTAAATATAAAAACCAAAATATCTTATTTTGGCGTTATCGATATTCGATAATATAACGGTCCAGTATAAATAAAATGTTATGACCAGCCAGGCTTACTATACGTACGTGTTCATAAATAAATGTATGCTTTTCGCAATTAAAGTACCAACACGTACGTACATAAGTGTTTAATATTAAAATTTGCAAGTTATTAACTTTTAACATTTTTCTCTTTGTTTTAATTTTCAGTAGATCGATGCTTTTAATAAAATGAAACGAGCGATGTCTTCATTGGCGCGTTTTTTCATCCGATGGAAAGTAAAACAAATCACGGCATTGCTTTCAGTTCAGGGAACATGTTATTGTTCCGATTAAGGATTTCAGGACAAACCGCTCTCACACATTCGTTTGAATTTCCTTTCATGCTCGTCTGTTTCCCTCTTTTTATATCGGATAAGAAATTATTTCGCTGGAAGCATTTTAAACGGTAAAACTACGACCCGTAGAAACGCGGGAAACTGTTGTTTTTTACCGTTTCTTTGTTAAACAAAATTTATACATACTGGATTTTTCATATGTTAAAAAAAATAATAATTCTTGGGTGTGCGATTATAAATTAATTCGCGTTCTCGAGATATATTTTTTAGCGCAAGATTAAAAAAGAGGTGTTATGAGCTACGTAATTGCTTTTTTTTTGTAAACTGACCGATAACATTATCATGGTTATTAACATCAAATTTAATTTCATGTACAAACTGTTACAGAAATGAACAATTATTCGTTACAACGTGTCTATAAATTAACTTAAAATAATTGAAATAATAATTTGCATATAAGTTGCGCTTAATGTGAAATGAACATAGAGAAGAAACTTTATTACTTTCTCTTCTAATTGAATTCTGTGTTTATCTGCAGCGTGCATTTCGAAAATTTCTACTTGTATTTATTATTTAATTTTGAATTTATTTGTAACAAGTTACGGTAACTTCGATCATTCAAATAAACCGCGTTTTTATTAATAGCCGCGCGTAATTTTCGGCAACAGTTCAAATCCACCAAAGCGCGGGAAGATATTCAAATTTGAAATAGTATTCAAGAAGGCGCAGTGTTAAAGTTGTACGCTTAATATTATCATTCCGCTTATTATTACTATTTTGTTTTACAGGAGATGTCGATGGCTGGGTACTAAAGGAATCAGGAGCTGACTGGAGAAGAATCTAGTCGCGCTCGTTCGAATCACTGTTGAGTAAAGCCAGCAAACACACTCGAGGATCATGAAAATGGTGCTGTCTCAACGTCAGAGGGAGGAGTTGTAAGTTTCAAATTTGTTACATTTCAAAAATTCTAGATACTTTCACCGACCATGCCCTCACTGACCGTACACAATTAGAAAGAAATAAACATCCAATTCTTATCAAAGTTTTTATTTTAGAACCATACTGCTCTTTTCATAATTTTTCTTTTTAAAATACACGAGGATTGAAAGTGGAGGTGTAGTGCAACATCTTGGAAAAGATTCCTTGTAGTGGGAGAACATCTTGAAAAACGTGTATCTCATCCCTACTACGCTTAGGTCAGCGTAATTGCGCAACTATTATTTAGTTTCTTATCGAAATTGTCTGCTTCGACGTATTAATTATATACCCAGAAAGTTGAATGTAAAATGAATTTATCGTTACATGCAAATAGTATTATCACATGGAATCTTGATACGATCATTGATAAATATAAAGCCTGATCAGTTCTGAAATTCGAAAGCACATTATTCAACTATTTAGTTGTTTGAAAGATCACAGGTTAAAAGAGCGATTCTAGAAGAGTCGAGGAAGTGAAGTTGACGAACAATTAGCTATATTGGTAACACCTGCGGAAGAGTAGCAGCACACTGCGTGAAATTTTGATGGGACGATTATAGCCAGAGCATGTATCGTAACGTGCGATGAATATTAATAAGAAAACAGTAACCTGCGGATTACAATAATCGCACGAGGAGAGTGGGGCGTTGGAGAGAGAAGTATCCAATATTTTCTTTGATTCATCCAAGTCGGTGAATCAGTTGGAAACAATGATAACTAATTCGTGGAAACTTGGGCAAATATTTTGAGTGAAAATCAGCAGTTTCTCCTTGATTTACTTGTTCGTGGAAACGCTTAATGGTGATGGAAATAAACAATAGAAAGGAATTTCTTAAATGGACGGACTATTTTAAGAATTCAAGCAACAGACACGAGCCGGAAAGTAAAAGAAAATATTTGGAATCACCATGAAATTATCTGGTAGAACAGGAAAGGACCAAGGGATTGCAACGCAACGAAATTTTTATTCAGTAAGGTCGCATTAATCTCAGTCGAATACTCGAGAACAAAAGACGGTATTGCGTACTAGCCAACTTTCCTTTTCCTTGATTCCTAAGCGATAGAGTTTAGGGATAGAATTAAGAATGTGATAAAATAATCGATATCAGAGGAAATCCTGTGCAACTTGAAGTTCATTATATATTCATTGGCGTTCAAGAAATAACTCTGATAACGAGGTTAATAGAACAGCAGTGTTTATAACATTAGAAAGCCAATAAACTAAGGTAACAATTTAAGGAAACCATGCAATGAAATTTAAAGGTCACTATTGTAAAGGACATGTGATATTGTGTCACTGAAAGACCGGTTAATGCCTCGACTATTATGAGGGTCAGTGGCGTGCCAGATTTTGTATATCCAAATGCATTCTGAGGTCATTTGAATGCAGACGTACGATTTTACACATGTCACGCTATTAATACAATGGTAAAAGCGTTCTTTATAATATTACTGAATATTGCAATCATCGACGACCCTCGTGGCAATTGAACCGTTCATCCGAGCTGCGAAGGGGATCAATAAGTCAGCATAACGAAAAATGCGTGCTGCGTATCTGTGATTCTCCGGCTGAGGGTTGGTCGGGAGAAGGCACGTAACAACCCCCGTAGCGGGTATTAATACCAAAACGGGACATTATCGATTCCTGTGTCGATCGATGCTGACTAATTCTGGGTGACGTCAAATCACTCGTGGATCGACGCGTGTCGCGCGGGGACCAGCCGCAGGATAGGGCGTCTGTTGAGCACGCGCGAATAGCGGGATCGATAACGCGTCGAACGGGCGGACGAACGAGGAAGAAACGGGGAAACAGGGAAATGCAGACACCAGACACTGTAGGGAGGAGAGGAGCCGGTCAAACTTGCTATGCTCCTCGTTTCATACTTCAGCCTCGGGTCGAAGAATTTTCACCTGAAACTTCTTTAACAAACTTAAAGATGTCGAGGTTTTTTAATTAAACAGTCGATAGGATTTTGAGCTTCTAGTCTCTTCTTGTGTTTCTGAAATAAGTAGGACAGCCTCCAGGCTCAGAAGGCAATAGGAAGTTGGAATTTTATAGCCGATTGTTCTGGCTTCTCTCAGGAAATAGAGGTCATAAGTACAAACTGTTTTGGTACTTTCAAGTAATTATTCAAATGAGAATCATCTCTCTTTTTGTTTTATCCTTTGTAGCATATTTCGATTAAATCCTCTAAGCATCTTTACTGAACTTTCAGGTACTAAACGTGTTTAGAAGACAAAGAGATGAACGAAGGAAAGTAAAGGGTTTCATTGATCATTACAGGTGGCCTCTTGTGGCATCTGTTCCTCTTACCAGGCTTCTTTTTTCAAGCTATCTAAAGTGAAACTCGATCCACGTTAAAACGTTTATTGATCTACCTTGATCCCTTATTTGTGTTTGCATTTTGTAATTGAAAACCGATCGGGCATCGCAGTAAAGAAATTTAGAACACAAAACAGAAATGCAGTGGATTCAAACTAAAAATTATGCAAGTGGTGGAGCGTGTCAGGAAAAGAGATTTTAGGTTTCATAACGAGAGAATAAAAAGCAAGAAAGCTGACAGAAGAAGGCTGTTAACTGTTAAAGAGTGTGCACGAAAGTTGAGGAGAATTGCTGGCTGCAATGAGACCTTGGAATCGATAGAGCTCCTCCCTTGCATTTGCCAACGTTTCACCCATTCTGTTTCGTTAACGATGTAAGAAAGTGGAAAAATAATAGGGAGAAGGGTGAAAGTGGTATGCAACGCGATCGATACGGAACTACCATGTATAAAGGGTTTCGAATGTTTGAAGGGATGGATCAGGGAATTGCGTTTAGTGTTTCAAAAAAATGAGTCGTTTCGTTTCATAGAGAAAGGGAAGGTACTGCAATATAATACCTTAAATAGTGGAGTCCTGGTGCACCTTATATGGTCAAATAACATATACATATATAACTCCACCCCTTTAACTTATAATCGTAAATGCATTAAATATAAAAATAGTTTACAAACATATTTTTCATTTCATGCTATATCATCTGAAAAACACAGTTATTTTTTTCTATCTTATCCAAAGAAAGAGTACCAGGTTCGTTGAAGTGGAAAACTTTCGTTGATCGAAACCAAGAATCACTTTCTAAAAGCTGTGCATCTGGTTATATATTATTGCAATTAGAATTGCAATTAACACTTGCCAGCAGTTTCATTCCAGTGAAATTAATTCGCATTATCTTGCGTGGTAATACGTTCCCCGTTAAACGTTAATGACCAATTAATGATACAAACAGTGTCGATTATCTGTTGAAACTTATTCCTTGAATGTGATAATTGTACACGTGATCATTACAGACTTCAAACGTGAGTAGAGAACAATGCTTTGCTCCTCTACGTCATTTTCCTTCGGAAAGTCCACCATGGGTACTGTATTTATCAATGAATTTACCAGCAACTTTGCTAGTTAAAAATTCATCAAATGTTCAGTAAGAAGGAATAATGAAAAGAATCTATTCGTAATCTCTACAGATTCTAATCATCGAGAGACACGAGCAGATTTTATCCAAGAATTCAATAAAAGAAAGCACGATAATGCTTTTCTATGCAAATCTGATTCGTTCGAAAGGAACTGTACATTTTTCCAAGATTAATTAACTCGCAACAGTCCTGAAGGAAATTCTACCGATAACTGAGAGCGTAAGAGCGTGTTTCTGATGGCGATGGGAAACCTTATATCTGGTGTACGTGATACCTGCTGACAGGTGTGCTAAGGTAAATGGAAAAAGAAGATGCGAGCGAAGATGGAAAGGGGATCATCTTCGCGTAAGAGACGATCAACCGTAGCGATTCTCGAGCGTTGAAATTCGCGCAAGGAATGAAATAACGAGGACGTTGCGCTGCATAGCAATTTTGGACCCCCGAAAAATATCCGGGCCAGGAATTGGATCAGGATATCGCCCGAGGATTCGTGCTGGTCTTTCGAAACTTTCTCCACGGAAGATTAATATCGATGGGGCCAAACTGAAAACCGCTTGAATAATTAGCGAAACGTGCAGGCTGGTATCGGGAACGTCGAGCTAAGTGCTTTTTCGACGTGGATCCGATTTATTCTGTTTTGCGTGTCCCGTTCGGTTCGAGTGAAAGGTTCTCGAATCGGCGAAGGAGGAATCGATCGGGCTTTCCGGCTTCGTTCCCTTTGTTTGCCGGCATTTGAACGAAACACGCGCTGATAATTCGCCTACGTACCTTACTATCATGTGGAAGCAGGTGAACAGGGACGAACGACCGACTTCAGGCCTTTCACCCCGGCATAATTCTGCCCGACTTTCAATCTCTTTTCCCACGTATTCAACCTGCAGCCTCGGGTATACCTGCGCCTCTACCCGTGGATACTTTTGCCAAATGTCATTCTTCGATCGTTTAACTTCGTATTTGTTCAGATGTTTGGAAATACCATTTGCATTATTCTTACATTAGATGTAACGTATTAATGAGTTACACAAACTTATAAATATAAAAACAAGGATCGCCTAAGCTTTAACAAAACTTTTCACGTGCCTTTTATTTTGGTGACGCAGAAGTTGATGCCATCAAGCTCCAAGGTGGTGGACAGAACATTTTTCAAGTTTTGTTAAAAGGATCGGGTTAGCTGATCCTTGTTTTTATATTTATAAGTTTGTAAACCTCAACATGTATACACATGTTCTCATAATGACACTGGGCGTGCCCCGGCACCTTTCTGATCCACTGTCTATGCATAGGAAACGTGTTAAGTGTTTTGTAGAACATTGTCTCGAAGAAAGAGAAGGGAGAAGGAAGCGCAAAGATATTCACGAGTTGTTTCACACATTGCTGCGATGAAGAAAGTTTGAAAAACGAGGCTGGCAAAGAATGACCCATGGCTCTTCGACGTTTTGTAATTGATTTAACGATAGAGTGAGATACATTTAGAAACTCGTATATCACTGGAGAAGAATCTGACTAGACCAGTGATCATTTGAAATTTGGAATAATTAGGTGTGAGATATACACGGTGTTAAAAAATTACCTGAAGAGCTCTACATCTTGAAAAATTGTAAAAAGTGGAAAAAGAAGAGCTCTTCAGGTAATTTTTTAATGTCCTATATATTTGGCTTTGTTATGGCAATTAAATTTCATGAAATGTAAAAGAATATTTGTAACAACACTTGGAATAATAGTTCTAGTTTACTACTGTCTTATCTATACGAAGCAAACGTATTTGTTAACGCAATGGTAACAAGGTGACGCAAAAAGGATGACTTTGAGTCGATTGCCTCAAGACAATTAAAAGAAAAAGCTCGTTACGCATTATATCTGCTTATGAATTATTCTTGGCGTTCAAGAGAACCTTTCTATTGCGAGGTCATAGACAAACCGTGCAACCAGTTGTTAGCCATTGACCGTTTAGTTATGGTATTCTTTCAGAAATAAGGCGATCGCGGACTATCTCAGCACCAACGGCTATCAAGATGCACTCGAGGCGTTCAAGAAGGAAGCCGACATGCCCGGGGAAGTGGAAAGAAAATACGGAGGCCTTCTGGAGAAGAAATGGACTTCGGTAATACGCTTGCAAAAGAAGGTAAGAGGATTAGCGAATTTTCAGCTCTATATTAACGCGGACAAAAATATTACCTTGACACGCTGCCACGAAAGCTATACATAAATGCCTCGTGTGTTCAAAACGGATAAGAAAATCTTTGAATTTTTATCAAAACTCCACAAGGTGTTTTAACTGAATGTTTAGAAGTATTCTAGTGGCATACTGACTAATATAATACCTCTGTTTACCATATCAAAATATACAGGGTGTTCCAGAACTGAGGTAGGACCCGTGGAGGGATGATTGCTAAGGTCATTCTAAACAACATTTTGGCAAAGGAAAAGGAAATCCCTCCACGGGTCCTACCCCAGTTCTGGGACACCTTATATGTACATCAGGCAAACGTTCATCATTACTGTAAGTGGAGAAGAAAATATGGTATAGTATAATTGCAGTGTTAACTTTTGTTGATATTTGTAGGTAATGGAATTGGAATCCAAACTCTCTGAGGCAGAGAAAGAATTCATAGAAGGAGCGCCAACCCGTAGCAAAAGATCACCATCCGAATGGATACCAAGGCCGCCTGAAAAATACAGCCTCACTGGACACAGAGCTCCCATAAACAGAGTTATTTTTCATCCTGTGTTTAGTCTTATAGTATCTGCCAGCGAAGATGCCACCATTAAGGTAAAGGGATCATCAACATCAAAGTTGAACATGGTCGTCGAAGAAGTAATTGGAGCTACATTATTATTCTTTCAACACCAGCTTATGGGATCATAAATATTTATCGTTAGAAGTATGATTTCATTATGAATACGTAAGAAGTATAAAAAGTGAAGAATATTAATCACTCTTTTCTGGGAAGAGTGAGACCTTTATCATAGCTGCTGAATATTGTATTTATTTTTTTTTACTCTCTGTCTAAAACTTTGATAGTCTACTTGACACACTGGTTTTGAAAAAAGTATCCAGTTACTTTCAACTTTCCCCGTTTGCGACTCTACCAGTTTTTATTAGTACTAGTTTTCTTATTGGCGATCGTGTCATCCAGGTATGGGACTTCGAAAGCGGCGAATTTGAAAGAACATTGAAAGGACACACTGACAGTGTACAGGACGTTTCATTCGACGTATCCGGTAAACTGTTAGTCTCATGCAGTGCAGACATGTCTATTAAGCTTTGGGACTTTCACCAGTCGTTCGCCTGCGTGAAAACCATGCACGGACATGATCACAGTGTCAGCTCTGTCGCATTTGTGCCACAAGGGGATTTCGTAGTGAGCGCATCTAGGGATAAAACCATCAAAATATGGGAAGTGGCGACAGGTTATTGTGTTAAGACATTAACAGGGCACAGAGAGTGGGTACGAATGGCCAGGGTAAGTCCCTGTGGTGAACTAATCGCTAGTTGCTCGAACGATCAAACGGTGCGAGTATGGCATGTAGCAACGAAAGAGACAAAGGTATAAATTCGCATGGTCCATTGTATTTGTAATTTCTAGAAAATTCATTAAAATACTTTTTCATTTTAGGTGGAACTCAGAGACCATGATCACGTCGTAGAGTGTATCACATGGGCACCGGACAGCGCCAGAGCATCGATTAATGCTGCAGCAGGAGCAGATAACAAGGGTGCTCACGAAGGACCTTTCCTCGCATCTGGTTCGCGGGACAAGGTAATCCGTGTTTGGGATGTCGGTGCCGGCGTTTGTCTCTTTACCCTCCTAGGACACGATAATTGGGTACGCGGCATCGTCTTCCACCCCGGTGGCAAGTTTATCGTCAGTGCTTCTGACGATAAGACCCTGCGAGTGTGGGACACGCGCAATAAACGAGCAATGAAAACCCTCGAGGCGCATGTTCATTTTTGCACCTCTGTCGGTAAGTAGAATCTTTATATCTACGCTATTTAATTATAATTAACAAACTCGAAGATATTTTTTCATTTGAAATTCTAGATGAATCATCCTGTACACAGAATGGTTTCTATATTGTTAATTACTTCCCGTTACCGATTCGCATGTTAAAGCGGCTTTACTTTTATAGATTTTCACAAAAGCCATCCTTACGTGGTCACCGGTAGTGTCGATCAAACGGTGAAGATCTGGGAGTGCCGCTAGTCACCAAAACAACCGGGTTTCTTAGAACCTTCGTCGAGAAAGAGAGATTGTGAAAAGAAGGCGAACGATGCGCGTCGAATTCAATGGAAACGGCCGAGAGAGTAAGATGCTACAAAAATGTTATCGTACATACTACTATTATTAATATTAATATTATTATACACACATAAACACGTACGATTAAGAGCTCTTTAATTAATTTATAATAAAGTATAATTAGTAATTATTAATAATACATATACGTTTTACGGTAACGAACTGCACGATTCGAGGAGAGTCGGTTGAGGTTTAGCTCTTTCTCGCGAGGAGGACACTTTGCCATAATATTTCGTCGGCGGTTTAAAAAAAAAAACAAAAAAAAAAAATAAGAAACAAGTATTCCGAGTATCTCAAAATTGTATCGCAAGAACACTTGCTTTTTTAGAAACATCCAAAACTAATGATCTCGCAGCGAAACGCACGTAACGTGAAAACGTATCGAAATAAACACTGTTGTGCGTCGTCCTCCTCCTCGAACCGCCGATGATGGTGACCAGAGAATTTCGGCTGTGCCGTATCTCCGGAATGTCACGGTCAATCGTTCTCGTTTGCTACGCTGACCTCTCTTTGAGCGTTCTTGACAATGTAAAATCGGCAAGTGACACCGATACGTATGACACAGACGCGCGCGTATCTGCTCTCGCATACACACATACGAGATATTCGGAGTCGTTAGCGTTTACCATGTATTCAGATATGTCAATAATTTATCCAACGTTGATCGAGTGCGTAGCATGTTCCTGGTACAAAGAAGCGTGAACACGGATGTAAAGCGAACGAACGTGGCAAACGGGCGGACAGATTTGGGAGCTCTGCGATAGAACGAGAAACACAGGGCATTAGGGCGTCCGTTTGGAACGTTCAAGTTACATGCTGCGTATGTCAGTGTATGTGTGTACTATTAACGTTCCCCTGAAGCGTCGAAACAACCTGACGTGAACGACCAGAGGCGAACGCAACCCCCGAAGAAACTGCTGAATCAGAATAAAAAAAAGGGAAAGAGTAGGCTTTCGGCAGTGCATGGCGTCCAAACAACGTGCATTATTAACGGTAATATTTAAAAAAAAAAAGAAAAGTACGAGGGACGGCCGAGTGAAGCGCGCGGATTTTGTGAAAACCTACAGAAAAATACTAAATATACTAAACGTGTATTCGTACGGAAGTATTTGACAGGCGCATAATTTAGTTTTGCGTGGGGTCCCGAGACATGCGAGGTACTAGTTGTATATTTAGCTCTAAACTACTATTAGCGGGTAGCGCAGACCGTAGAGAAGAAAAGCAGAAAAAAAAAAAAGGGAATAATAGTGAACGATCGGTCGGTACACACATTTACGCAGGCATATATTTCGTCAAGATCTCGTATAACGATTGCTTAATTAAGGCAAATTTCTCCTAACCATTATCCTCCTTCGTCTATCGATATGCGCCAATCTTTATTCTATACGAAAATTCTCCCCAACAGAACCAGAGACCATTCGACTCGATGTGGTACTAAATTATTTTGATGAACAAATAAAATGAAATTTCTGATTGGAGCCGTGTAACGTCGTTCTGCTTGTATTACCTGTGTGTTTCGTCGTCGTTCGTGCATCGTTGTTTGCCATTTAATTTTTCATTTCAATCCATTGGATAAATAAAACCTTGTAGCAATCACGATACTTGGGCGTTCTGTTCTTTTGGGGATCTCCCTGTGTTCGTGCTGTTTCAAATTCAATGGAAATTCTTCGTTTTCTTCTCCCGACAGAATTGTACAGAAGCAAAAAAGAAAAGAAAAAAAAAAACAGAAAAGAAGTACTTTGAAAATCGAAGTCGGCCTTTCTTTCTTTCTCGAATGACCGACGTACTCCCAGCGAGGATCGACACGGCACTCGCTGTATTCTTTTTCCTCTGGACGAGCAATGCGTACGATTTAACTCTCGAGAGACGCGGTAGTCGGATACGGGGTCGCTTTGACCCACGATGATGTCATTATAATAATTGTATACAAAGCTTAAAATATATTTAAGTATAACAACTGGGTCGAAATGACTCCGCATTCGGCATGCAAATACGTTAGGTCAGTAAAGGTTTAATTAAACCCTGGGTACGCCGAATGCTAGGTCATTTTACCCCAGTGTGGATCGTATACCGTGGTCAAAATGAACCTGCATTCGGCGTTCCAATTTCGCAGTACATGCATGTCAGTATTTTACATTTATAATAGAGAGAGAGAGCGAGAGAGAGAGAGTGTGTGTGAGAGAGAAGCTTAACACAGGACACGTATACACACACGAAACATAATATGTATATATATGTACACAATTCTGTGTATATATACATAATTGTGTATATATATGTATATATAGACACACGAATATATTAATTGTAATTGAAACGAGAAAAAAGAAAAAAAAACCCACGCGTACCGAACAGATAATTGAATTGTTCGGTGTTTATACGTAGAATGACGTAATAAAAGTAATGTCGTAGCTGCTTTTCGTAAATTTCGTCGCACTTGCTTTAGTCGACTTTTTTCGCTTTTTCTACCCGCCCATCGCGAAATGATACTGACACGTTTCAAGTAGAGTAACGATTCAAGTGTTGTCATCATTTGTGATATACATATATATATATATACACACACGTAATAAGTGAATTGAGCTTTCATTGAAACCCTTGCGTTGTGAGTTTTAGCAGAGATTTAAATGAACCCTATGTACTGAAAGAAAGATGGGAGTTGATAAGTGTTTCATAAACAGGGCTCATTGCAATATACATAAGTGTCAATTTTAATTGATTTTGTTTTATGAATTTAACATGAAAACAGCCTGAGCTGTTGTATCTTACGTATACAGGTTTTAGAAAATTTTTAAAGGATCTCCAATTATATGAAATATTGTGATATCTTATTACAACAAATAAGTTCGAATATTTTATTGTGATTACAGTTATTATAGTCTTAATTCTGCGTTCCACCTGGAATATAGGATACCATTGTACTTTTAATTCTTTATATTTATGTAAATATATACTTAAGACAACTGCTCAGACATGTGACTATACATGTGCATGTTATATTCGTAAAAGGAAGTTTATTAAAATTGATTTCAATCCTGTGTGAGGTTTTTGTCAATTGTAAATTCAAATTACTTTAGAATTCTTTTGTGGTACTTTTCTCTTCAGAATTTCACTAAAAAAAAAATACAACATCTAAAACCTGATGCAAATTATAGAAAATATTGAACATTATTCTTTTTAGTTTCTCTAACTTTTTGCTGTTAGGAATAGTAGTAATGATTTTCTGTTCATTTATTTATCAATTTTAAAGATCATCAAACAAACCTACTAATTTATCAATTAATGATGGTGTATACATAGGAAACGTAAATTTATTTGTTCATCATCTATATAAATAAATAATTTTACACAGCATAGTAGAAAGTAATTTTAAGCTGTTACATATTAGCGAATGGTGTAATTAAGTTAGGATACTTTTGTTGTTTAAAAACATTTTTATATAATTGTATATTAAAACTTTTGTTTAAAATTCTGTTGCATAAAAGTATAAAAAATAGTTTTATTCATTTTACGCGCAAAGGAAATTGTATGCAGAAACATAGTAAGTACATGCATATTTGTTTCAATAAATCAGTTATCTTTTCACTTTTTTAATCGCTTTTACTTACGAATAATTGTTGACGGGAATTCCACCCTATGAATTAGCCGCTGAAACGCCTTGGAATGTCTTTGCCCGTCAAAGAGGCAGGAGGGTGTATTCCTACTTTTCGACAGTGGCGCCATCTATACAAAAACGGCGCAAACTATTCAACGAGTTACCGATAATATAAGGGAACACTTGCGCCATCTATCAGGGAACCGCGGAAACTACTTACCGACTAGTTTCCGAGATTTCCCGATAGATGGCGCAAGTGCTCCCTGTTCAAGAAAATCTGTCGGTAACTCATCGAGTAGTTTGCGCTGTTTTCGTATAGATGGCGCTACGGTCGAAATTTAAAAATTTTAATTTATGGCGGTTTTTTTAAAATACAAGTTTGTCAAACATTATTTTAATAATTTCTTGATCTTGTGCTAATTCTAAACGATGATTTCTAAAATATGGAATCAAAACTAGGTGAACATTAAAGCTATCTACTAAAAAGCAATGAAAGTTACTTGCTGACTTATTGATCGATCCTCCAGTAGCGGTAAGCCTCTAACCCCATAGTAGATACTTAACACACATGTACCCCTATTTTTATTTAAATTTTTTAACAACTATTTGTTTTTTAAGCTCGAAAATAACATTTCAGATGAAAGTAACATAGATGCAGTTAATAAAACACTATGAGCTGACTACAGTCCTATATCTATCATACCAATTATCGCTAATCCATAGCAACAATGTCGAAAACAATGTAAAATTGATCGAGCGCTTGTAAGATATAAACAACATGGCGAGTCAAAGTGATATAATGTTATGGGTAAAAAATGTAAGCTAGTAAATCAATGCTATAACTATGCTACCTTATAATATTTCTATATGTGATTAGGCTGTCAGCCTTTTCTATTCTGTTGTTAAAAAAATTCTTTTCAAAAAATGTCGTCAGAAAAGGTATGTTAATAAGTATATTATAAGCAATTCAACCTCTTTATCTTGTCTATTCCAACTCCTACTTTGCTTACATGAACATTTATCTGTTGAATCTCTTGGCACAGGTTCTTTATCAGCTGTATCAACCTCATGGTCCTGGTACTGTTTTTATTTCATGGCGTCCTGGGAACAGTACTCATTTAGCAACTACTGGATATGATTCCTCAGTTGCTATTTTTGACAGACAAGGTGACTTAAAAGAACGTATTCAAATTGGTGGTTTATGTGCTGGTTTTGGATGGGATTCTGATGGAGATTTATTAGCTATCACATCACAAAATTCTTCTACTATCACATTATGGGATGCAACAACTGGAAAGAAATCACAAATAGATGCTGGTGTAAGAGATGGGTTAACATGTATGATGTGGGCAAAAAGAACTTGCTTGTTAGCAGTAGGAACACAGAAAGGAAATTTAGTACTTTATGACCACATTAATGCTAAGTATGATATACCTTTTGACATGTAGCACTTTTATATATTATTCTGAATAAACCTGTATTAATTCATTGATTCACATATAGACGAATACCAATTTTGGGAAAGCATAAAAAGAAGATAATTTGTGGTACTTGGTCTTATGAAGGGCTTCTTGCCTTAGTCAGCGAAGACAAAGTTTTAACTATTAGCACTAGCGATGGAGATACTCGCCGTGAAATACCACTTCAAGGTGATGCTTCTGACATTCAGTTTAATGAAATGAAAATGGACCACAGAATTGGGGGTGAAAATACTGTATGCTTCTTTTACTTGATGCTGATATACAAAATGAAGTTGCATTTCTTTACATGAAATATTAATTTCTTCCTATTTACTAGGTATCTCTTATTATCAGTAAGACTACTTTGTTCTTGTATAATGTTTTGGATCCAGAAAATCCTATTGAACTAGCTTTTCAAAAACGTTATGGTCCAATTGTTACTTACAAATGGTAAGATTATCCACTATTATGTAACTTTGATGCAATATTCTACAAAAAAGAAATGTTATTTTAGGTACGGAGATGGGTATATTTTAGTTGGTTTTGAAACTGGATATTTTACTGCAATTTCAACACATATTAAAGAAGTTGGCCAAGAGTTGTTTCAAATTAAAAATCACAAAGATTCATTAACTGATTTAGCAATAAGCGAAGTAATGGGAAAAGTTGCTACATGCGGGGATAATACTATAAAGATACATAATCTGCAAAGTTTAGAAGAAACTGAAAAATTAATTACAATAAGTGGTGAAACTGGAATCAGTAAAGTAGAATGGTCAACAGATGGAACAATGGTAGCAGCTGTTACATACAGTGGCAGTGTTTTAGTATATTTGATACAAATTCCAAAACTAGTTAGTGTTTGTGGAAATAGAATTGCATTACTCACTAGTTTAACAGAAGTAGCAGTTTATCTTTATACTTTAGATAAAGTATGTATAACAGAAAACTATAGCTTTACAACTCTATATATAAATATTAAAAGGATTACTTTTCAGGAGAAACCAGAACCAATAATAATTAACACTATAATAGAACCGTCGGTATTAGCAATAGGTCCCATGCATGCAGCAGTAGGTCTAAATAACAGAGCACTGTTTTGGGACGTATCTGGAACTCATTATAATAATGCGGTACACTTTGAAAGAGATTACTTGGCAACAATCGATAGCATACGATTAAATGAAACTTATGTGTCTGTTTTGTTTGATGGAAAATTACAGTTGCACTCGGTAACAAGTATATTTCAATGAGTACAAATTTCGCCCAGTCAATATTACTAGATCGAATATGTATTAACGTGTTATTGTTGTAGATTAAAATAGATCAGCAACTAACAAAGGAAGGGAAAGATACAAAGATATTTCCAGATTTAAGTTCTTCAGATTTTAGAATAACGTGCCATGCTCTTAGTACCGATTTCTTAGTTTACGGTAGTGATGTAAGTTATTTTTTACGTACGTCTAAACATCTAAGCATTTATGGGAAAAACTAATTTGTGTTAATGTATGTCCAGATGGGTCATATAATTTTCTTTTGCCTAGAAGTTTTTAATCAGTGTTTGGAATACGTACATAATAATAGTATATCGGAAATCTACTTAGATGCGAATGGAACGCAATTATGTTTTATAGATAGTAAACTTGACGCTTATCTATATAATCCTATGCAAGAAACTATTTTACAAATTCCCGATTGTCCAGACTGTATTCAAGGCATAATTTGGGATCAAAATATTTTGGAGCGTAATATATTCGCTGCGTACAATAAGAGTTCCATTACTATGTACATATTTGTAAAATATTTTATTGAAGGTAAGTTAAATATAATATATTGTAATTAAGGCAAATATATAAAAAATATATTTTGAAATAGGTACAAAAATGATAAAAATAGACACTATGAAACTACCGTCTGATACATTACCATTGTTAATGTACTCTGGAGAACTAACGCTAAGTTCATCAAGCAATAAGTTAGTTCAAATTACACTGTCTTCTCACGAAGATATAGGAAACATCGTGGAACCCAAAAAAATGGAAAAAATTTTAGAAACACAAATTCTGTGTAGAAGGTATTTTATTCATTTAATTTGATGAATATAAGTTACACATTTGTTATATTTCAGATTTCAGCAAGCATGGAATACTTGTGAAAAAATTAATCAAAAAGAATCGTGGGTGATGCTAGGAGAAAGTGCAATTGCAAACTTGAACATCAAATTCGGTATATCTATATATGTAGTATAATACCATTATTAACACAACAAAAAATATATAGATTTTATATATATAATTATTTTCAACTGCAGCAATTCGTGTATATCGATATCTTGAAGATGCTTCAATGGTATGGGCATTACAAAACATGCAAAATATAGATGAATTATCATTATTATGTGGCCACGCATGTGTCTTACTTGGTGAATACAACCAAGCAGAAAAATTCTTTTTACAATCATCAGAACCAGTAGAAGCATTATATTTAAGAAGGGATTTAATGCAGTGGGAGCAAGCATTAAATTTGGCACAAAAGTTGAAAGCTGATGAAATTCCTTATATTGCTAGAGAATATGCTCAACAGCTTGAATTCACGTAAGAAGTGAACGTGAAACTTATATAAATTATTTAAATGGTATATAATAAAAAAGTAAATTTTGTTTCTTTAGGGGCAATTATCCGAAAGCTTTGTCAAATTATGAACGAGGATTAGTAATTTCAAATAATTCACCTAACACAACTACACATAATCCGCATCATCGAAATTTATGTCTTGCTGGAGTTGCAAGAATGTCAATTAGATGCGGTGACAGCAGAAGAGGTGTGAGCATAGCTATGGATAATGAAAGTTCAAGGCAACTACGAAAAGAATGTGCAGAAATATTGGAGTTAATGAAAGTACGTGTAATTATGTACTTCAAATCTTGTAACTTTACTAACTCTTTTATTTTTATAGCAATTTAATGAAGCTGCATTACTGTACGAGAAAGCTGAATATTTTGATAAAGCAGCGTCCGCGTATATAAAACTAAAGAACTGGCAAAAAGTCGGGCAACTTTTGCCACAAATATCATCCGCTAAGATTAATGTACAGTATGCGAAAGCCAAAGAAGCGGAAGGCAAATATGATGAGGCAGCAAAAGCATATGAGACTGCAAAGGATTATGAAAACATAATTAGGATTAATTTGGAACATCTAAACAATCCTGGTTGTTTAATTGTTATTAAAATATACATAGTATAATTAATTATATTTAACGCTCAAATAATTAATTTATGGTTTTATTTATAGCACGAAGCGTTGAAGTGGTACAGCAAACTAAAAGTATAGAAGGAGCTAAAATGGTTGCAAAATATTTCCAAAAAATGAATGACTATAATTCAGCGATTAAATTTTTGATTTTATCGAATTGTCATGATGAAGCGTTCCAATTAGCTAATCAACACGGGAAGATGGAATTGTATGGAGAAATTTTGATAAATACAATCGACGATAGCAATGAACGAAAAGAAGATTTCAAAAGTCTCGCGATGTATTTCGAGACCCAAAAGAATAATCTTTTAGCGGGAAAATATTATTTTCATGCTAAGGAATATCAGAGGGCATTAAGGCATTTATTGAAAGCTGCACAGTTAATAACAGATGAGAATGAAGTTCTCAGTTTAGCCATTGATACAGTTGCTTCTTCAAAAGATGATAAATTAGCAAATCAGCTAATAGACTTTTTACTAGGTGGAGATGGATTACCGAAGGTAATACTCAATCGTATAGCGGTGATATATAATAATTTATATATATTGATATATTTATAGGATCCAAAATACTTGTTTCGATTGTACATGGCTAGAAAACAGTACAAAGAAGCTGCGAAAACAGCAATTATAATTGCAAATGAAGAACAAGTTAATGGTATGTTTTATGTGATATTTATCTAGTACATTATTATACATATAATAAATTGTTTTACAGGAAATTATAGAAATGCGCACGACGTTTTGTTTAGCATGTATCAAGAATTAAAAAGGAACAAAATTAATATACCTTCAGAAATGCAAAATAATTTAAGGCTCTTACATTCGTATATTCTCGTTAGACTTCACGTAAAAAAGAGTGATCATCTACGAGGTGCTCGGATGCTAATAAGAGTGGCTAATAATATATCAAAATTTCCATCGCGTTAGTAAAACAGAATTGAATATTTTACAGTAATATGATAGAAATTATTAAAAAATTTTAATTAACATATTTCAGACATCGTTCCAATCTTAACGTCTACTGTAATTGAATGTCAACGAGCTGGATTAAAATATGCTGCGTTCAATTTTGCTGCTATGTTAATGCGTCCAGAATATCGAAATCAAATTGACGCTAAGTACAGTAAAAAAATTGAAGCAATTGTACGGAAACCACCGAAATCAAAAGATAATGAAGCCGAAGATGAACCATTGACTCCGTGTCCTTACTGTAAAAGTAAACTTCCAGAAACAGAAGTTACCTGTGATAAGTGCAAAAATACGATACCTTTTTGTATAGCTACAGTTAGTTTTTAATAGTATTTTTATATATATATATATATTTTAAAATTGGACACGTGTTCTTCAATCGCGTATGATGATTTTTAGGGACGACATATCGTAGAAGACGATTTTACCGCCTGTCCACAATGTGATTTTCCTGCTATAAGAAGTGAACTTTTAAGGTATACAAATTGCATTATTTTAAGTGTAATATATATACAATTTTAATTTCTCATTTCCTTAGGATCGTCGAATCTGAACAAACTTGTCCAATGTGTTCAGAGAAGGTAGATGTTAACATGATTCCATCCAATCTTAATATCCGTCCATATCTTGATCTTCAGGAAGAAAAATCTTCAACGAAAGTTTAACTGAATTAATTACCTTTTTCTTTTTATTTTTCTATTTTAGTTCAAATTTTACTCAATATAAGTAAATGTTAAACTTTTTTTATGAAGTGGCGCCGTCTGATATCAGTACAACATAATCAAGTACAAGTAGTTTATCACATTATTTCGTAAACTATTTATGAATGTTATACTTAAATTAGGTAATGCTAGTGAATAGAAACATCAACAATGTGTAGATATTGCCTTCAGTAAACTAGTCTCAATTTTAATTAACTTAACTGTCCTACTATTATTCCATTTTATACATTATACTTTTTAATCATAATATGAAGCAAAAGCGACACCTAACCAGATACACCTCAGTTAAAGCCCATCTTATCAACATTCATGCACACGAACGTATGAAAAACACGTACAAGAAACATGACAGCATGGCATGACTTTGAAAAATTGGAATTACAATAATGACACGGTGAAAATTTCATGTAACATTCGATTCTTAACAAATGAAACGAATCGTTATATTTTACAGTAGTCAACTTTAATAAAATCTTGCCACAATTTTATATACAATCAATTCAATTATATTAATTTAATTAAATGTCTTATAATTGGAGAACTTTAATGATTTTACTTGTATATTAAAGTATTATAACAAATTAGAGTTGCGTTATTTAAACTAAGAAAGTTCAAAATACATTACTTTATTCTCAACGTTGTTTATATATAAAATAATTAAAACAATTCCAAATACATGTAAAACTAATTTTAAATTCAAATCTTAACGCGACGCCCTTTACACGCATGTGCTAAATTTACAATTTTGATTTGCAAGCAGTATATTAAAAATTCCATAGGAATTTTAATAACTGATATCACTATCGATGTTGAGACGTTGATAATCAATTTTTATTTCAATAATAATGACGAACGATGATAATAAAGTTTATCAAATGCGATTTCAATGCGGGATTTTTTTAATGTTTAGTTATTGTTACAGGTTCTAAGCAAAGAGCATCAAAATTAGTGCTTTTTCACTATTTCTATCGTATTTATAGCAATGAATAAAAATTTATTCGGTTATCTCCATACGGTTTAGTAGTGGGGTAGTGTATGTCAATGCAAATATATGTAATCAGCAGTGTAGGTGCAAGAGTAGCCAGCGCCGGTATGTCAGTAGTACGCGGTTGAGGTTGCACGCGACTCGTTTCTAAGGGGTATATTTAGAAGATACTAATTCGCAATTTTGAGGGTTTGCTTTGAAATTCTTCTGAAACATTCAGTGAATGTTTAAAACAAATTAATCGATAGTAAGTAAGCAAAGTCATCGTATTTTTTCGTCAATTGAGAGCTGGTGGTCAAAATGGCGGAGAAGAATGACTCGCCGGGTTCCACCTCGACTTCTGTCGGGCAAGAAAGCCAACAATTGCTTTCAAGTTTCATAGGTGAAATTGTAAGGAGTCCAGTTAATCTTATTTTAGTAGCTGTAATTGCGTTGCTGGTCTACAAAATCGTTAAAAGCAAAACGAAGGTGGAAGAACCTGTAGAAGAAGTAAAGAAGCTCCCCAAATTGCGACGTGATTTTACTGTTGAAGAATTGAAAAAGTATGATGGTACAGGACCAGATGGACGAATATTAATTGCAGTTAATGGCAGCGTTTACGATTGTACACGGGGTGCCAAATTTTATGGCCCTGGTAAGGATTAAACGTCTTCTGAATGATCTATTTTGTGCGATCATTTAACTGCTTCGTCGTCGTATTACTATTGCTTCGTCGTAAAACTCTTAATATTTGTATTTAATTTACGAGTAATTTACATTTTTATTGGTTATCGTAAACTTTGATCTATATGAAAAAAAAAAACATTTGGAAACATCACCAGATGATGATAATAATTTGTTAAAGTTATGATATCATACCATATTGATGAATTTAACATTTTGTTAACTACTGAGGTCAATCTGCAGTATTCAATTCAAACATACGGATTTACTAGATAGCCTATGTTAAACTGTGGTAGATTATTATGAAAAACAAAAAAAAATATTTAAATATCTCATTATAATTGTTAATATCATAGTTTCATAATATAAAATTATATCATATACATTTTTAATTAATTTTGTTACAGGTGGTACCTATGCAGCATTTAGTGGTCGTGATGCTAGTAGAGGCTTAGCAACATTTATACTGGAAACAAAAGATGAGTATGATGATTTAAGTGATTTGGACACAGCCCAAATGAATTCTGTTAAAGAATGGGAAGAACAGTTTAAAGGTGGTTATTTGTTGAAAAATATTAAACAAAACATTTTTAGAATTTTATCAGTATTAATATCTTTCCTTCGTTTAGAAAAATATGATTATGTGGGAAAATTACTTAAACCTGGTGAAGCACCTACAAATTATTCTGACGAAGAAGACGAGGGTAGTCAACAAGAGACTGAATCAAAAGCTGAACAGCAAGAAAGTGGAACCAAATCTGATCAGGGAATTGATACAAAGTCAAAGAACGATTGACCACTTGATTGTACACCAAATACCAAACAGTTTCAAAAAGTTATTGCGCACATACCATCATTAAAAAAAACTCTTAAAATTTGTGGCTCATGAATGTATTCGTGGACATTCATCTAAATATTTTACTACATCATAATGAAATAAAGAGTAAAGTGGTATCTTTTGATCAAGTTAAAAGCATATAAAGATTCAAAACTAATGTTACATGCAAAGACTTTTTTTGAGTATCCAATTTTCCAGTCAATAAGGATGCTCATATAGTATAATGTTTTTATATATGTACAAAAGATTTCTTACAGATCATTAAAACTGGCGCTAGGCATAAGACAGATAACATTTGAACTATATTCCATTATTGAGAAACTTTGTTTGTACTATTGTCTTTGTTCTGTCGCGTAGCATTTGTTACATATATGTATTTGATATCTGTAAAAAATTAACAAAACAGTGTTATATTTGACATGCATTTGAAGTTTAATATTAAATTAATGCGGTATCGTGCATATTTGTACTACAAAAAGTATATAGCATTTCTAAAGCTAAAAACAGTGTGCTTTGTTATAACGCGATAACTTTCAGCATATAACTTCACTTTATATTAAACTAGGTTCGGTTTAGAAAAACGTGAACGAAAAATCAGACTTATCTAAAATGATACGTGAGTGTGTAAGTTTCTTAACAGCAGGTTACATTAAAATTTCGAGTTAAAAATTTATCAAAAGTGATAAATATTTACTAGTCTTTTTTATACGAATAGAAGTGAAGGTATGTTCTGTAAAACTTGCTATAAATTTTAATACACCATGCAAATTGTTATTGTTTAGAGATGGCAACTTTTTAAAAGTAATTAATATTTACTTACGGAACATTGTTTGTAAAGCTACTCGTTCTTTACTTTTTAAACTAAGAGAAAGTAACAAACTTACATCCACTTAGGTACATAGACATATACTGTATAACATTAGAATGCAAGGATTCTCTAAATATCTTAATTATTCGTGTAATTAATCTTATTTTATCTAATAATTTAATTAGTACGATTTTTATAATAAACCAATATTTATAGTTAACGTTGAGCTAAAAGACAAGTTTGAATTTTTCAAAAATGCGTTTTTTTAAACTGTGCTGTTAAAGATAATAACATTTATTTATAATAAAAACGTTGTTAATGCAAAAAATACTACATACGATTTAATGGAGTTAGACTGCTTTAACTGCAAACAAATTTTACTACGGTTTTCATTGATCTATAAATTATTGTAGAAAGCAAAAAATATTGTAATTTGTACAAAAATTTACATGTCAATTTACAAAAATTCACTTATGAATGATGTTATACTGAAATATTTTCAGTTTATTTAAGCCGAGTTGATTCTACATCATTCCTACTAAACAAAATTTTATAAACTGTTTCAAAACTTTGCATTTATGTATGATAATAGTTTATCAAAATCTGAACTGTAGAAAGCGGTATTATTGAGAAAACTGCATTTTTTTTGCAACAAAGATCATATCCACTCAATCTTTTTCACTGATACAATCAGCATATAATAAGAGACTGAGTTTTCTGCAAATATTTGCATTGTAATTTTATTATAATATTCCACCTTCTAAATAATAAAATCGGTGCATATTTTTTTATATATTTATTATCTATAATTCGTATGAAAAGATTTTACTCAGAGTAAAATTTGAATAAAACATCTGACCAAGTTTATTTTATACAAATACAGTTATGTAGTATGTTCTACTTTTCTATATATATTACATATATTTGATTTATTGATTAACAGCAAAGAATTTTAATCCCATTGTTTCAGAATAGTTTGTCAGAAACATTGTTATATCTTTTATGTTAGATAGAGTGTTAACAAATTTCTATGATGGTGTGTTGATAGCTACAAACATCAATTAATAGCAACTTTGTGTAAGATTATTTATAAGAAATGTTGTGTATTGTTATCAAAATGTACTTTCTGTTATTATAAAAGAGCGAGGTTTGGGTACTCTTATTAGATATACCAGAAATGATACTGATTTTTCTTTGAATTAAAATACCGTTCCTTTCAAATAAATCCTTTTGTTTGTGTTTAATTTATTGAAAAAATTATCTGCAGCATTGTTAAATTATGCGCTTAATATTAATAATCGCATGATTATAAGTACATTTTAAATTATAAGCGTAAAATGGAATAATAATTAATCAAAATAAGTTCTAAGCTGATATAAAATAACATGTCGAATCTTATAATTTTTTCTGAATTTTAATAGTTACGCTTATTCCTAAAATATTCTTTATATTTTATTTTTAACAAATTCGCGTATTATATCCGAAATACAAAATTTACAATTTACCATTTTCATAAAACCTTCAGTGGTGGTTTTAAAACTATTTCCTTGTTTATTAAATCGGCCCGCTTCCGTTCAGTACGTACGATCAAATGAAAGTTTAAGTAACATGTATACTTTTTAAAAGACGTTTTCGTATATATATCAAAGAAAAAAGGTACTTTTATTACATCCGCGAAACGGATATTCGAGCAGGGCTGGTGTCATCTTTGATTTACGATCGTTAGCCCGCTAGACACTTATCTAAAGTGGTTAGTACTCTTTTTGGAACGAATGACGTTAAAATGTTTTGAACATAATTGACCTTGCTTCTTTAACTCATGGTTATTATAAAGTTACTTTGAACCGCCAGTAAAATTTCTACTTCTCTTTTTTCGAACACATATACTTTTCAATAATGTTATGAGATTATACTGTATTAAAAAAAGTATGGTAATTTAAGACATGTCCTTGCTTCTTTAATCCATTACAATTGCTTTATTATCCGAATACACAATCAATAAATTGACATTGGATAATTAAAATATTTTCACGAGTTATTTTATGGTAAAACATGCACTTTCTTTTCCTTTAGAACAAATGGATAACGAAACAAGTTTTTAATTATTGTAAATAATATAAAATGGGACCATATCGAATCATATCGTAAAGATTAGGAAAACTGTGTCCGTTATCATGGTAGACAACGGCAGTGATATCAGTAACAGAAAGCTTGCGTGAAAATAATCCATTCCGTTTGTAATAATCGAAATGCAGTACTATAATGTCAATTAATCTCGAACTTCCTTTTTAAATATATTTTTAATTCATTATTGCAGGGGCTAGTATTAGAATCGGTCAATGCACCGTTCGTTGATATTTTTATTACCATTCGGTCGTAGAAATATATAATTAAAACGTAGTTTCAAGGGATAAAGTATCTTATAGTTGCCGATTGATCTCTCGGAATACGAAGTATAATGAAAAGATATAACGAAAAATTAATTAATTGAATATATTCAAACGATAAATCAAAAGTGAAAAATCTTGGTGGCGTAACACTGTTAAACGTTTTAAAGCATATTGTTTATTTAGTGAATAGTTACGTAATACTTGGATAAAGACTATCAACAGATTTTCATGATTTCTGTCTGTCTTTATGATAATTTCATTATATTTTATTTGCATCCAACAATCTTACGAAGAAATCATTCACGATCGTGTTTAATTCGAAAACAAGCAATATATTTACAAAGAAAGATTGGCAAATCAAGAAGATATTCGCAACATTGAAACGTTAATGATAAATCTCTGAATACACGTTGCAGATTTAAACGTTAAAACTATTAACGAATACTGAATATTGTGAAAATTCCTATTAAAAAACATTCATTTTACGTGTTCCAATATAACTGATAGATCGGTGAAAGAATAAAATCTGTAGTGAAAGAAAATTACGCGAAGCAAACGACTAGCAACGCTCTACAAAGAGCCGCTGTCAGTGAGATGGGTGGCTAGGTGGCTGCTGCCACGCCGTCATCCAGTTCCCGTCCCATTTCCAATACTCCCTCTCTTCTCACGTTTCACCTCTTTCTTTACACAATTTTCTGTATCTGACACTATCGTGTAAGCGCGCGCGCGCGCGCGCACGACAAACGTATGACCGAAAGAGAAAAGTAAAGAGCAAAGAAGAAAGAAAGAAAGAAAAGGGAGATGGAAGCAAGTTCACGCACAATATATGCGTGCGGCGGGTCGCGTGCCGTTCGCACCTATCCCTCGAGTGAGATTCTCTTTCTCGGAGAGGATGTTCTGCGCAACGCATTCTCCCCACCTTATACTTATGCATTCTTCCTTTTAACCTGTCGATCGAGAAATCTCTGGCCATCTTGTAATAACATCCCCTTGACTCTCTTGACTTTGTAAACGTATTAGCAAACATATTTTTTCATTTTTCTCAACGCTCAAGTACTACCGCCTACTTGATCTTCATTCAGAAAAGATGAACTTGAATGAAACTAACATTAATTTTGAATCTATCACAAGCAACGTATTTTAATATTTCAATTAAATGGAGAAATAGAATTTATATACATAATTTCTGAACATAAATCAATAACCAATTAAAATATGTATACAAAAATAATTTGTTGGTGGTTCTAAGTAGTATTAAAACTATTTTATCAGTTTCAATAAATTTTAAATAATTGAATAACTTTTGTTTGGTATAAAAAAGATTACTAATATAATTTTTTGTAATAAAAATAATTTTATACGTCTGATTTATCAACAAGACTAATATTATTAAACAAGTAACAAATTTTTATATATTATTTGAATGAAACACGTTACTATAATTGAACACAATTAAAATTATAAGAGAATTTTAATACGAGATATTAATATGATTTATGTTTAAAAAATGTTTTATTTATAACACACTATGAAGTCTTTATATCTAAGATGAAGATAAAATCAAACAAAATTTAAACTTATACCTATATAAGATAATAGGGTGCACAAAAATTTCGATATATTTATGTTCAAAATGCAAAATAACAAATTGTGTGAACCACTGATGCAATGTTTTCCGGCAACAGGAAACAATTAGGCTAGGACCTTTTCAAGTATGATAAGTTACAAACACCACTGAAACAAAGAATAATACAGTTCATTATTGAAAACGTAGAAATGATACTGTTGAACTTTGATGTAAATATATTATCGTAATAATTAGAAATCCAGTTGGAAGTACCTTACAACCACCATGCAAAACCGGCCATTATCAAATGGTGGCAAAGGCATAAACGAAGTTTCCGTGGCTGTTGGACCGGCGGCGTGAACGTAACCATAGCGTTCGTGGCCTCGCAGCAGTTGGACCAATCGCAGGTAGTAGTTTGGTCACGTGATGAATCGGACCAATCAGATATTAGGTCTAACGTCACGGTAACCATACGGAGCCAGTCGGACATTTTCTGACAAGCGTAGAAAAACTCTCGTCAACAGCAGCCGCCATTTTACGTTAGCCGATACTCGTGCGGTGCGGAACTCTCGCGATCGCTTTTCCCGAGCGAATTTCTGTGGCGCGCGGTGGCCGCCCCGGAGCCGACTCATCTGATCGTCTTCGCCTCCTGGCGTCCGTGATTGCCTCGAATGTGTGGGGAAAGCGACCCGCGTTCGCGGTGATCGTTCGCGCGCCCTGTGTCGCAGTGTGCTAAGGCGAGAGAAGAGGAGAGGAAGATGGTGCCAGCGGGCCTCGAGAGCGATATCGTTGCTGCGAGCTAGCGCCGTGCGCGCAGCCAGTCCGCCACACTCGAGTGTTTGACGAGTAGTGTGCGACCGACTAAAGCAAGTTAAACGTGAGGACTCGTTCGATAGTGTGTGCATTTAATCGCGGTGGTGATCCTTCGGATTGCAATACCGATAGTCCTGTTAACTTCTCGGCCTGTCTCGTCCTCGCGCGAGTGGCCCGTGCGCCCGTTGAAAAATTTACTGTGTGTGTGGGCTTTAGCGCGGGGTTCGACGTACCCCCGACGATGCCCAATGGTTGATCGTGTACCGAAGCGTGCTCGGGGACGCTCCACGCGCCGCGGTTTTCATTATTATTGTCATGCCTGCGAATACCCTATAAGCTTGGTGAATTTTCGCGGCTTCACCGAAATAGAGGAAGCAGCAATAGCAATAGTAACAGCATCAGCAGCAGCGGTCTTCTAGTGGCGTAGTGCACCATTTCGCCCGTCTCTGTGTACCCGTGTATACGTGCCTGCGTGCGTGCCTGCCTGCGTGCGTGCGTGCGTGCGGTCGTCCCGACTTGCTGCCGCCGCCGCCGCTTATTTGCTACCAACAGTAAATAGCCTGAAAGAAGAAAGAATTAACCCTAAAAAGAAACCATGGCCGACCACCTGGTGGACGGCCCGCCGAATAAGCGGCCGAAGCTCGGAGATCCTTTTCAAGGAACTTCGGACTCCGCGGGTAAGTTCTTACTTTGATTTCATCTTAAAACTGGTGGATTAAGTCAACAGTCGTACCGCGACTAACCTTTCATGGATAAACGTTGCAAGTAGCGCATAAAAGTTTTTTTTTTCCTCTCTTCAATTACGCGATCTGCACGTATCTTGTGTCATTGAGAAAAATATGCCCGCCGTTTATCAAAGGCATACTGTCAATCCGTTGACGGGTGCAACCTTTGAGCAAAATTATCACATGTCCATGCTTAGGTTTTTCTTTAAGAGATGCACCCCCTGTATTTTCTCTTTGTTAATGCAATTCTTCTTGTCGAAGATTGTATCGAAACAACAATGATCTATTTACCACATGTTATATCATTTTTGAACTTCTAGGAAAGTGTTGTGGTTGTAGCTGATCGTTTTATTCTAAGTTACAAAGTGTCATCCTTTGACAGGGGCCCTGTATTCAGCGTATCTTAAAATCCTCGAAATACAGCTTTCTTTGCTTCATTGATGCGTTTAACGGATGAAATTCGTATCTGGCTGTTAGTTAGCTGTTTATAAACTAACCTAAATTATTGAAGAAATACCGTCGTGGAAATAACACTACATTGCAAATTGTACAAACTTCATTGTCTAAAATTATCTGTCAAAATGACCAGACATTTAAGTGAATTTATTATGTATTTTATTTATGAAAAACAATATTTGAGAAACAGTAATGCTTTGTTGTGACACAGTGCTACCATGTACTACATGTT